GTCAGATGTAGATCCCAGCAATAAATCACAACGGATGGCAATAAACTACCCTCCATATCTAGCGGGAACAGACAGATCGTTACAAGAACAAACTCTAGAAGCTGGCTCCCAGGAAGACATAGGCGACGGGGAACTCCACGCACCTCCTAGCTCGTACCCTCCTTACTCTTCGACATTGGATGACCCTCCTGCTGGCGCAGAGACATTTGCGAGGCCGTTTGAGCCAGAGCTTGATATTACCCACCTCGATTTCTTCAATCCTGACCTCGACATGGCGTATCTTGATTTCTCTGGTCCAATCGGAGACACCACAGATCCCCGCTGTTTTTGAGCACAGCACAGATCTCTATTTTAATTCAATGTTGTATCGCCATGACAAGCTGGTATTCCAGACCTATTTATCACTCATTTCCTTGACTCTCCATAAGAGGTACAAAGTACCTCCCTCGGGTACTTCCACGCGGACATATTTCGAGATACAAAGTTTTGATCCATAGACCAGAACATAGCGTTGTTCTCCATCCCTTACACAACAACCCTCGCTCGGGATAAATGGAATGAGGTCCCCTTTCCTCAACCCCCACCGTGAATGAGATGTTTTGAAAACGGCAACTTGGGAATCCTGTAACTATCAGTAAGGGAGTTGTGTCTCGTGATGACAGTAGTAAGAACGAACTCGCGTGAGCTGGGGAATAATCCTCCATAATTCCCCATCGGAGCACTGCTCTACAAGTTCAAATTGAGGAGATGGTTTCCATTGAATGCCAGGCTTTTCCAGCCACTTATATAATTCCTGCACCACTTTATGTTCGACCGGGTCAAGCTCTACCTGAAGAACCTTGCCGTCGTTGGAATCGTTCATCTGGAAAGTTGAATGATGGGAGACGCTGATTTCATGTAAATAAAATCGCCAAATGACAACGTGCCGGTGGGTCAGCATACGCAAGGGATATTCGCGTTGTGAGGGAGGTCTTTTGAGTTTGAGGCACTGTTGCAGACAAATCAGAACCAGTGAGTTGATAGCAATTTGGTGACAGGGAAGCTTTAGAAACTCACCTCAGCACATAAAGTCGGCCCGGAGCCCAAAAACATCAACTTCTGTTCTGAAACAAATCTTATCGTAAGCCCATTTGAGGCTGGCAGATCCTTCCCAAGTGCGCATCTGTCACCAGGAGGTTTCCGTCCATTGCCCCGTGCGGAGTGGAGTCACGTGATGCGACGGCCTCACAAGATGAACGGTTCTTTCTCATGCATGTCCTTTGAGGCTGTTTCCTCAGTCCCGGCACGTTTCTCCTTTTCTCAGCTACTACTCATTCTCTGTTATGCTCTCCTACAGTCGACTTTGCCCGTCCAACTTGGGGATCACCGGCCGATTCAGGATATCCTTCGTCGTAGGGACAGGGACTGGGAGCCGCGTATTGGCTCTGAAGGGGTTCTAGAACTGCAACAGCAAGACTGGCATCGAACCAAACCGGAGACTCGTCGAATATGGCACGAAATTCGTGAATGGCTTGCTCAGAAGGATCCCGTTGTTCTTACAGTGTCTGCTGAGCACGTGCGCAATGAGCTTGGTTTTCTTCTTCATCGAATCGAGCAGATTTCTGCACAGTGCCTGAATACTCTCCATAGACCAGGGCCACGTTTGCATTCATCAGACACCTTTTTTGGGAGCAAAGTGAGGCTCATTCTTATTGGGTTTAGTCTGGCAGTGACACCGATGACATGCAGCAACATACCTCTCACGTCTACGTTATGGGATCCAGATCAGAATACCCTGAGTGTGATGCTCTCTCAATTGAACGAATCATCCCTATTTCCAAACAGAATCTCTAGTCATGATTTGCTATCCGCCCTCAATTCTTTGGAAATGATTTTTGTTAGCGAACAAGCCAATTCATCAAGTAAGATCGAAGTGGTGAGATATGAGACAATTGAATGGAGTCACGGGAATTTCGAACTTCAGGACAGGCGTCAGAAAGATGATCTTGAAATAGAGCAGTGCAAAGAGACTATGAAATACAGGGGCCCAGCATCTCCAAAGCGACGGAAGTACGGGTTTCTAGAGCCAATGGAGGTAGGCGAGGTCAAGCGTCGACGAGTTTATAAGTAACCATGGCGTTTATCTCAGAATCAAATTGAGTGAACTTAATACTATGTTTGGGTCGCCCTCTAACGAATCTTTTGAGCATAGCACTGCTGTTTCTATGGCCTGACAAGATTGACTGTAAGAGAGTGCTTAAAACAATAGCACCATTGGTATTCCTCCAAGCAGAAGCCCCCATAATCTGCGCCATCTCCAGATGAAACGGAAAGTATGGCTACCCACATGACCAGCCATAGCGTCATCAAGATGCCGAGGAATTTTGCCATCAATACCGAGCTTCAATTTCCGATATCAATCTCGGGATATCCTCCCAACCTTTTGCGTTTGCCGACACTGGAAACCCATGCTTGACCGAAACCGCAACTCTTATCGAGAATGCCCTTTGTAATCGGTCATTATTTAAGAAGAAAGCGACAAAAAAAATCAAGGAGATAAAAACGATCGAGGGTGTTTGGCTTACACGTATAACAGGCCATGACTTGATCTTTCAGGCATTACTTGACTTGACCGTTGTGTCAGAAATGAAGTTACTTGTAACAAAGAGACACTTACTCATTTGCGATCAGGAGTTTGAGAATACCGATTCGCGTGTCCTTTTGGATTTCCTGGCTGGTTGAAGGATCTTGTAGCATCTTGGGGATCACCCCCTCTCGAGGAACGAGCCGTCCGTTATAGAGCGTACAAGGAGTGGTCCCAACGTCACTAATCTCATCAGACCCTTTCATTGCAGCGATCTTGGACACTTACAGGGATTCTCCTTTAGGAGAATATATCTTCCATTCAACGCAAAAGTCAAAAGTCAAGTCAAACAAATGACCCAAGGACTTCTGGTTCACGATAATGATTTGCCTGATTGCATGCCCTGGCCAAAGCATCTGCGTGGCATCCTGAGAGTATGATGACGTCACTGCACTGGAATCGACTTCTATAGAAGGCTGTGTCAACTTTGATGGGCATCCCCGACATATCACGCACGAAGCTTACCCAACCTGCGATTTTCTAAAATTTGGTTCAAAGGTTCGTTGAGCCGTTGCTGGTAATCGCGGAAAAGGTCAAGTATCTTTGAAAGGGTCTTTTGGTGGATCGGGGAGCTTCGAAGGAGCCAAATTTTCTGTGCCTCCGTATTCAAAGCATCCTCGGTAGAACATTCGAGCAATTTTCCACGCATCAAATGCTGCAAAAGGTTCACTCGATCTTGTTCTCATTAATTTTGCCCTCATTGGTTTATAAAAGAGCTCACCTTGCTTTAACATCCGCTGCGGTTTCATCAGAGTGAGATCTTCTGGAAACCACGTTGGTTTTTTGCCAGAGTAAGCGACTTTTGGCTCAAACAGTTTTATCCATAGATCGGCCAATTCTCCGCAAATTTCGACTGTGAAGTTTGCGAACAGATTTGCGTAATTCATCATTAGACTACTAGCTGGCAGATTTGGCTGTAATATCGTTTCTCCAGTCCAATTGCTACCACAGTGTGTTTGGCTATCGTGAAGATTGGCTGGGTCTCGTTGGGAAGCCAAGTAATATTTATATAGCTTGTATCAACTTCTTTGAAAATCCTTCCCTAAATTTCAAGACCTAAGATGTTCCGCTTTGCCCCCCCCCCCAATCGGTATATAGCTTAAAAGTTGCAATTTACGAGTCCTTAAGACGAATCATATCCTTTTAAGCCCACGTCAAACCGAGTAGCTCAGTAAACTCAACAAGGGGCTGGCTGGCTCGGTATGTGCAGAGAATAGCCTTATATTGATCTTTTGTTTTGAGCCTTTTTATTCGTGAAGAAATCTCGCAAGTCTAGGTCTTTCAGACGTATTGAAATCAAATTCGGTCATCATGATCGGAGCGGGATGGCATGGCCCTACAAGCTCTCTTATTCGCTAAGGATTTTGTATATCGGTACGCTCACAATATTAAGGGGCCCACTAAAAAAATAGAGTAGCGGGTGTGATAAGGAGTTCTACGAGGCTGCATCCGAAATACACTGGCTCCATTAATCAGTCATGAATATCGTGAGGCGAGGTACGTCGCCTGCGTGGTTTAAAATCCAACATGGTCAAACTGTTCTAAGTCAATTCGGTTTCAAGTGATCGAGCGATTCAAGGGATTATGTAATTCACTTATGAGAAAGAACAATTCTTCTTACACCCTTCATTCGCTTGCGCAAAGGGGATACTAGCCGTGCCTTACCATACGGTCTGGACACCAAACACGACTAGCCGCATTTGGTGTCCCGCAGCGCAATGTAATTCTCACCGGAATGTAATTTTTTCGCCTTTATATACAATATTCTTAGCAATTTAGAACTTATCATAAAAACCAATAACCTCTCCCGACTCGCTGTATAACGGTTCTGCCTCTGCCTCTCTTTGAGCCTCCGTAATACGTGGTGTGGTAGGAACACCGTACTTTTTCTCCAATTCTTTTACCGCCCGTCTCTCATCTTTTTTGTCTTCCTTTGCCTTCCTTCCAGCTATACTACGTTTAGCATCTTTAACACGTATAACACCATCATCACTAAGGCCCATAACACCCCATCTAGTAGTTTTTTTCTCCCGCGGGGCTCGGATGGCGGCCATTTTCCGTATAGTAGCCATAGTATTGGCTAAGGCGTTAAAATAGAACTCTTGCTCATCTAAGACCTGTGCGAGTGTTTTTTTTACATTCTGCTAGTATTTTTGTTTTCTTTTTTTCTGTGGGCGTTAAATCAGGCCGGCAGAGAAGAGGAGAGAGATATTTTTGCATTTTTTCCACATCTTTGAAGGTTTTTGAAGGTGTGTTTTCAAGACTTGACGACAAAAGATCTGGTTCCGGAGAGGGTGTTTTCTCTCCCGATAGATCAATTTCAATGTCTGGGATAGGAGGAAGAGCATTTTCGAGGCTCTCACAGACTTTTTTTGCGTCAACTGGATAAATTCCTCGCTCTGAAAAGGCATTTCGACACATTCGGGGTGTAAGGGCTGTCTCGGAATTGGTAAAGGTCGTTTAGGAAGGATGATTTTGATGCGAGAAGACCTCCACCCCATTGAGAAATAAGGTTATTTTGTGTCTTAAAATAAGCCTTATAAGCTTGGAAAGGCTTACCATCCAAAGGTTGAAGATAATTTGTTCGATTCGGCGGAAATCCAAATATCTTAATACCTGCTTTGGTCGCAGTATCAAGAAATTCAAATGTTAGATGTGAGCCACAGCCGTCGACCAAGAGAATACGCTGCTCTCCATTTTTAACACGATCGCGTGTTTCACGGTCAAATTCTTCCATCCAACGCACAGCAAGCTTATCAATAATATAGCCTTTTTCTGCGGTCGCAGTTATCCATTCATCAGGTATTGGATGGTTATACCACGACTCCATATGATGCTGTCCTTTGAAGATAACTAAGGGCTGCATTCGCCAACCATCGGCAGCAATACATTCTGCGACCGTTACCCTTTCACCATATTCTACGCCCGGGAGGTCTGAAGCTTTGCCAGATTGGCTAGAAAACACACGTCGGGTCCGTCCTTGTCCAATTTGAAAGCCAGTTTCATCAAAGTTGTAAATATTGCGTGGATTCACACCCTCGAGAGCCTTAGCTAACAAATCATACTAATGATAAAGCTCTGCAACGTCCGCAATTCCTAGACGTTTAGAATCAATAATTTTCTGCCTTCTAAGCTTCATCTCAGTGTCTGGGAAACGACGAATATAGCGATATACCCAATCTTTTCCGACCGTCCGATCGGGTGTCTTTGACCGCGCGAGTGTAGCATTGGCCCAATGTTCTATAATAGCAGGCGTCGGAGGGAGGAAGGAAGCATCCAAAGTCTTTATCCAATAGCCTAAAGCCTTCTCCTGATAGACATTTAGGGTGTAATTCGATGGTTTAACCTCTGTTTTTGGCCTTATATTCCGTTTAACACGACGCCATAACAAATTGTAATTAACGCCAAATTTACGCGAGGTCGCGCGTAAATTTGGCGTTTTTTTGCTTCGAGCGAATTGCACGACCTCATTTACACGAGATACCTCAGTTTCAGTAGAGTCGGGCATAGTTAAGGTAGTATGTTGTGGCGATAAAGATGTGTAAAAAGAGAAATTGCATTGCGGTGAGAATTGCATTGCGCTGCGGGACACCAAATGCGGGTACACGCGTTTGGTGTCCAGACCGTAGGGTAAGGCACGGCTACTACTGCTGCTGCTGCTGCATTTACTACTGCTGTATTACCACTCTCTCTCGGGGTGTTTTCAGCGCGCCAGCCGCCATTGAAGTGAAGCGACTCTGTACTAGTTCAATTGGCAAGCTGTCGGCTGGGTCCCTCTCGGCTCATATGCTTCTAAAATTCATGTGTGTTTTCGAAGTCCATCCTAGGGCCACTGTACCAGCAATCAAAGTATGGGTGAATTCAATACTGATTTGTATAATAGTATGTATAATATAGAATACCTACTGCGAATAGGTTTTTCGTCATTGATCGTTATTCTCCATAGGTACATGCATTCTCAGACCCTTCCCTTTCAGGTATGCTTCTCGTCAATTAGATGACTTCTCTCGCGAATCAAATCACGACGTTGGACGTAGTCTCGAAGCTCTCCCAAACCCCCTCGATGTTTAGACCATATCATGAACTGATTGCCGAAATCGTCTGTTGCCTCGACTAACGTTTGTATCGGCACCTCGTAATATGCATCGATCTTTAAGTATGAATTTTCTCGCAATCTCGGAATAACCCGCGCCGCATCTCCATGATGCCATTTAAGATAGCTTCGAAATCGAAGCTGGATTGAAAACCCCTTCTTTGGTGTTGGCGAGATTGGGACGTAGTCGCCGTCATCTTTCAACGTCGAGGTAATCTAAAGAGAGTCAGCAGTGGACTATTTAGATCTTTAAGCACTCACCGTCATAAGTTTTACATAACCAAGTTTTCCTGGTATAATACCAAGGACAAGTACCATGTGACCCCGCACTTTGTCTGGCAGAACAGGAGGAGGTATGCCCAAAGCAAAGCATTCTGACGTGCTCTTGAATTTGTAAATCTTACCCTGGACATCTTTTGGGCGTACCATTTTATTTATGACGGTCATTTTGATGAAATCGAAAGCCCGATGGTAGCAGAAGCAATAGAACGAGGAGGTATGAATATGGTAATTAGGTAGATAAAGCAACGTTTCGAGAGCGAGTCGAAAGAGTGTCTATTGGGACAATGGTAGAGATAGTGGTTGTTATGAGGGAAGCAAATCAAAATAAAATGTGGAAATGAAGATATCAAGACTGAAGAACAGAGAAGGGGAAAGCAAGGCGGGCGCAAGCTCTCGTACAATGTGCTTCGTATTGTTTGGTTTTTCCCGTCGCGATGTTTTATTGGCCGATGGGTCAGCTTCATTCGCACCTGACCCATGCAATAGTCACAGCGCGTAGATTGACACGTCAGAATCTGTATGATCGCAGCATCCTATTTATTAGTCAGAGATTCTTTGTGCTTCCTACCTGAGTGGTAAGCCTTTTTGTTTGATTCTACCGCTTTTTCTACCGTGCGTTTGCTATACGAGTAGCACAGACACATTTTCACGCCTTTCACGCCGCTCTTAATACCGTGGACAATTCAAGCCCTGACTTAGGTAAAAGCGATGTTTGATGAAAATTTGAACTTTTAAGTTTATCGGATGACAGAAATTAGTTAACAGTAACCTGGCAATTAATAAATGGCAGGGAGTGTAGTGTAGATTCGACGAAAGTGTCTCAAATCTCTCCCGCCGCAGCACTGCAGCACAGACGAAGCACTTAGTGCTGCGGGACTTTTCAAGGTCTAATCTAGAGTATGATGGGTGATTTACGAGTGATTCGCGCTATATAACTGACATAGTTACAGTAAGCTGAACGAAGCGAGCGGAGTTAGGTAGCAATGCATCAAGAGCGCATAGTTTGAAATGGAGGGGATACACAGAAATGATAGCCCCCAGAAAAGCCTACTCACTCTCTAAACCTTCGCAACAGTACAGTCAGTAATCGTACCCCGCTGCTTCCTGTCATCAACCCCGATTTTTTGCTTCTGCTATCGTCAGCATCAGACCTACGACCCCATCAAAACGATCTTCATGAACAAAATGCACTTCCAATAGATGCCCAGGGCAGGGTTTACACATTCAAAAGCAATTTTGGGGCATACCTACGTCTGTTCTCCCAGACCAAGTGCGTGGTCACGTGGCCCTCATCCTAGATAGTGTGCCAAGAATGGTTATGTAAAAGTGATGACAGTAAGTGCTCAGAAGCTTGCATAGCCATCTGCCAACTCCCTTCAAATTACCTCGACGTTGAAGAATGACGGCGACTACGCCCCTATCCCGCCAAAGGAAAACAGTTTACCCCGAGATTGTCAAAGGACTCATACTTGAAGATCGATGCATACTACGAGGCACCGATACAAATGTTAAGCGAGGGCAGAGATGGTTTAGGCAATCATTTAATGATTTGGTCTAAACATCAAGGAGGTCTGGGAGAGCTTCGAGATTACATTCGTTGTCGTGATTCTATTAGGGAACTAGACATTTCCATGTCAATGCAAACAAGTCAAACATCAGAAATATCCAGGTATGATGCTATGGAAATCGCCTGAGTTGAGGATTGGTCAGATTCGTGTTCTGAGAGAGCGAGAGACTTCGAGGCGGGCGACGGAGGTGTCGCGTGTCTCCAAGTTACAAGCAGACACAACCCTCACTTACTTCAAATACCAACTGTAAGAATCAATACCGGCTCCACTGGCAAGGGTCGGCCGGCGAAACTATCAATATGTACTAGTGCCTTAAGCAACTGGCCATTCTATTTAACTACAGATACTAACTAGACAAAGCGCAGGGCGAAGAGCTGCAACAGGATTGCCGGGGCGGAGAGAATGATGATTGTGATTATCTTGTACGCCGTCCCACCCAAAGAGAAAACAACCCATAGACAATGTAAATTCCAATGTGTCACCAACAGGCATGTCACCATGAGATTCTGGGTAGATTCTGGGTAGAACAAACTGTCCGTGGTGGCGTTCACTTTCACTAGGTAAACCGAGTTCTTAATTCCCCGACTTGATTTTGTATTGTAGACATGGCCGTTGTCGCGATGTTTGTAAAACCCTGGAAAATGTACTTAATGGCCTGATGGCTTGGAAAAAAGAAGGGTTGACCATGAAAAGAATGTAAGGCCGTTGGGGTGTTGTTTCGATCTAGTGTGCCACAATCTTCCCAATTAGGCTAGGGGCATAAATTATTTGAATGTATCTTCGGTCGATGTACGGATGGATGCCGAAATAAAGAAAATTCTTGAAATCAAAAACGCTAGGTACTGAAATTGTTCACCCACTCGCCAATCCGGGATTCCAATTCCTCCGCACTTTCGATACAGAAATTCAGGCGCAGAAATTCGTCTGCACAAAATGATCTTCTCTCTGTTCAGTAAATCGTAGATTACCCAGGTAGGACTGGGTGTGCTATGTCTAATGCACAAAAGTATCGCGCAGAATTCCTTGCCCGCTCTACTTATTCTTTCGCTACTCATTAAAAATGATCTCAGGAGCCACAGCAATCATTGCAATGGCATCAACTCCAACATTTAGCCTTCTTCTGCTCCGCTGGGTATAGTGTGGTGTCTCGATGACCGGTTTCAGAATTTAGTATCTACAATCTGACTTTCACCTATAATCGACGGGAGATAGAAAATGTGAGTACATTTGCCTTGGAAGGGGAAAATTTTCCATGGGTAGTTTTGCATTCTGCACTTGATATCCACTGTGGCTGGCGGAGAAAGCCGACACCTTGGGCGATCTTCATCATCACTAGATCCACTGGCGTTGCAGGGGAATCATCCCACTTTCGTGAGTGGAAGTATCATTATGGAGAAGAGGCATACTTAGTGAAACTTAGGAATGGATCGCATTGGAGAGCGTCGTTACTATTCGCAGGACGACAGGCTTCAAAGGAGCCATACAAGACCCGACTCTCCTATTTTGGGGAATGAATATTGATTGGATAATTGGAGCTCAAATGAACCGTCAAATCCTGTTGATAAGATCCGGCGACGAAAGTATCTTCGCTTCTTTCACGGCATAGTCCATTGATTGATTCTTTGGTTTGGATGCTCGCCTTGGAGATGGGTCCTCGATTGACCGCTTCGCATACTTGAAGTTTCCATGGATTTCATGAAGCCCTTAGAAATTGCATCATATGGGATCAGTCGAATCGCAGTGATATGCATAGCATCTCCATGGTATCCGGTCACTTCAACGGCGATGAAACTCGGCGTGATAGGCTCACCCGTGCGGTCTGTCAACCCCACCAAAACTCTCACCCCTTCCTTGGTGGGGGCGTCATCTGTGCGACCTTTGGAATGCAACATCGTGCTGGGTTCCAATGAGTACTTGAGGCTCACGTAAGCTCCAATACACCCCTTTGAGTACGCACACAGCTCCGCATCGATTGTCATCGAGGAGGTCGGTGGAAAAACTCGGTCACCATTCGCAAGTAGGTCGCCATCATGTACTGACCACACTATTGGCTGGAATGTTATTAGCGAGTTGCTCGAAAAGTTTCTCTGCTTTCCCGTGCAGTAGACATACGTACCACATAGTACAAGGCTTCATGTGCCGGTTTTCGTTCACGCATATAAGGCATGTGAATATCGTGCGACGCCGAAAGGGCAGCAGCTAATGTCGCGATTGTCCCAAATCTGATGAGACTGGCCCACATTGAATCCGACACTTTGAGAATATTTGAAGAATATTTGAGAAACGAGATCAGCCGGAAGTGTGATGTATTGCGCAAATCCTCCAGGGTGAGCTTTCGACAAGGATACCTCCGTCTCTAGTACTTTCTCACTACTGACGAGGTTAAAAGACTGGAATTCGCTGAACATACATGGACTACTGGGTGGTACAAATGAATATTAAAAATGACGATAGAAGCCAACGTCGGAACAGCCACTTATGAAATGTCTACTCAAATTTTTGATCCCTTCTTGACTTGAGAATCCACCCTTTAATGCACCTGGAGCGACTGAGCAGTCAACAGACAGTGTGGGGCTGAAGTTGAGACAACTGTTGAAGCAACGACGGGTGGCGTTGCCCCACCTGTAATTCTAGCATGGTTCAAAATATGCCCCGGCCGGTATGAAACGGGGAGGGGCAGGAACCAGGACGTAAAGAGGGGACCACCAGATCTCACTGAAGTTGCAAACTGGAATTCATGACCGATAGCATTGGGCAGGCTCGCTAGAAATGAGCTAAAATACATTTCTATACTCTGAAGTTCTTCTGAGATCGAATTCCTGCTTCAAGATTGATTGCGAACGCGGGCTATGAATTGAGTGAACAAGAACTGCTGATTAAAAAAATTCCCGACAAATGCTGTAACTTGCCGAAATTTGTACTTCAATCAGGTCAGACACCCCATTGACGTATTCCCATTGCAATCAATCATCTTCTCCTCACTGTGTTGGCTCCCGCAAAATCCTCAAGCCACGCTTGCAGCTTCTTGGAATCTCACTGGTTGCCTTCCCGTCAACTTCGGCTAAGCAAAGAGAGTCACGATCATCAAAACCATCACCAAGGCCCCGAAGGCTGCTTCTCCAACTCCACCATAGTACATGATCTCGTAATATGGAATTTCACCAGCGTGGGAGAACCGTTCAAACGAGGATTGGTATCCATGTAAAATATCAGCAATAAGGCCACCTAAGGCGACGTAGCCAATGCTGACGAAGAATTGTATAAAGCCAAACAAGGCGAATGCGTCGTGGGATTTTGCGGCGCGGCTTGAAGACACGGTCAGCCCTATCCCAAATGTCGCGAAACCAGTCGATGCAAGTGCACCAATTATCGCAGATACTAGCACTCGGTGCATCAGGTTTGCGAAAACATTGTCTGCGACACTGTCACCGGAGGCTGCGAGATCAGATTTTGCACGATCGCGCAAGACAACTGCAAACCGGGCAATGGCTGAATCAAGGCTGGCAATAGCTAAGTTGATCACGATAAGAGAAGCGATGGCGAAGCGGATGCAGATCACGTCAAATATGGGTTGCAGTCTCATTTTGGTAGGATGTATAGAAAAGCGTGCTATTCAAAGGGTTGAAGATGCTCAGCTGGCAGAGACGAGATTTAGTCGACTTTTAAACTTGTTATGAGAAGAGATTCTGCTAATTTTTGTTTGTTCCCAGGAACGGTAGAGCTTCCAGGATCCTCAATCACATTTCTGGGTGACTACGATATGGTATTTCCCGAAAGGCTCTGGTCTACCAACACCACGGAGATCAAGCCGCACCAATCGTGTACTCCTAGGTATTCCATACCACAGAAATCCAGTTTTCGAGCTCAGGACTGTATCAGTGCAACCTCCATTCATTCCAAAGTCGCGGGAAAATACGCATAGGCAGCCACCGCCTGCGCACCTTCCAAATTTGGTGCATGGGTTACTCAACGCGTTGACACAACCGCGTTCACCAATTCACTCAACAAGGTCTTCACGACTGGGAGGCGAGATCATCGTTCCAGAGAGGCCGCCTTTTCACATGTCCGGACCCGCCACTTTTGACCGCTGGATGCTGCAGCTCTGCTTTTCCTCACCACATGGGCGACTCTTTGCAAAGTTACGATGAAACTTACAGGCCACAACTTTTACCACTTTTTTTGGGCAGCGAGATTCAGGGGTGCGCACAAGGCAGAACCGCCGATCATTATATGAGTTGCGTCCACTGCCATCAATTTCTTGGCTACTGGCGCATAGCATAGTCAGATTTTCCCACATGTTGACTGAACTTGATTGGGCAGTAATCATATACGAGTCCCAACTTTGGCGAAGGTGATATCGACTGAGAAGATAAATTCACTCCAATCCCGTCTTATTCTCTGGCCCCTCTCATCTTCTCTGCATTGTACTCAGAAATCCTCGGACACGACACTGTAACCACCATGCCTTCCAATAGCAGAATTCTCCCAACAGCTACTGAAAGACTCAGTGGACTTTGGAAACGGATTTTTGAATTCGCCCTGCTCATTGCTCTTATTTCGACGATCCTCTTGCGCCCTACGCATTCTGGAAAACTCAACTTCCACCCCAGCAAAGCTCCAACCTTGTACAGCATGTCACTCATTACGACCGTGCTATCTTGTACAGTCTCCCTGATGATGGAATTCTATCGCGACGACTCCTTGATTCCGGATCGACTTGAGCGCATACTCATGTGGGTGCCGCTCGTCCTGCTCGACCTTTCTATTGTTGAGCTCATCGCGGGCATCTCGGCCTCCAGCGTCTCAGCAGAGCACCGCGGGATTCTCAGTTGGTATTCAAGGGGCATTGTGTTGGGTTGCATATGCCTAGCAATATTTTTGGCGTACAGGCGTATCTGTCGAGCCAATTATGCTGTTCGTGCTGGAGGTCTTGAATAATCAAGCAGTGAATAAAGGAGAGGCTCGTAGGCCAATTATGGCGATGCGGATCAGATGTTCTTTCACTGAAATTCGCCCGCGCTTGAGTGGTGCGGAAGCAAATTTCGCGTTGGAACATCATCTGATATAGCGTATTGAAGGCCCTAGAGTCAATATAATGAGGCTTCCACACTCTACATCTTTCTCAAAGGCACCATTGGGTCAGTGAGCCTCGCTGTTGCGACGTCTAGGCTCGCTTGTATTGAGCTTATTTCCTAATCTCTCTCTCTCATATTTGCTATTGCTAAAACCTCCTCAATCGTAGCCGTTTAAAGCTCAATGAATCTCATCTCGCGTGTCCCTATCAACATAGTCAATCCAAACTTGCAATCGCACTGGACCAGGCGCAAGGTTACCGCCGATGCCATTCTCATATCTAGTCGCGAATGTGTAGGCATTTTCAATCCGAGCCGCGCTTTTGCTGACACTGGAGCAAACTCCTGTCACTGCATCACAAATCTTCATTCCCTGAACGTCCAACTGGGCGCTCTGAGCAGCAATTGCAGAGACATCAAATCCACTCCACCCAAGATTGATGCGCGAGCCAAAATCAAACTCTCCCCAGGTGGTTGCGTAACCCCCGTTAGTGTCCAATGGGATGTGAGACCCGCGCGCAGCTGCCCATCCACCTTGCGAGTCGCCATCGAACGCAAAGAAGCGAGTTTGGCTGCCTGTGAGGTGGAAGTCATGACAGGCGTTACCAAACCATCCGTTCATCACCCCGTCTGGTCCGTATTTGTTCCAAATAACCACTGTCCAAGAGTCGCCGGGGACTCCATTGAACTGAACCACATGTCTGTAGTCATCTGCAGCGTGTGCAGGGATCTCGATGATGTTGCTGCCATACGGGATGCCAACATTCCCCCGATAGTTGTCGCCGCTACCGATTGGGAGCGTGCGCTGACCAAAACCTGCAGAGGCGTACCCTTGACACCCGGATATCTTTCTTCCATGGGCTTCTTGTGAAAAACTGTTTCCTGAGCTTCCATCGGCCCAAACCGGCGTGGGTACGATGATGCTCAGGAGAGCGACAGCGAGGAGTCTGGCGGTGTGCATTTGCTCCTACCATTCAATGTCCTTTTGATTGTTAATCAAATAGACGGGGTAGTGAAGGGTAGACTGCAATGCCAAGGAGGCAAGTGAAGCTTTTAACTGGAAGCCGTGTCTTTCTCTGGGCGACCTTTGATCCTCATCTTTTGATTACAAACGGGAATCAGTTTTTGGTTCGAAAGGAAGCTATGTCGTACTGAAGCCTTTTCTTGTATAATAATCCAGCTATTGGAAAGAATCTTGCCCCGTGGAACTTGATGGGTGCGCGTAGAAAGATAGTATAAATTGTAGTATGTTATTGACAACGAGCTTCGACCAACAAATAGATTCATGGGGCGCCGACTTGCTCTAAACAGCTTTGCAATTTGCACTCAATGTTCGATTCATGGTAAAGTTGGGTGACAGCAGAGCCCACGCTCTGTACTGGTGAGCTCTTCACGGTGTGGACATATGAGGAGTCGGAAAGAAAACATACCAAGAACGCCTTCCACTTTATGTTGCAATATCATAGCTTGAATCTCTTTTCGCATCCATGCCAAGTTCTGACACGGGCTCTCAACACGGGAAACGACAAAAACATCTCTTTCTACCGTTATTTCTGAGTCTCGACTGATGGCGTAGAGGTGGCACTCTACCCAACTGACCTTGAAAAAAGCAGACAAGAAGAGAAAGACCTCCTCGGTGGATGTACTCGACGAAAGGGGGTCTGGGCCGTACCACGGGAGCCACGTTTGATTTGCGAGCACTACATCGGAAATCGGACAGAGCACGCAGGATATGCAGTCATAGACGGCAATGGCTTTTTCTGAGATTTGTGGGTAGGCTGGTGAGCTCAAAAGAATGCTACTCGCAAGACGTGGCGATGGAGGGGGCGTGTCGATGAATTGCTCCCACAGAATGTCTAGTTCGGCCGAAAGGTCATTCACCGAAAGGTCATTCACTATAAGAATCAGTAAGCATGACAGTGAGAATAATTTAGCATGAACGTACTTATTTGAGTAGGTTTTTCGCCTTCTATTTAGAGATGTGTCGCGTCGTACCTGCGGTTTGCTAGTTGCTCTCGGTAAGATGAATGTAGTAAGAAATTTACGACTGGGCGCTATTGTTAGGCTACAAGGGATATATAGAATAACAAAAGTGAGTCGGTGCATCTTACCATGGTTCGACGTTGAAAGCGAGGCCAGCAAAATGTGCACCCTCAGGGTCAAATAATTGCGTGGTCCAAGAGGCTGTTCTGGCTGGACCCACAAATCTTGGCCAGTGAATCAACGACCCTCGACAGTGATTAAACATCCGTAACACGACCACTCACCACCTGAGCAAATATTTGAGCAGCTATCTTAAGTCTGGTACGCAGTGAAGTTACAATTTTGAGCAGATCACTTTTGTCAATCAAGCCGTTCCGCTATCGCAGGCTGGGAGAGGCCCAGAGCGCCGCCAGGGCATTTTTTGGCAGTGAGAATGACCAGGTCTTTTGGATGACCTGTTTCAGCAATGCGACGCAAAGAATAGCACATATGGTAGGCTCTATGCTGATCATCCTGTCTAAGCCTGGCAGTAAAAGCACGTTGAGTACCCATGGGTCGTCATTCAACAATCCCTAGTGTTGAGCACACACCACGTCATTTCCTGGGCCTTTGAGAGGGGTTGATCTCTTTCAAACAGGCTGCCACGGAAAGAACTTTGCACAAGGAGCCTTATTTATTGATGCGCATTTTTTCTCATAAAATCTCCTTGCGAGCTCCTCACATATCTGCGATTCCAACCAGCTAGGATGAGCGACATGGCAAGTGACAGGGCTTCCGAGCTGGGGTGCGACTTCTCAGATCCTAGTTCACAGCTCATCCGAGAGTTACACGAATCTCAAGTCGGTGCAGCCCTAAGGGGATCAAAGCGCGACAGAAAATAACCCTACACAGGTCGCCCGGCTACCTGACTGATTGGGATGGTAAGAGCGCATTTCGCGAACTCTATCAGAACTGGTAAGTCCTTTCACCCAATCGCGAACATGGAGCTGACTCTAGACAGGAAGGATGCCTTCATGGAGACGCATAGACTACACAGGAAAGGATTCAGACCGATACTCAGAGACGAAGGGCACCGCATCATTATCCTTGTTCCGAGGCCATCGCCTGACGAGCAGTCTTCCGAAGCTCTGGGGTTTATCAAATATCAAAAGAGTAACGGCAGTACATATCACTTTGGCCAATTCCAATTCGTCTCTGCCGATCGAGGCACTGGGACTGGGATGGTCTTCCAAGAATGGGCCTGATTTGATCGGGCCTAAAGTTGGCTGCCATGGTCCTCATTCGAGAGGGCTACCAGGTCCGCATTGCAGCTAGCCGGACCAACTGGAAATTTTCATGGGACCAAACTGCATCTCAAGTGAGCTGTTCCTTGCGGCCTTCTTTGCAGAAGGAGGCTCCTGATGGTGTAGATGCAGCAATAGACATGGACCGGCTGCGTTCTCGTATTGACAGGGATGTCTCTGTGACAATCGCTAGTAGTCAAGATCAGTTACCAGCGGAGACATTCCTCAATTGGTTATCAGTCACCATGGATATTCGCGGACTGAACTACCCAGTCACTGTTGCCACCACCGACTACGGCGACGTGATTCTAGACAGGGAGATGAATAGAAAAGATTTTCTTCCAAGGGCTTCTTGTATCATCCGTGGTATCACTCTTTAAAGGTTACAAGCTCAGCTACAACTTTGCACACGGTATGTTGACGCGTGACAGACTGTGGGTGGCCAACCAGCAGAGTGAGGCTGACTTGATTCGGAAGATTTGGGAGTGTGCACTGACTCAGCATGGCAAGGAGCTGCTGCCGATTTACGTTAGCCTCCTTCGACATTTCCCAAGTTCTGCCGATGTAGCATTGGCAGACCGCCTCCTGGAGGCGTCGACCAGGCATCTGATCTGGCAGCACCTTCTGCAAAATTCAAATAACCGCGAATTTTTCTATGATGGGAGGCTGTCGTCACAGGTAAGTCTCAGCAATCTGAATGGCACGTCTTTAATGCTAACTCTCCAGACCGTAGGAATGATTCGGGAGCACACAGGCAAGCAGCCGGTGGCGCTACCTCCGCCGCTCTGGGAAATGCTTCGATCGAGCACGTCCATCCGAACATATGAAGAGGAACAGACGAAGCGATTTAAGGATGCGCCTCTTGCCGAGCATCCGACAAGCACCTTTGGCCAGACTGTTGCGAGAGCGGTGAGAGCGTGCATGGCTCTTTTGAGTGCCACACTGAATATCGAGGTACAGTTTGTCCAAATCAACGGCAAAGCAATTGACGTATGTTTTGATCGACAGGATAACATACTGAAGATTCGTAGCCTGTGGCTTGACTTCCAGAGTGTACACGGTGGGGGCTCATGCTGTTATGAGTTGGATGCGGGCATGGTAGGCCCAGACGTGGCCTTTTTCTGTGATCACACTATCGAAGAATTGATGCTTCGGGCTGTAGATTCTGTTTTCCAGAGTTCTCCTCCTTTGGCGGCTACCAAAAGACGTTACTTAGGCCATATCAGGCGTCTCTTGAGGTTCATGCCGCAGAGGATCGAATCCTCATATCAGCGCTACGGCTTGGTGGTCACTTGGGAGAACCGCAGGATCCGCTCGGTGCAAATGGACCATGATACTGCAGCGCAATATCATGTTGTCCTCCACGAAGAAAAATGTATCGCGGAGTATTCTTGCAAATTACTCCATACCAAAAGTAAGTCCCGACGAATCGACTGACATGATCCATTATTGACATTCTTAGTTACGGATGCCAGCGAGCCTGCACCATGCGGATGTGCCCAACGATTAGCTTCAGAGCCAGATATGTTCTGTGTGTTCCAGCCTTTGGATAGAACGAAGCATTATTTTGCCATGATTGCGTTGAACGAAGACTCGTCATTCTACGGATTACCGTCAGCGGTGGTTCAGTTTGCTCGAGAAGACCAAAGCACGGGGTGCGTCGCGTGAGCGGAATCACGCGAAGAGTTCTGTTGTGTTCTTGCTCATATCCATCGAATGATCACTTGAACACACGACTGATATGCTGGGACTGTCTTCAGCCTGCATCGGAATAAAGAGTTCTTTGAGTGCAATGGGCCTAAATTAGTTGTCATCGTTGACGAACGTTTGAACAGCAGCACTTAATCCTCTCGCAGGCGGAGGCCAAAAGTGCGGCCACCCAAAATCCTCCTGCAAATTATCTCCCTTCATCAAATCAGCAGGAGGGTATATGAGAGGATCTGCCCGCCATATATCTCGTTCTTGCTGTGCACATCCAAATTCGCACCTCAGCCGCTGCAATGTTTCTTCTCAAGGCTGTCTCCATCATTATGGCTGTGGGTTGGGCTTCGGGCCATATGATCTTAAACAACCCAAAACCATTTGGCAAGGCAACCCTCAACAATTCCCCGCTCGCAGCAGATGGGAGCGACTTTCCGTGCAAGCTACGCCCGGGTGCATTCGAAGCGCCCGAGGAGCAGAATATCGTCGGCGTCGGAGAGACACATCCCCTATCTTTTGAAGGAGGCGCCATGCATGGCGGAGGATCCTGCCAAGTCAGTTTGACGATAGACCGGATTCCGTCTAAAGATTCAGAGTGGTTGGTCATCAAATCTTTCGAGGGCGGCTGTCCGGCCAGTACTAGCGGTAGCATTGGAAGTAGCTCGGCAGCTGTGGATCCCTTCCACTTCAACTTTACCGTTCCTGAGAGCATGAAACCGGGGGACTACACGTTGGCCTGGACGTGGTTTAATCAGATCGGCAATCGTGAAATGTACATGAATTGCGCCCCGATCACAATCACCGGTCTACCCGCCAACGGATCGCAAACACGGCCTTCTTTCCCACCAATGTTCATCGCGAATATCAATGGTTGTAATACTACAGAGAACGTTGATATCCGGTTCCCCCACCCAGGTAATGCTCTTGAGTACAACGGCGACCCGGCAAAGTTGGCGCCCCTGGGCTTGCCTGCCTGCACAGGAGTCCCGCTTTTCGGCGACCGCGGCGTAACAGCCTTGCAAGTTCCCCCGACAAGCGGCTCGCATTCATCGTCTCCAGTTATGGCTTCTGCAGCACCTTCCTGGTGCATCGCTCGGCCTCCGACTGCATGAATGTCTGGGTGATTGGCTTCGCAGTCATCTTTATGGCTAGGCACAAACCACGCAGGCCGCGTTTTCATGCTTCAGTACGAGTTTAAATGAATTTGCGATTTCTTCTTTTTCCTTATCGATCCACTAAAACCGAATTTAAATGTTGCTTACTAATTTGAGAAATGTACTAGCCGTGCCTACACCGCTACGCGGCAGAACACCAAATGGGGTCGCCCCATTTGGTGTCCCGCAGCGGAATGGAAATTCTCACCGGAATGGAAAATTTTCTGAATTTTATCATATTGTTTAAAAAGACTTCCTTAACTATGGCCAAACCTACTGAAACCGAGGTATCTCGTGTAAATCAGGCCATTAAATACGCCTGAAGCCTCAAAAAGCCGAATTTGTCCGCCATTTCTAAGGAATATGGCGTTGATTACAAGCTTCTTTGGAGACGTGTAAAACAGAACATAAAGCCAAAAACAGATGTTAAACTATCGAATTACACCTTGAACGTATAGTAAGAAAAGGCTTTAGGGTATTGGATATAGGCTATAGATGTAGCTTTTATACCCCCTACGCCAAATATTATAGAACAATAGGCTAATACTACCCTTACTCGATCAAAAACACCTGATCGGACGGTCGGAAAAGACTAGGTTTATTGTTATATTAAACGATTTCCTGATACAGAAATGAAGCTTAGAAGGCAAAAGATTATTGATTCAAAACGTCTAGGAGCAGTAGATGTCTCAATGTTATATCATTAGTACGATTTATTAGCCAAAGCCCTAGATAGTATACACCCACAGTTAATTTACAATTTCAATAAAACTGGCTTTTATATTGGACAAGGAAGAACTCAGCGAGTATTTTCTAGCCGAATAAATAAATCACAACAGCTTATAAGCAATAAACACGGAGAAAGAGTTACAATCGTAGAATGTATTACTACAGATAGCTGGTGAATATATCCCCTTATTATCTTTAAAGGCCAACATCATATAAAATCGTGGTATAACCATATTTTACCTAATAAATAGATAACTATAACTATAGAGAAAGGCTATATTATTGATAAACTTACTGTGCTTTAGATACAAGAATTTAACCGTGAAACATATAATTGTATTAATAAAAATAAGCAACGAATTCTTTTGGTTAATAGTTGTGGTTCATATCTAACTTTTGAATTTCTCAATATTGTAGAGAAAGCTAATATTAAGATCTTTGGTTTCCTTCTAAATAGAACTAATTATCTTCAATCTCTTAATAGTAAACTATTTTCCTACAAAGCTTATTTCCGATCGCAAAATAACCTTATTTCTTAATAGGGGGGTAGCCAACTTGCTACAAAATTATCTTTTCTTCACAACCTTCTTACCTTCCGAGATAAAGCTCTTATATCCTATATCTATTGGAATGCCTTTAAAGATCATAGAATCTATCCTCTAGATATAGAGATAGTTTATAAACCTCTCAATAATTCTCTTCCAGAGTCTCTAGATCTAGAAATTGATCTACGGAATGAGAAAACACTATCTCCAGGGCCAGATCTTTTATCTTTAAGTCTTAAAAACATACTTTTAAAGACATTTAAAGATGTGGAAAAACGACAAAGACATCTCTCTGGACTTCTTGATCGATCTAATATAATACCTAAAGAGAAAAAAACACTCTTATAGGTCTTAGAAGAGTAAGAATTCTATTTTAATACCTTAGTTAATACCTTAGCTACTATAGCTGAGATAGCTAGATTTAAAGCTCTACGGGAGAAAAAAATTACCAAAAGGCATATTTTAGGCCTTAGAGATAACGGAATGATTTGTGTTAAAGATACAAAACGTAGTATTACTACCAGGCATACTAAGGAAGCTGAAAAAGAGGAAAAACGGCTTGCGAGGGAGTGGAAGAAAAACCATCCTAATTCTACCACACCATTCAGATCGGAGGCTGAAAAGGATGTAGAGGCTGAGCCGTTATATAACGAGACAGGAGAGGTTATTGGTTTTTTTGATAAATTCTAAATTATATAGAGATTTGTATGTAAAGACGAAAATTTTCCATTCCGGTGAGAATTTCCATTCCGCTGCGGAACACCAATTCGCCCGGGCGCGAATTGGTGTTCTGCCGTGTAGCGGTGTAGACACGGCTACTTGATAGCTGCAGACCAACCGTGAACCTGCCTTGTAGCCAATCTTCGATCGATGACCACATGTCAGTCTTGAATAACAAATGCTGACCAAGAAAAGCATTCAGTAGTGAAAATCTCTCACATTGTTGTAAAGTATACAGGGAGTTGACAGAAATTCAGTTCAAAGCTAAATAAAGACACATGCGACAGTTTCCTCGTGTTGCAGATCACAATTTCCAAGGTGAGGCGTTCAATCATATCAAATAACTTAGAGAACGCGCGGTTCTTAGCCTTATGAGGCTCGTGAGCTTCAATCTAAACCATCCTCATGCTCAGGAGCGGCGCCGCCTTCAACCTTGATCGCAGAGCTAGCGACACGCTTCCGCCCCTCTCCACTCAATTCAGTACCCAGATTTGCGAGCAAAATCCTCACCAACGATCCGGCATCTCGTCGCTGAATTGATGAACCGTCGGTTGAGATCAGCTCTTCGCACTGCCTTGCCGCTAGCAAGAACAGCCGTAAGAGATTGGTAGCGTTGATAAGGCTTATATGGGAGCGAATCGGAGAAGATAAATGACGAACTTTGGGAGAAATTGCCTTAATGATGCCCTTCCAACTGGTTATGAGTTGCCTCTTTGAACATATCCGAAGTAGCGGAGCATGGCGTGCCTTTCGTACGGATCGTCGGAATACCGTCGAATTCCCGCTGCTGGAGTGTGATTGGGCGCGGATTTGTGAATTGGACATGGGTAGACGCCTTTGGCTCTCTTCCACTGACTGGTCCATCTCAAAATAGTCTTTCTTATCCGGGTAGCTGGATAGAAGGCTGTTCTCTCGAACCGTCCCGGTACCAGCTTCTGATCGCACTGCGACCAACCAGAGAATGAATACCATTGCTCTAATCACCATTTCTTCTTGTGTAACGGTACGGTGTTGATGACACGGGCCCTGACGTCTGACGACCTGGTGCAAACGTGCCATCATTGATTGCATAGAAAACACACGTCAAATGTCACAGGTAGTAAGTTCAGGACAAGGAACACTGTGCTAGGTCTTATAGTAGACCTATGTGGCATTTTTCGCTAAGAAGAGCGTGATCGTTGTATTTTCGTTACGAAATTGAGGCGTCATATGAAAATGAAGGTGTTGATTTAGATTGCAGGCTCAACGCGAAATGTCGTTGATGCCCGTTCGAATTAGCCATAATGGGCAACAATCAACACTTCTGGTCGAGCGCTCAGAGTTGGACGCTCAAGTGTTTCATAAAGTGAGAGTGATCAACCGTTGAGGGGTTTTCGCCGGCAATGGTAGTGCGCGAGTTTCTTGGTACCAGCATATGTATATAACTTCGTTTTCACGCTGCATTCGAAAATACTGATCCAGCCCTAACATCTCAATTCTCAATGGCACCAGTGTCTACCCGTGTCCAGAGAGAACAACTCCGCAAGCGTCGGAATAATCTCTTGCGACGCCACAACGATTTCTGGCGTTTGTATGGAATCAAGAGTTGGCTAGTCATGGAGTCGCCCGAAGGACAGATCTTCACGTACCACTCGCACCCGAGTATTCCGTCGCCTTCAGGAAAAGACATGGTAAGTTTGCAACTCAAATCAGATCTCACAGTAGTGCTCACAGTAACCAGGAAACCCGCCACAAGCCAAAGATTGCAAGAACACCGCACGACTATGATTCTGCGCCAAGCTTGGACACTCTTGGAGGCAAAGTTCCGGCTCTGCAGATCCCTATCCGCCGACCGGCTTTATGGAGGTCACTGGCCTGGTATTTGAAGAAGGTCGCTTGAGAGCGAGAGTCGGTGAACATGCTGTGACCTGTACTTGAATGACATGACTTTTCGTTTGCTGAATATTCACGTGTGGCGTGAGGCCATATTAGTACCCATGCTTTGATCTAGAGCATAATGATTGTGAATAATGTATCTACATTGAGGCTGCAGAAATGACAAAAGCTGAGAGACAAACCATTACAAACTCTAATGGAAGTAGATATATAAGCAGTTCGAATATGAGAGCCCACGTGTAGCCAGCCACATGGAATAGTGCTAAATAGCAAAGACACTACTTTTGCGTGAGAGTGAATGATTTTGCCAAACACGAGATTTGGCGTTAAAGAATTACCTAGTATACGTCTAAGACAGAGCCCAATTGCTAATCAAAAAAGTATCTTTTGAAACTTCTCAATTTGCTTGACGTAAATAGTAGGACCTCGCAAATCCCAATCACCAATCAAGAAAGACCTTTGGTCTCGTCGAGTGGTACCATGACTTGTGAAAAGCGCCTCACCCTCACAAGCGTCGCTTTTTGTTAGCCACGGAAGGCTCCACAATTTGAAGCTTCCGTTTACTCCGACGAAAACAATTGCAGGAGCGCATACGTGGCCAGACGGAATTCTGGTGGTCCGCGCGTCCAAAATGATCAAAGGCTTGTTGCTCCTGGAGCAACTCCAGTAACGATTTGGGAAAACCGCCGATCGTTTCGCTGTGGCAGTCATTGGCTATTTGAATGGAGAATCTCTCCTCTAGGCTAGACACAGCAAAAGAGAGTCCTTTTCTGAAGTGGCCACAGGTAAGACAGCAGTCCTCAATGTCCAGGCATTCTAGCTTGTGACCGTTACTGACCTGGAGCCACGCATGAGGAAATTCAACGAGAACGCGGCCAAGGATTGGAGCCGCTTCTGGTCGTGAGCACAGCACTGAGCCTTTGCAAGAGAAGCCGGCATGGGTCCGCACGGGGATATCGTCTAGCTCGAAGAAGAACATGCCCCTGGCGAGCACCTTGCGAACAACATGGTCGCTCACGGGGAAGTCCATCATTGAGAATTCTTGAAGCGCGCTCACATCGTCGAGATGAGGCAATGGGCCGTCGATTTCCTGATCTAGTCGCAAGATTCTGTCATGTGAGTCAGTGGGGAAATAGTTCAAAGCTTCCGCAAAACCTTGCGTTCCATCCAAACAGGGGGAAGACATCATCGCGCGCCATAGTCGAGGCAGGGCCCCTTCCCAAAGCCACCCCAATAGGCCCGACTGAGGCCTGTGCGAGGACCGCGAGAAGCCAGTTCCGACAGATAAGATGAGGTCGAATGTCGAGGATGACGGCCAGATGACGCTTGTTTCCCGCATGGCAATCGCAACCGGGTTGTTCGCGCGCACCCCGCCATCTTGGAACGGCCCAAACTCCGGCAAAGTTGTGGTGTGAAAATAACTACAAGAGGCACTCAGCATTTGGTCAAGTTCATTCATGGCTGGTCACTTACAATGGGGCCGCTACGCTGCACATTGCCCTGCACAAAGAAAGTGAGCTGTGAATTGCCTATCCCAAATATGATCGATGACCAGACATAGAAAATCACTTACGCATCAGCCAGCAACGGACCTTCCGGACTGTTCGTTACCAAAAATCGATAGGCAGCAGATGCACAACGCTGGCCGCAGCCCCGATAATTGGCCAAAACGCATGCCTTGCCATCCGAGGTGCGACTTGCCACAAGTGCCACACGACAGCCTGCCGGGGATGTCCTGGCAGGGGCAAACATGTGGTGTTCAGGGCCGACGGCTTCCTTCAACGCCCCCGATAACTCGGAAGAATCATAGAGGCCACCTGTCAGCAAATTGAACGCGGACATCATCCATCGAAAACAGCGAGGTACCGGGAGTCTCGCGCGTCGGAAGATTCTCTGCGCAAAGCTTGGAAACACATCAAGGCATTCATCGAGCGATCGGTCGTTGAGGAAGAGGTTGATGGCGGACAAGGCTCCTGTTAGAAAGATTCAGCGCGTAGTTCGTCAATTAGGTAGGCTGTCCATACCGACACTGGTTCCACCGCAAAGGTCTGGAAGTGAATTGATGGGCAGGCCGATGCGCTCCTCTAGCGCCCGCAGGAGCCGCAGCTGCAACAGACCCCTCACCCCGCCGCCGTCCAAGCTGAGAATCAACGGGCCCTTGGTAGGAGGCAGTTGGCGGATGACAACATAATTCTCGCAGCCACAAAGAGGACATTCAGGTATATTGATATGGTAAAGGCCGAGCTCGCTGGGCTGCCCAAAGATCACGACACACGTGTCGCACAGGGCGTGCCGGCATGGCAGCATATGCTCGGGCGGCCGGCTTAGACAAACCAAACAAACAACCGCGGATCGCAGCGCGTTCTCACCGCCCTGGCGATAGAGGCGGTTGAGCGTGGTCTTCCGAATGCTCGACGATGATCTTAGCGGGCCGACCTGCGCAAAATACTGCTTGAATCGCGACAACACGCATCCGTAGCGGCCAAGTCTCTCGCCGGCCCGCTCTGCAGCCCACCACTCCCCATAAAGCTTCTTCATCAAAGCCGCCGGCGAAAATCCTGAGAAGTCAGCACTATGCTCAGCGAAGGGGGATTGATCATACCGTGCATTCCCGGGGGATACGCATCCATGAGGAGCGCAGACGCCACGGCTCCGTAAATATTTCCCTCGGTGTAGCCGTCAATTCGCATCAAGCGTACACCCTCGCACAAAGACTCATGCATACTCCGGGGTTTTGCAAAATTGCGTCGCGCGTGAGCCAACAGATCCAACGGCGTGGTGTTAAGGATGTGCAGCGGGCGTTGCAGGCTCAACTTCCAGAATGCGCCGAGGTGCAATGCCGAGAATAGTCGATAGTCTGATTGCTGCGCGGTCCAAATCTCTGGAAGACCGTCCGAAATGAGACCACGCAAGGGTTCAAAGGCGACATCATCGGAGCACCGGCTCCTTTCACGTAAATCCAAGATAGTGAGTCTATCGGCGTGAGAGAGCTCCCATAGACTCACTTGGCGCCCGATGTCTTCCGGGGGGATTTTCTCGGTCACAATCACAACATGCAGCGCATTGGAGAGACATTCGTCCCCAACCGCCAGCGGTCTGCGTGGGAGTCGGAGCAGTTCCCCGGCTGCTTTCAGGTCGACCGACGTATCGACAAAAAGACACATCATCTGCGTCCAGGGCATGACCACGTGGCTAGCGAATTGATGGCGAAGTCGTGCGGGCACCAATTCACCGCCGACATCAGTCAGTGTGTGCCTCTGGTGCCTTTGCGTGGCATACCTGAGCCATTTTGTGTCGCCTAGAGATTTTTCCCAACACAAAGCGCTCTCCGCGAACAAAATTGGTTGCTCTGTATGAGCTGTCCGGGCGCTGAGATGAAGGCGGACCATGCCTGCTGGGCCTTGACGTGAGACATTGTTTTGCGGGAAAAGAGTCCGCAATGCCCGCATACGATTCGCATTTCCCACAAACAAGAGCAGACAGGGATACTGGCAGCTAGGATATGGCATCTCTTTCACCAGCTCTTCCAGGCGATGGGTATCTACCAAGGACCATACGCCGTCCTCGCGGACCAGATCGAGCCATGCTGCCATTGCTTGTCTCGGTCATCTTAGGTTGATGACATGCGCTCTTATATAGCGATGATCAACCAAGCTTGATGGACCGCAGTATTGTCACTTTAGTCTGTATTCTCACAATCTGCTTCCAGGGTATCATTTGAAGCGGACTGCAGGAGTCACATTTTGCTGCTTGCATGCAACCTATCATTTGCTACGCATCTGTGAGCCGAGAGTTGAGGGACCTCGTAGAGCACCCTGTATATCAACTGTACAACGACGGGGTTTTTTTCTTCACATAGGGGCTTAATTCAGAATGTTTAGAAAGGCAATAAACCGCAGACACTCAAAATGGCAATCGACTTGGACCGATTATCTGGCAGGAGTGGACAAAAGATTGAGGGTGGATAGTCCTGTTGTAAATCGACGGCGTAATCCAGCATGTCGCATTCCAAATGTATGCTCACAAGAGAGACACAGCCGGGCCTCAGTTCTCTCCCTAATGCCTCACTTGCAACTGTCCAAATGTGGAGAGTGCGTGGTGTCATGTTGGTGTGCAAAGCGCTGATGGATCAACGTTGGGCACACTCGGAAGATCAATTAAGATGGGGTATTAGCTGCCAACAATTTTGAGGCTCCAGTCCTCACAAATGATCGTCACCTACGATGGTACTGTCACCGATTACATGGTTTTTTGAGTCGCCTGAAAAAACCCGAGCAAACGAATTAATCAACCACCAAATATTGCAGGATTGACAAAAGCGAGGAGTCCCTACATGGAATCCACACATACTCTAGGTCTATAAGACCTCTTCTAGCCGAGCGAGTCTCCAACACTCACCAGAGAAAAAATGTCATCCCGCGCACGCCAGACAATATGGGTCGATGCATCCGATCAAAGCCTCGATCCTCGCTCAACGACAACTCTCGTCTCGAACGCAGCCAGGCAACCAGAGGTTCCAGGTCCCGGTCCCAAGGTCAAGATATGTGACCAGGATCCGGAGGACCACTTTGACTCAACTGCGGAGATCATGTACGATCGCCCTCTATGTATTGCGCGGCGGAAGCAAGCAAAGGGAGAATTGGTGCATATTCAAAAGTCAGAGTGCGCTACTTTGGCTCGAAACATCTTAAAAGATTTCAACGACCAGACTCCCCACCGCAGCTTCCGACAATTGCTCGGAGGCTATCGCCACGGCGGTATGGCGTTTCTCATGTGGGAGCCAGTTGAAGTATCCGTCGAGCAGATCATGGCGGCTCAAGGCATCATCAAAGCGACGGAGGTGATTGCCATTGCGAAACCGGTAAGTGCTGCGCAGCTTTCAGGAATGTATCTCTGACTGCAGCAGGTGCTTGAAGGCATTCGACATCTTGCGGACCATGGGAGGGTCCTCAATGTGCTGAATGCTAAGACAATATTGCTTACCGCCACTGGTCAAGTAAAAATTGGTACGAGGTGGAACACAGTTCATGGAAAGTAGAGCTAACGTCTGTCTAGCCGGTGTCGAAAACAGCATCCAGATCGACCCAGAAGCGATGGATGCTGCGACTATGAAGCTTTCCGCTTTGGCCCACGTGATCAGCGGTCTGATGAAAAAGAATCCGACAACGTACGAATGGTTGCCCATGATCAAGAATCTTCCCTTGCAGCTCGAGACACGCTCTGTGAATGAAATATTGCAGGTATGGTTATCCGCCTTCCTCCTTTTCTGCAGCTGACAACCAACAGAGCACGCCTTTTAACCCGGGCCCTCCAATCGATGAGTTGGTAATGATGACCAACATCACGAACAAGACCGCGCACCACCGGGTCAAGTATTCTGATCGAGGCGAGGATTAAGCTTCAGTTACCGTGAAAAGCTGGGATGTTGGTATTCCACCTTTTCGAGGCCCGAGGCAGGCGGGATGGAGAAATGAGCCTCCTTGGGAGCCTGACCTGGATAAATGGGCAGATTGAATGCAGAACGAGATTTTTATTTGTAAGTCATTGTGAAAAGAGACATGAGTAAGCCAGTTCTGCTATAAGACGTTGATACGGCACATTTCAGAGAATAAATCAAGGCAATGTTATTTGTTCTTTAGTTCCTCGTCGAGCGAAATTTGAGTCTAGATGGTCTTGGGCGCTTCAACGCAATCGGATCAATGGAAGCAGAGAGGAAGAGCCCTTGCATTCCGTAGCGACCAAGTTCAACAGTGAACATTATGGATCATGGTCTTGTGCCGACTGCCTACCAGGTAACTAGTTATTTTTATCTCAGCCCAAGCTATCTACGGGAACGTGTGATAACCGAGAACGGTGGTTTTACTTTCATGCGGGAATTGATAGTCTAGTTGACACCTGAGGTCACAAACGAGCAAACTTCCATTGGAAAACCCGGCCTAGTAGATAGGAGCAGCACGACACCACTGGTTGAAATCGTGAACAGTTCCCGAGAGGGCCGTGCGCCCCGGACAAGATCACCGCTTATACCCATCGAGAATCTTGGACCTAACCCACCGCGCGTGATTATTGTCTTCCAGCAAAACCAGCGGGATTCCTCTGGTCGAGTCCTCAAAAATTCCACCATTGCGCTTGTAAGATGGTACTGCGGTGTTATGGACAGAGTTATCTGGCCCCTGCCTCTGAGGCGCTGCAGAGTCGTCATATTGCACGTACTCAACGCCCAAAGGATCCTCGCCACCACCAGTCGTGCGCATGACACATGGCTCCGCTTCCATGTCAAGGTTGACGATCGACAAACTCGGGCACTTTTCTCGTTGTGTAATACGGGCCACACGCTCGCGTAGCTTCTCGCCAGTGCACACTGTACTTTTCATCAGCACGACTTCGGAATGGGGTGTGAGAACTGTTTACCTGCGACAGCAATTTTACCCGATTGGGTGCGGATGTGATGCACCAGTACTTTTTCAACATCAACAGGCGCGAAGTAGTAATGCAGACGCGTTCTATTCTTCAGCAATTTGCGCGTCGCTGAAGGGGCGTGCAAAAGATGAATCGAAAAGTTCAAGATCTGAGTCCGTCTCATATCAGTGTGAAGGCTGCAAGGATGATCCGGTTACAAAAGAGAAACATACATCGAATCCGTGATGATCCTGTGGAGTTTCCCCTGTCCCTGATCCCATCCGGTCTCCCACCAAATCAAGCTTCAGTATATGCTGGATTTCGCGGTGGACCCAGCTTTGATGTTCTGAGAGATTCGGTCAGTTAGACACGGCATCTGGAGCGTCCTTAACTTACTAAACTTTGAATACTCAGTCTGCCAAAGAACTTCCAAACGTCGAACCTTGTTTGTGCGTTCGCGGCTTCCCTCCACCAAATCACGAATGAATGGCAAAGCCCGCAAGAGTCCGATATCCTCCAGTGCAAATACCACCGTTCCATTCTGGCCAAACGAATGTGCGCCTCCGTAAGGGCCAAACACAAAGGCTGGCAGGTTCAGACTCGGCACGCCAGCGTGTAAGATACGCTGCGTTAGCTTTTTGTCAGACTGGAGGAAGGTCTGGTCACCACTCGGAGAACTTTGCGTTTTCCTTTTTGCGAGGTGGATGGTCCGTCTGTGTTCGTGTGCTCGCGCTCCGTCGACGTGATGAAAAACATTGGAAGCTCCAGGCAAACGGCAAACCTCAAGCGTGGCATCCACAGTTGAACATACTGACCAGGTTTTGTCCGCATTTGAGCTGAGACCGTGATCTTCAGCCAGAGAAGACTGTTAAATAGGCTGACTTCTACCTGATTAGGCCCTAAATACCACGATCGGTGCGACCACATGGCGTGCACCAAAGCTCCTGCGCTGCAGGCCATCCAGGAGCAGATGCCGCCAAGCAAGACCCAACGATACACGGAATTGACCTGAAACAGATGCACTTCCAGAAAAGAAACGGCGATCAGGGCAAGAGCATAATGGGTCTGCAATCTTGCCAAGTACAGTTGCCGTCAAAGATAACCCTAAATACAGTGAAACCACAAACCATGATCACATCAAGGCCCGTCCGTCTAACTCCCGAAGGCGATTTCAAGATCATATTATCTATTGCCCTCTGAACACTGAAACTAATCAGCGAAAAAGCCGACTTTTCATATTTCGTGGCATCGGTGACATCAAAATAAAGCAAATCACCATCCATAGCCAAGCAGGTCTGCTATAGGAAGCAAGCCCTCACACAGTTCATCAACCAAGTAGACCGGCATCTGCTCCCCACCACAACTGCCATTGAATCCAATATCATTCAAATAATTGTGCTTGCCATGGCCCTTGGATAATTCGAAGGCTGGGCCTACCTCTAAGTTCTTCACAAAGTTTGACCAAACCTTTTGCGCGTACCCGGTGAGAGCAGCAGTTTTCGGAGGAACATCACGCGGGTATGTGCCAAACACGGCCGGTACCTCGGAGCCATGGAGCGCACCAAGATCATCGATAATCCTGTCACCTCTGATTGGAGCTGACCAACGAAAACGCCAGTTTTCAAACCCTTTATCTGCGGTATAGTTGCCGAATGCTCCTGTTGGACACGTGAAAACAATATCCGTTGCAAGCCTATAAATACCTGGTTAGATCACATCGACGGGCTTTGCTCTAGTATCATTCCCATACATACCTCACCGCTTCGGCGTATGTCGAAGGCTCATGCCCCAGCTGACTGCGCAACTGGGAAGCGTCAAATTTGTGCTGTAACCCCGTGCTAACCAGTCTGTCGGACACTCGTTCCCAGGTGGCATTCACCGGGTCAGTCTCCTCAGCCGAAAGATAGTAGACCATTTCACTCAATTCATCTTTCGTAGATCCGAGCACAAAGGGGACCTGGGCGAAATTTCCGCTATCAACCTGCGCAGTGAGATTTTGAACGCAAGTGCCTTTGTCATATGTTGGCGGAAAGTCCAGTCCGGCTTCAAATGCATATTTTCGAATAGCCTCGGACGGTAAGTCACGAAGGCAAGCCAGGTTTGTACAATTGAATTGATTGGAGACGTTGAGATAGGCTTCCGTTCCATTCCCAGGAAGGCCGCGTGCGAATGACTCTACTATTGCTGCTCTATATGGCAAGGGGTTGGGGGGAGATGCCAGAAGCTGCTGGACCGAGTATGCCCCCGCTGACTGGCCTGCGACTGTGACCTTGGAGGCATTTCCTCCGAAGTTGTGGATATTCTTCTGGACCCAATCAAGAGCAAGGCGTTGGTCAAGGAATCCCGCATTTTGATTCTCGAGTGGAATTTCAGGGGCATTGGAAAAGCCAAATACTGTAGGCCGCATCTCGTAAGTCCCGAATCACCTGAATAGGCACGAGGTATAAGTTCACTCACTGCTCAAGCGGTAGTTTATGGTCACAACAATGATGTTTTCATCAATTGCCAACGATGTGCCGTTTATTCCAGGATCCGAAGCGAAGCCCCAGGCCAAATTTCCCTGTTCTAGTCAGATGCGATCGATATGACCCGGTTGCTCGGGGGTGCAAGACATACTCCGTGGATCCAAAGCATGACGCTCAGATCAGAAGATGCGTTCTGTGGTGTCCATACATTCAAGTATAGACAGTCTTCTTCCCCGGTGACCTCTTTGGTGGATTCTTCCGGAGATGAGAAATCTGACGGCGGCATTGCTGATGCAGGTTGAAATCCTTTGAGACAAGAAATATTACACAAATAGTATTTTAGAGTGTCAGTACTGACCATTAAAGTCCGCAAAGACCTGAAGACATGCAGGAGAAAACTCCTGAGCATAGAGTGGATATCGCCATGGCTCCGGTTCTTTTGGAGGTGCGAATCTTTCAGGAGGAGAGCTAGCGAAAGGGATCCCCAAGTATGCATTTGCAACTCCTGTAGCGCTTGGTAAAGTCTGTGTTGTCCCAATCACAACACCTGACGCTATGGTCATGGTAGGATTGACGGCAGCCGGGGCTAGGATTTGCTGAGGTGGGTACATCGTGAAGGTATGGTTACTAGGAAAATGCATCCAAGTTACAATAAAATCGTTTGAATAAAGCCTCCAAATATGCAGAACAAAGATTTCTTAAAACTATTTTTGAGTTGCTGAACCGTCCTAACCTGGAGCTTATTCGGATGACGCATTACAAGTTTGCAAGTGCATTCAGAATCCCCACGATTTTTCTCATTGACATCATTTAAGTAAGCCCTGAGATAGATTACCATGGTGAGGGAGATGCCCAAATAATTCTGTGTGCTTTTTTCGAGAATCAACATCAATTGATACAATTCTCGGGCAAGGATGACGAACGGCCCCGGGGGGAACAGAAACTTGGAACAGTATCTCATGTATGAAGAAACAAGCAAGCGCGCTGTTACCTGCCATCTCATTATTCTCTCATAAGTACCGAATTATCCAGTTTCATATCTGGTTCCCATCACGAAATAATCAATTGATGATGACAAGGCATGCGCTAGAGTCATGGTGTAGCCTTACATGGCTTGGATAGCGGGCCTAATCAAGGCCTTCGATTAGTTAAATTGTCAGACATAATGACATCTATGACTTAAACGCCAGGTATTGTCAAATTGGTCTTCACTTCACATATTTCAATATTAAGTTCATCCTAATACTTGTACTTGAACCACTCTGTTTGGCTGAGTGCAATTCGTCATCGATGGGGCCTCAGATATATGTATCGCGTCACACCTAAGAGTCTCCACCAAACATAAATGATCAAGTTTGAATCAACTAGAACACGGTCTTCCATCTGTTAGAAATTGATTAGAAAACTCAAATAATGGTACATAAATAGACGAACGTGCATTTCCCTTTGAAACAATCTGCGTACCTTTTACTCTCTAGTCTTCGGTCGAATTCGATACAATGACCTTAAACATTTACATGCTCGCTGGCGGGCTGGCAATTTTCATCTTCCTCGTCACAGCGTTTCTCCAGTGGGCCTCTATCGAAGGCAGTATTCCAAATCTTGTCGTCTCTTGGATACTCAATGTAAGTTAATTACCCGAGTTACCATACATTCTCAAGTGCTGATGTTCCAAAAAACTAGGGTTATTTAGGCTGGCGTTACCCGATCAAGTCCACCGATGGCCAGACTACCATCCCAGGATGTCCCTATGTGTACCCAGATGGCCAGGGGAATATGGCAAAGTTCTACAACGACATGTCGAAGAAATGGCGGTCGGACTACGGGCCAATCTATCGAATCTGGAATGGCACTCGACCAGAAGTGTAAGGCCGGCTGAGATGGATTTCTAAAAACCAGGTTTTGTTCTAACAAATCTTTTCAGTATCGTCGGATGCCCAGAGAACATCAAGGGCATTTTCCAGGACTCTGGAGAGCACTTAAAGGCCCCAGATATGAACGCTGGGTGGGTTGTGGGGGAGCTGATGGGCAAATGCCTTGGCTTAGCCAACCAGAGTGACTGGAGTCGAATCCTTGTAGCTATGGCCGAACCCTTCCACCAGCGTGCTGCCCCTGAGTATATCGAGTTGGTGGAGAAGCGTGTCAAGAAAGCCATGGCAGAAGTCGAGAGCAAAACAGATCAGCTGGGTCAGAACGGGATGGTTATCAACCCGGCCAATGAGTTTCTCTACCTTCCATTCTTCATTCTAGGAGATATCCTTTATGGGTCGCTGGATAAAGAGATGGAAGAAGACCTTCGGAGTATTGCCCTTCTCCGAGACCAGCTTTGGAAGGAAGGAATGTCCGGAGGCTTGGCGCGTTATGCGATTGGGCGCTTCGTTCCAGGGGGACGCCGTCGTAAGCTCCTTTCCTTCCATAGGCGCTGGAAGAGCTTCAATGACCGAGCGTATAAACGGGCTCAGTCCTCAGGTCCTGCCAATGCTCCGGTTGTCAGCATGTATCGCTCTGTCTCTGAGGGCGCGCTGACCGAGACAGAGCTCCTCCACACTTTAGACGAGGTGATCTTTGTGAACCTCGATGTGACCGTGGGGAACTTCTCCTGGAACCCGGTTTTCTTGGCTGCGCACCCAGAGTTCCAAAAAAAGATCCATGAAGAGATTCAACAAGCTCGTCGGGGTGAGGGGGAGGCTTTCAGTTCATGGAAGGCGTACCTCTCGAGCACCTCCACTTTGCTTATGTCCTCAATCCTGGAGTCCTCTCGACTGAAGCCCATGGCTTCCTTCGCTGTGCCTCAGTCTTGTCCCTCAGACCGAGTGGTCGGAGGCTTCGTTATCCCTGCACACACGGAAATCGTTGTCGACACTGATGCCCTGAACGTGGAGAATCCTGCATGGGGTGCCGACCGACACGAATACAACCCAGAGAGGTTTGTTGGGAAGAGTGCAGTTAGCTGGCGATATCGATTTTGGCGATTTGGGTTTGGTCCGCGGCAGTGTCTAGGACGGCATGTGGTGGATATTTTGTTGAAGACTTTGTTGGCGGAGATTGTGGACAACTATACTCTGACTCCAGGGTGGGATGAAGGGAACAAAGAACACAAGGAGTGGGCGAAAAATCCTGAGGTGTGGATGAATTTAGCTATTCAGCCTACTGTCTGGAAGAAAAGGGAGATGCATGTCCAGGAGCGAGGAGTCTTGATCAGACAGTGACTTGATATTCGCGATCTGTCCTCATATTAACTTCTATCTCTATAACGTGGGTTGGGCATATAAAAGCACAAGAATCAAAAAAAAAGCATTATGTATTTGAAATTGAAAAATAGGCCGCATTAGATCAGTTGCTATCTTGTTTACTAAAGGCCACTGTAAGGGATACGGAGCCTGGGCACGAACTTGGTGGTTATGATAATGCGCCAGGTGCGATCACGGAATCTCTTAGTGCCATGTATCACTTGGGCACCGCAATTTCTAGTTGCAAGATGAATCAGGCTGCTCCCAAATTGTCATCGAAGCATAATAAAATCCAAGAAAATGTGAAAGCAGCCGGTAATTTGAAAGGGTCTAGAACCCGTGACTACATTATCATGTTTTGTTATCAAAGACGAGACTGATAGTTTCGTCACCACTAGCAAACCGTGAACGGTGTTACTGTTTGCAGCTAGAAAGGCATGTTTATTCCATCAGCTTTACCTTCAGAAGGATCCTCGGGCCGCCGGTGGGGGCAGTTCCAATCTGAAAATCTTTGAGGTAGTCCGCAGTTTCATGTACCGTGGTATGCTTAGGTGGTGACCATGTCCAGCTGAGGTTCTCAGATCACTGCATGAAGTCACTTTGATAGGATTAAAATAGTCGCAAACTCTATATCTATGGGCCATAATCATTCTTCTTCTTTGCTGGTATAATCACGTTTGGTGATATAGTTCTTGTTACGGCCTAACATCCAGGTTAGGCCGTAACAGTTCTCAGAGCACATAGTAGCTTCAATACCGTAAGCTGGTTCAAAAGAAACAGCGAGTGCTCAAGGTAGCCAGTCTCTGCGTGTTAAAAATGGTTACCTTTTACATGATACCTTCCCTAGATTCGAACTTGAATGGTAAAATTAGCGCAAAGATAAATACATACGAAGAAATAAGTAAATGAACAAGCATGGTTCAAAATATATGTATTTCGAAAATATTCTCGTGCAGTTTGCCGCGGACAACAGATCTGTCATTTTATTTGTAGCTAAAAGAACCAATTAAGATCATCTTCCTGCATCTTAGACCGGACTTCTGCTGCCACTCTAGCAGGAGTCTCAGAGAAGACATGCTCCCAGCAATGGATGTCAATTTTGACCGGACCACCACCAAGATCATTCACTTTTAACGCGTGCAGCTCACGAATGGACTCCATACTCTGCTTTAGTCGAGACAAGGGTTCTCCACAAGTCTCGACTTCCTGGTGCAGGACCTCAAAGGGGTACTGGCAGTGATCTGCAAGGAGGCATTTCGCTAAGAGGTCATAATCGGTAGCTAAGAATGCCTCGTCGTGCTTGCATTGCTCCTCACACGTCTCGTCATTGTGACAGGGAACAATCTGATGATGACCATCCTCACGGAAGGCGGTTGAGAGGTACTGTGGGTGCGAGCCTCCGAGCATACTGTTCCCGAAGATGGTTATGTACGGCTGTGTCTTATATCTCTCCTGGGAGAGAAGATCGTCAAAAGATACTGGATACAGTGGCCAACTTGCGCTTTGGAGCAAGCCTGGTAATTCAGATACAGACTTGACACCGTCTCGAACAGGCTTCGCCGTATAGGCCCGAGGGTGATATCCTTGGTGCTTTCGTTAAAAGAGGAAAGTATAGAGGGTAGGGGCTCGTAAAACACACCTTTGCCGCAGAAATGGCGATCAATAATCAACAACGGCCATCGACGCGAGGCCCAAATTTCCCGACACACAAGAAATGCTGGGAAGGCGCCTGTAACGCTCACTTCGCGAGGGGATCTATGAGTGGAATCGAGCACAAGACTAGTATTGATTAGCTTCTGATCAAAATCATCATAGAAGCGAGTTGGTTCACAAGTGCATACCGTTGCAGATCCTGTGAGAGCCCGAGATTTGTCGCCCAAGTTTGAATCCACGAGCAGGATAGCCGCGAGATCCACTTCTGCAAAAACCCATTTCGGTCCTTGATACGATTGATTCCAAAGTCGGCGTAGTTGGTGTTGGAACGATCCCAATATGGCTGAATGACCTCGTTTCCAGCATCGAGCGCCTTCTTGGGAACAAAACGCACGGTGATCCGAGACCCCATGCGGGCAAACTCCTTAAAGTTGGATAGGGTTGAGGTAGCTGCCAGAAATAAAACAGCCATGCGAGAGTCCTCCACATTCCACTTGGGAAAGGTCAAGCTATCAACATCTGATACACCGGATGTGGAAGAGATGGACGAAGAGATAGACATAGCCGAGAAGGAGGAAAGGGACCCAGACTCGCCCGCATCGGCTAGCGTCTGGGAACCGGAGGGGGTACCAGAGGAGGAACCTGATGCAGAGGATGAGGTGCTGGGGTTGCGCGAGCCGGGAGTCGCACATGGTGAGTAAATACCAGGGGATCCAACCGATTCGATATTCCATCCAAGGACTTCCATTATGTGAGAGGCAGTGTCGCGCTTAAGTGGAATGCCAAGTTTCTCCGGGTTCACGTTGCGTTTGGTGAGCTGAAGGCAAGCATGCTGGGCATTCTTCCGCACGATATGGAGTTGATCGACATATTGACGGATGACATCGCCGTCAAGGAAACTTCGTCCAGTCACTTGAGTCCGCTCATGATGATACTCGTAGAGCTCCTGCAGCATTCCAGCTCTGATGTGGCATGCCATGTCTCCGCCATGGGCATCGTATTCCTTGAAGCCAGGTGTCTCATTGGCGATATTTCCTTTGGCAGATACGAGATCATTGAACAGGTAAATACCATCGATGGTATCGGTGCAATCATGAACGACATTCTTCAAAAGCGCAGGATAATGTTTCTTAACGTACGTCGCACTAGTCGCGCCCATCGGAAGAATTGGATAAGACATGATGTATCAAATATATGGAAGAATAGGTTGACAACAGCGAAATATCAATGTGAAGAATCTATTCACTCGGGCTTATACGTATAGATTTGATTTGAAATAAATACCTTGCGGCCATTCTCCTTCAGTAAGACACGATAATGAACACATACGAAGCTTGGATCTCGTCATAGCTCGTCCATTGCATCATACGAAGAACAGGTTGCTGGATCTAACCCAAAGGTCGAAACAATCCAGAAAGTATTCAATAAACTGTATTGGTGGTCTGCGATGCTTCTTGCAAAATCTTCCAAGGTTCTGTTTGTCATTTCAGATAGCTTATATCCATGGTTGACTCTAGCCTTGTGGCAAATCTTGGTCAGTGGTTCGGTTCGGACCTTATCTCGGCAATCTATCAGATTGCCTCGATTGACTGATCAGTTTGACACTAGTCATTTTGCCAATGAATGTATTATAACATGCTTGCAAAAGAAAGGAATGACAACTGAATGACACATATAGCGGTAATCCAAGCCTGATGCTCAATGATTTGAGATTTGAATAACGTATACTTGGTGAACATGAGACCAAACCAGCAACGACGCTACCAGAGGACGAATGGTGAGCAAAGGTGCGGCTTTTGTAGCGAATCCGCCTACAATATCTTTCAATCAATTGATATATGTGACTTGGTATCATGCATTTTCTGAGAGCCCATAAAGGCAGATTCGGAGTAGGCATCGTGGGACCAATAATTTCTCGTCATTCAATTGTTATATTGGTATGGTGCCGTCCTCGGCCAGCTAGCATGTAGAGCATGATTTTAGTCCTCTATCTTCCAAGGCAAAACAGCATTGACAAGCTCGGTTGCATCTATACCATGAAGATAGACAGCTCCGATTATGTCGTCATGTGAAATGTCAAAATGGGATGGCCGCTCCTTGATTCCATGTACTCCGTGCCTGAATTTTCATTGGTCTGAAAAGTGAAAAGGGAATGCCTGCTTGCAGACCCCGATCGATCATGGGTTGCATGCCAAGAGTCGACTGACTCAGGGTTGAGCTGTTCGCAAGGGGGTTTTCCGATGCGAAATTTGTCATCCAGTTGGACTTTTCAAGGCAGAACCTTGCCTAGAATCAGGTAGGACTGGTCTAAAAGCCGAAACCGTCTGCTAAATACGGCAGTTCCGTGGATCATTTCCCTTTCCTTCTCCATTTCCGTTCTTTTGTTTTGACGGACTGATTTCAACCCATGCACCCACTTGGGCTCTGTTGTGGCCAATAGCAATATTTCGGCTGTAGGGAATGGTTTTTACATACACATTGTATGACTGGCACTCTATGCCTTGTGACACTCATCCGACTAGTCCTTGACGAGTCGATTTCGATCTCAATGTGCCTGCAAAGTTGACACTTGATAGGTCTTGAGGGCCACGGAGATCAAATTGACTGATGTTCCTATTGATTCTCCAAGATTGTCCTGCAAAAAACATATAGATTATCTCCGTCCCCTTAAGTCATTGAAATGCGATCAATTGACTATATTTATTTTCAAATTGTAAGTAACATGAACTACAATGGTCTGCCAATTTGGAGGTATACTATTAACATCAAATAGCCCTGAATACAAAATTAAGACATTTCATGCCCTGCCGAAGAGAACCAGCAATGTATAACGAGTGGAATTAGGGCGTCCCGCGATAACGATTGATTGAGTTTCCTGGTGGATATGTGAGTTCAAAATCTTCGAGCCGAGCCTCGACCCACTCCGCCGCCTCCCGAACCGAATCCCGCAGAGTTGTGATTCGTCCTTACCAGCTTGGGATACCTACAGTGGGGCATTGGTGAGTAATGGACGCCGGAAATGGTAGCCAGAATGTGACCCAGATGCAAGAGGATGTTTGGAATGAAAGACTGAGGCGCTCAAGGGAGCTGGGATTTGCAATTGCACCGGTATTCTGTTGCAGTTTCCGGTGGTAGAAGACATCGCAGTGTAATCTCCATGGAACCTACTTGGGCGCTGCACCACATGGCTTTCCTTGTGTGGGCTGATACAGGGTCTCGTAACCCTTGGGCTGGTACAGAGCAACATTTCTGTCATCGAAAGATGCCCGAGCAGTGAGGACATTCACTTCTAGTCCGGAGAATTGCGTCAAGTCTACCAACTCTCCGGTGTTCTTTGCACAGCATCAGTTAGTGACGGCAGCAAATGATCTTTAGCAGAGTGTCCTACTGTGGTAACAGTCCAGATCAAAGCACCCTCGAGGAAATTCGAAATGAAATTTGGTTGTAGGCCCGGTTCTTCATCGGGTGTGTAAGAAAATGATCGAAGGGACGGAATACCAGAGTACCTCTCTCTCACTAGCTCATGCAGATGCAGAGTGATGGGGACCTGGGCCTTTGACAATACACCTTGTGCTTTTTGGGTGCTGCAATTTCCACATCCAAGATCCAGTGGAGTGCTGAAATTGTAGACCTCTCCAAGGGGAATGTCATTTTGGTCATCCACATGTAGGAAGAATTTGATCTTGTATGGATAGCCGTCCAAGGCGTAGCTGTATAGAGGTTGAAGGGGTGTCAGATTTGAGCAACGAATGGCCTTGTGAGGTGGAATGGGCTTTGAGTGAATTGGTGAACGAAGAAGTGAACACGTACCGATCATACTTGACATTGATAATGTAGTCCTGGAACTCATCGTCATTTACGCCGGGACAGCTGGCCAGTCCCTGCCAAGATGGCTGAAGCGCCTTCACAGGGGTGCCGTACTTGGCCTGAACATTCCGGGAAACCTGTTGCGGATCGGGTCTACCCACCAGTTCCGGGTAGGTGTAGCCAAGTCTTTCCCATTCCTCAGCCTCCTGTGAAGTCCAAACTGTTTTGTCTTCATCCCGATGGAATGGTTGTAGAGGCGTCTGTAGCAGATCCTCGTCTTCAAGCCAAGCAGAGTTGATATATTGGAAAAGTGCTAGCAGCCGGTCAACGTTGCTGATCAAAGAGTAATGGTCAGTGAATTGATTCTCGCACACAGAAGAAGAGAGGAGAACCAATGATGCATCCAGAATATGGGATCGAACGACGACACAGGAACATTGGCCATGTGACCCTGGGTAAAGGTGCCGTCTGAACGGACACCTGAGCCACCTGTCCATTCATGAATGTTGTTGTGAATCATCTCCAGTGACAGGTAATCGGTCGGGTGCGATTCGGCCCACTTGCTTGATGAGAAAGGCAAGTAAGAGCTGAAGTATTGCGGACTCAACAGCCGCGAGACAACTGCCTTGACAGTTAAATTGGGTTGGTTTTCCCCCATGTACCTGTGCTGGGAGATGGCTTCGCCAACGAGGTCATTTAGTGCATAGCCATTGACCCATTCCGCGTCGACTTGATCATTCGCCCATCGACTGGTGGCCTTGGGCTTGGAAAACTATCGTCGATCGAACGATTTAGTTAGTCTCTACCTGACAGAGAGTGGGAAATCAGACACACGTCTAATCGATGTTTGTTTGGCGGTTTCTCCCCAATGAACTGAATCTTGAACTTCCCCATTCGTTGGTCACCCATAGGGGTCTCCACCAAAGTGCCATTTGCATCAGGCGCCCAATTGGTGAACTTCAACAAGGGATTAGCAAAAGATTGTTCCTCTCCAGATCCATCCAAGCGAAGAATACTGATCTGAGCACTGGACGCGACCGTCGGAAGTCCGAGCTTCCTGGTATCTTCTTGTTCGACAGCCCAGTCCCAGAAAGGGAGACGCCAGTTGCGGGCGGCTTCCTCCCATTCCTTTCGAACGGCAACATCAGAGATTGACTGTACTTTTTCTTCCATGATCTCATGCAGACATTGCTAAATCACCGTGTTATTAGTCTTTCCTTTAGAATCCTCAAAAGCCGATGAAAGCAACGCAACGGAACGATTACCTCATATAACACCATATACGGTCGATGCCAAGTTGGGAATAAGTAGGAGTTGTGGTAGCAATATCCCTTGGTCCCTTTGAACTCCTCCTGCGGATCTGGGGCTTGATCCCATCCTTGACCAGGGGCACCGTGGATGCCTATATAAGGTTAAGTTCTCTCGTTCGACAGGCCTTCAACATATGAGTGGAGGAAGCTCGAAAAGGCTGGTCTTACCTGCGAGTCGGAAATAAGAGAACTGATTCTCTATTGGATTTCGTCGCTGCAGCTCGTCCAGCGCCCTAATGAAGAGAGACACCTGCCGACGCTCCTCGGGATCACTGGAAGTCGACCATCTAGACAGTTCTTGTCTTGCAGGTAGTGTTCCTTGGGGATCCGGTGTGTATGGAATGCCCTGGATGGGGTAGGTCTTCTCTGGACAAGCAGACATAGTGGAAAAGCCGTGTATCAACCTTGATTCAAATGGGGTTCCTCTAAAGTAGCATGAAATATGCAGTCCTTTCCTTTAAAGCTAGGGAATCAGTCCATGGCCTTAAATTTAATTTTTCTTGCTTCTGTATTCAAATGTTGAGTCTACTCGTACTGCATAATACAGATAATAATAATGTGTATTTTACATGCGAAAAACGGTCGAGCGAGTCATGGAGACTAAGCCAACCATGGTGTACCGACAAAATTTGTACAAAGTAGACATCCACTCCTCCCCGATACTGGATGTGGCAATGAATATCCTCAAGCTGCTTTCGTAATTCCAAACCCCGTTAAGCATGGGCCTCCTAGATTGAGGCAAGAATGATGAGTGCATATTCAATCTAGACCTTTGGTCCGGTGTAACCTTGATCAATAGCTCCACGGGTGACAGCGGTTCGGGACTTAGTTTTGTCACTCGATGTGAATTCCGTGAAGCTTCGCAGAAGTTTGGAATTATCATAATGTCCGCTTGAACCGCCACGCAATCCTCTGTGAACCTTGAGGCAGGATTGACCACATCGATCGATCTAGGCTTGAGAGCTCGGTTCGATAGGCCGTCATAGATATGATTATAGTATTATCAAGAGCAACCATAGCCTTCAGAGGTCATGAAGTCACAATTCCTTCATACTTTGTTGGAATGATGGATCGGGATTTGATGCCAACTTCACAAGGGAGACTTGTCTACTTTCAAACCAAGGAAAATATAGTAGAAATAAAACAATGCTTAGAAAACGGAGCTTCATGTCGCTTAGGATGAATCATCAGTGTACCCATATTTATTTGCGCTTATCCTTGCGACTATTGGAGATGTAAATTGGTAGGTAGATCAGGACTTGTGGATGGGAAGAAATGGAAGGCTGACTTTCGACAATTGAATATGCATTGGATACGTATGAAAATGAAATAAATAGTTTTTCATGGTGCCCTTGATGCCATACTGAACAAGATACTGGTAACGGGACGTAGTTTGTCACCGACCTGATTACTGTCATGCCAATGTCGGCGCTGATAGATGGAGCTTTCCCCACCTGAAGAGCACCCCAAAAAATCTGCCTTAGCTTAGGCTTCCTAGCTCGTTATCTTCCAACAAATTTATCAATTCCGTTCTACCTTTGAATGTTCAATTTTAGACCATCATATTTCTTCCTACTCGTTAACATGAAGCCTTCCTCCACTGCACCGGTGGGGCAATTTCCCGCTTTGAAATCAGCGGCTCCAAGCGATAGTGATGAGGTGACACTTGTACACGAGATACCAACTGATCTACTGGAGAAAGTCAGCACGATCTTCTCACTAGATGTGTCTACATTCCTACGGATGATATGGTCAATTATCCTCCAACGATACGTGGACTCGGAAAACGCCACCTTTGCATTCTGGGGACCGCAACGTGACTGTCTTTCTGTTTCTTCGGCGTTGGTTCCAAGGCAAGAGACCGTGCAAGAGTTTTGGAAAAGATTGCAGGATCAGCCAACGGTCTCTTTGGGAGCATTAGAGCATAATATCTCGATCGTGAATTTGAATACCGGTTTGTTCTTCCTGGAATGCGCGGTTGAAGGAGGTAATAGCTTGGTAAAGCAAGTTGAGGAACTTCAGCGAGGCAGCCAGCTGGTAGGCTTCAGTCATTCAAGTCAAAGATTTAGCTTGCTAACTTCAAATCATTGCAGAAATGCCAGGTCGTATTAGCATATATAGGATCCAAACAGTCGCCTCAGCTAGTATTTCTATCTCAAAGCTCTCTTCTATCGAAGGACCACGCTCGCGGTCTAGCATCAACTGTTGCGCAAACCATTTCAGCCGTGTTGGAAGAGCCAGACAAAAGGATAGGAGATCTCCACATATCCAGCCCTCGCGACAAAGACTACGTTGTTCAGTGGAACCACACCAGGGATTGGAAATTCACAAATCCATCCATGCTAGAGATTATTCATAAACAAGCCGCAATGCAGCCTGACAAGATCGCAATTTGTGCGTGGGATGGAGACATATCATATCATGATCTGCTATCGCTCGCTTCCAGTATGGCAAAATATCTGCGGGATGTTGCGGGTGTGCAGCAAAATGACTTAGTTCTTTTGATGACGGAGAAGAGCAAATGGACTATTGTCGCTCAACTGGCCATTTGGAAAGCAGGTGGTGCTTTCGCTCCTCTTGAGCCTTCACACCCACAAGAGCGTCTAAAGTCTATCGTCCAAATCACAAAAGCCAATCTGATTCTCTGTTCCGAGAGTCTATATGAGCGAGCCACGACTTTGACCGAAACAGCTTTTTCCATCACGAGCACGATGGGCCCCCCAGGCGACGAAGGCATGCAAGATTTACCCACCAATCCTGATTCCCCGGCATATATCCTCTTCACTTCAGGGACAACTGGCTTGCCAAAGGGGGTTGTTATGGAACAACGGGCCGTTGCACACATGCCATTACAGGCCGCATTTTGGAATATAGAGCCCAACTCTCGCGTTCTTCAATTCGCTGCCTACAGTTTCAACATATCAGTGGTTGAGACTTATTATGCTCTGAGTACTGGTGCTACCCTCTGTGTGATGTCAGACTCAGCCAGGACAAACAATCTTCCCGGAGAAATGGAGAAAATGGGCATAACATGGGTAGCGCTCACACCTTCTCTTCTCAGACGCCTTGATGCAAACTCACCTCCTTCAACGTTACAAACTGTGGTCCTTGGGGGTGAAACAATGAGTGAACAGGATTTCCAGATCTGGTCCGCTGCTCAAATTCAATTAATCCAGGCATATGGGATGAGCGAACATGCTGGACTTCCTTGTCCAAGTCCCATGAACGCCAAATCCGACCCAAAGGCTTTCCCGGCTTCTCCCATTGTACGCCAGTGGTTGGTGGATCCGGAGAACTATCATCTGATGGCGCCAATTGGGGCAGTTGGGGAGTTGATTCTGGAGGGTCCTAGTCTTGCTAAAGGATATTTGGATAATCCGAATGCCACGGCCTCTGCTTTCATCAAGCCCCCAAGCTGGCGTATTCACCTGGGTTTGAAGGGAGACTCACCCACTCGCATGTATAGGACAGATGACTTGTTCAGATACACAGCGGGTGGAGCGATCAAGTATGTGGGACGAAAGGGAACCATGGTGAAGATACGTGGACAGAGAGTTGATCTTGGGGAGATAGAGGCAAATGCACATAATGCATGTCAATCTAGCATCCGAGTGGCCAACCTGCGTATTATTGCAGAGGCGGCCATTCCCTGTGACGGGAAAGATGTTCCGATCGTGGCACTCTTCATGTATTCGCCCGATTATCCTGCGACCCAAAGTGATGACGCTGCCAGTCGTTCGCCGCTTGGAGCTACTAGCGAGGATTTCCTGTCCAATGCCAGAACTATCGGGGCGCACTTGGAATTGGTGCTGCCCACCTACATGCTTCCAAGCGTATATCTCCCATTGGAGTTAGTGCCGGCGACGCTGACTGGGAAGTTAGCTAGGAGAACTTTGGTTGAAAGCATCCAAAACTTGACCCGTGGGCAACTAGAGGCCTATCAATCCGAAGACCAGATGATGATTGCGCCGAGCACAAAAGTGGAGTATGATCTTCATACTTTGTTCAAGGATGCTTTGGGATTGACTGATACGCCGGTCGGTATTCATCATTCATTCATGCGACTAGGGGGAGACTCCTTGGCAGCAATGAGGCTTGTCACTCTATGTCGGCCTCTGAATTATATCTTCACCGTTGCGGATGTTTTGGAAAAGAAAACGATATATAATTTGACTGGGTTTCTGTTAGCACACGAATCGGCCGAATACTCACCGAGCGATGATGAGGCCGGGGATCTAAAGTCCGAGTCTGTCTGGGAGCCGATGAATGATCTTGCCGCATTGCAACCGCTGCTGGCTCGTATAAGTATAACCGATACGTCGGTTGTAGAAGATGCAAGCCTCTGCTCACCTATTCAAGAGGGATTGATGTTCAGCCATGCTCGCGACCCTCGTCTGTACCATACCAGAGCTATTTGGGAGGTCGTGGCGACTCATACTGGCCAGTCCGTCAATATCCAAACTCTTGAGAGGACGTGGCGGAGGCTGTGTGCTTCGCAGCCCATTCTGCGAACTGTCTTTCTCGAGGTTTGTGCAAGGAATAATTTAGCTCTGCAGGTCGTCTTGAAGCAAGGTGTTCGTGGTGTCGGTGATGCCTGTAAGACAACGTTGATCTCATCCTCTATGCCCGAGGATGAGCCTGAAATTCCTCCTTGTCAAGGGATGGACTGGGTTCCAAAATTCCAGATATGTCAATCCCCTGATGACACGATCTTCTGCGTGCTAGACATCCACCACACGCTTATGGATGCTTCATCCATGCCTATCATCGCCAAAGAGTTCACGCGAAGATACGCTTTAGAGGAAGATCTTCAAGTAAATGAATTTTCATCAGCCAAGTCTGAGGGTGCGAGAGGCTCCTATTTTGACTATGTTAGCTACCTTGCTCGTCTCCCGAGTGGACCAACGCTTTCATACTGGAAATCCTACCTTGAAGGGGTAATACCCTGCTTGTTCCCTAGGCTGAGGCCGTGGCAGCCAGAGGACCCGAAGGGAGGGAGAAGAGCGCCAGTGCAACTTGACGCAGTTCAAGATCAATACCAAAAGTTCTGCCACAATCATGGCGTTACAGTCGCTACGATATTCAACCTTGCATGGGCTCTTGTGCTCCGCAGTGTCACACAGTCTGATAACGTGTGTTTCGCCTACCTGACCGTTGGTCGAGACGTGCCCCTAGACAACGTTGAAGACAAAATCGGGCCATATCTCAACACCCTCCTCTGCCACATGAAGTTCAACGAAAATGAACCTCTACTCCAGGCAGGCCAGCGAATGCAGTCGGACTTCATTCGGGGACTTTCATATCAACATTTATCGCTTCCTGACTTGTATCACGCGTTAGGCCTTGTAGGCGACTGCAGCTTTAACACCGCTGTAAACATACTACCTAACTTTGTACAAGAAGAGGATGAATGCAGTCCTATCACCTTGAAGTTACGGGATCTCAAGGGGCCTGGTGAGGTAAGTTGACCCATTCGATCAAGATACATCGAGCAGAATGTACTGACAGTATCAATAGTATGATATAATCATACTAGCCTCCTCCTCGGGAGCCACTTTGAAATGCGACATTGGCTACTGGGCGAGATTCATGACAGAGAACCAGGCAGCGAGTTTGGCCGATGCGCTTAGTATCGCTGCAACCACTATCGTGCAATCTCCCCAGAGAGCTATTCGCAACTTAAAGTGCTTCCACGGCAATGAAGACCAACAAATATACATTGTGCCAAAGGATCCGAATGTCAAATTCCACGGCCACCGCGTGGACGTGAGTGAGGTCGAGAATCATATTCTGACCGCGCTCCCAGCCGCCAAGATGGTGGTGGTAGAAGCCATTCCCGCTCATGATCAATTTCCAGCTATGCTATTCGCCTTCATCTCCTTCAGCGAAAAAATTGGTATGCAGTGTACTACCGGCACTGCACTTGAAGGCTTGATAGTGCAGGACAATCACATCACGACCCAAATCGCCTCCGCCACGTCGCAGCTGCGGCATACGCTTCCCTTCTGGAAAGTTCCCAAATTGCTTTTGCCGATTAGTCAGATACCGACGATCAGTGGGTCTGGAGAAGCTTCCCGGACAGAGCTTCGGCGAATGGTCGTCTCCATGTCGCAAGAAAAATTGCGGGAGATTGAGGGATTTTATCGGCAAGATCTCGTCACTCAAGCAGAGCATCAACTCCGCGAGTTGTTCTCTCAGGTCCTAGATATACCTGTCGACAGAATTTGGAGGGATAGTCACTTTTTCGAGCTCGGTGGAACGTCCAGAGGGGCTATGTACTTAGTTGCGGCGGCAAGGAAGGCAAAGATGGGGATTACGGTCGCAGATATATTTGCATCGCCTGTGTTGGACAACCTAGCATTAGCTGCTGAGGCTCTCTGAGCTGGCTACACCATATGCGTTCGGTCTTCAAAAAAAATTGATACAAAAATTTGAAGGGGTTGGAGAGGCAGCGTTTCAACAGTCCTGGCGTTTCTGTAGATATACTAGATCGCTTAATGCTATAAAAGAGATTTAATTTTCATACCTACCTTGAATACAATGGTTTCTTCAGATGGGATTGAGGGAAAAATAAGAATTATTTGCACCATATATCACACAGGCGTGACTTCATTCAGCTTCTATTGCCTCTTTCCACTGTTGCTGCACCCGTTCCAAAATGTCCGGTGCAGTAACTAAATCGAATCCAACCAAAGCCAGCACTTTACCTACCAAGATTGCTTGATCGTGAGCATGATCAGTTCCTGCCGCCTCGGTATAAGAAGGCTGGTGAGGACATGATCCATCGGGCGCGTCAATCGAGAAGAAGCTGTGAAGGGTGGGCACGGCGTAGCTGACGTTACCTAGACACAATCAGCACACTGAGATTCACCCGATATCAATAAGCTTACCAGCATCCGTCGAGCCGGTCAAAATTTCAGAGGCCTTCTTCGCGACATTACGCCCATAGTGGGCCATATGTGCTTGGTACAGCTCACAGAGTGTCCCATTCAGCTTGATGTCTGTATAATGATCCTCTCTGAATAAATTAATATCAATTCCAGGTAGAAGAATTCCTCATCTGATCTTACTGGATTAATTCGGCCTCACAGCCCGTCGCCAAAGCGCCCGCCTGAATGCACTTCTGTACGCGGTCCACCAAGCTCCTTAATCCTCCCAGCGTCGGACTGCGAACCTGCCAACAAGCCTTGGTAGAAGCAGGAATCACATTTGCCACCTTAGGCGTACCCAAAAGGGCACAGTGTATCCGCTCTTCGGGACGGATTTGTTGACGCAGCATGGAAACGCCGGTATATGCCGACACGAAGGCGTCAAGGGCATTTTGCCCATCCCACGGTGTTGCACCTGCATGCGCAGACTTGCCCATAAACTCGCAGTTGATCTGTTGTCGGGCGTTCATCAAGATACCGGCTTTCCCATCTCCCATTGAAGTAGGACCACCATGACTAGATGCATTTTCAGTGTTATTAGGAAGCCCGAGAAGCAAGTTTGAGGTACTCACGCCATGAGCGACACAGCCACATCCTTATAAGCTCCGTTCCGAAGCAGGATCGTCTTCCCACCCCCATTTTCCTCCGCCGGTGTCCCAAGCAGCTGTGTCCCCCCGTCCAATCCTAGTTGATGTATCAAGGCCGATAGTGCTAGAAATGCAGCGATGCTACTAATGGCAATTAGATTGTGTCCACAGGCATGCCCGATACCAGGTAGCGCGTCGTATTCTGCGTTGAAATTGATAAGCTGTCCGTTCGCTTCGCTGTTTCCGCTGCGCGCTTCAAAGGCTGTCTGTAAGCCGTAGGCATGCCGCGTGACTTGGATGTTTTCTGACTCTAGAAAGGAGCAAATGGCGTCATGGGCGTGGTGCTCTTCGAATGCGCATTCGGGATTTGACCAGATCTGATAGTTGTGTGTCAGCATAAGGAATGCAGACAAGTGGATGACCACATACTTGGCGATCCAGTTCACGAAGCTTGTTGCCCACTTCTTCAATGGTGGTTTCAACAATGTCGATAGCCTGGTCAAGGCTTACTCTATTCTTGAGATTCATTATCCTTCAAAGGTTTTTACTGGTGCGGTGGGAGGAGTTGAGGAAGGGAAAAGTCTAGATGAGGAAGACGTCATTCTTTCTATGTAGCGGATTATATAACCATTATGTAAATTTAATTCATTATTATAATTAATATTAAAAATATTAATTAAATCAATATAATCATATACACCCGCTTTCATACTAGACTTTTACGATATAAGCTGGCTACAAGTCTAACTCATATATTTTCCTTTGTACTTTGAAACTCCTCTCGCTTACTGCTCCATTTAGTATGGACTGGTCGGAGCTAATTTGACTATACAGTAAACTGCCGTTTCTAGCACGCCCAGGTTAGGCACACATTTTCATTCGGCACCAAAATCTGATGGATGGACCCACTACTTTGGGTTTCTCATATATAAGAATGCCATCTGGCACACTTTTGTCTGGATTACTCTTCACAATTTGCTTAGTCATATAAATAGACCAATCAGAATACAGAATTTTGCCGCTTCGGGTGCGCTTGGGTGCACTATGGCTGCCAAGTTACCCATCCAAAAATGTTGGATCCCCTGTACTGATGGTATTGTCCTGTCACCATGATACGTACTACTCATGCATTAGGGATATACCTGTATCTATAATACTGGATCGTGACCCACAGAACTCCATGTCGAGTTTGCTGGAATGCGTAAAACCGTGTACGATTTTACTGTAAATAACAGCTTCTTCGGCTAGCTCCTTGGCGACTTACGTGATCGCGCGTCACATACAAAATTACTAGCTTAGCCAGATTAGAAGAAACACACTTCGTACAACCCCTGAATATTACGTTTGGACCGTATTCTTCTCGACTTCTTTCTTTGATGTACTATACTTCCGGGAAATTACCGAAGATACCGTAATTACAGTCTTTGTCGCTGGCAAAACAATACTTGCCGACAGCCCCGGCGGCCTTACGCTAGTTAACTAGTTAGAGGTCGATAATAGTTTATGTCGGACTGAAGCGAACGCGTATGCACTAGTACAATTCGATCCAATCATGAGGGTTGGGAATTTATGTCTGGTTAAAGAACTATCTCTGCTTTTCAGGGGGAATACATGGAAAATGCGGGCGGGCGCTGTATACACTAGTCCTAGAGAGGAATAGTGGTAAACCACTCCTCTCTAACTCGACAGTTTACCTTAGGCAACCATAGCTGGTTTCTCCGGTCGTGTCCAAGATGACACCAGACCTTACATGGATTCTTTAACCGGCACCTTCCTAGCATACTCGTGGTGGTGCATCTGGTCAGCAAGGCGAGTCGATCCTGCCTATGGAAAGGAAAGACGGAGATATATTTATCCGGAAGAAAAGGGCGCCTTGCGTTTTGGTCGTCCAAAATCAAGCCCTTCTTGATCGTGTCACCGGAAGTATTTGTCGATCCCTGCGGAGCGAATGCTAAAAGAAAGGCGCGTGTTGCCATGCGACATAGCAAATGCGCATACTGATGCTACGTTGTCGGAGACTCTCGCAGACTGACGCAGCTTTTAGCTGCAGTCAAACAGAAATTTGGTGATCATTTTCCAACAAGCTCGCATCTCAGTCCGTCTCGAATGTAATAATATCGTTCTCCAGGAATCAATTGAATGCATATGGAGCAGGGGTTAAGTCCAATCTGGACCTAGGTCCAAAATGAGAGATCTACCAAGGCCTTCGGCCTGCCAACTGGTGTCCGATGTAGCTTTGCAGCCATAGATGCCTGAAGTCTTTGGATTTACTTCGATACACGCTTTAAATCTTTTGATTTCGAAATCTATTACATCCCCATAAGGCCTACTATCGACGTTTCGCATGTCGATCCTGGTTGCTGTTATCTTGGAGACCTTGATGGTTCTAGCAAACTGGGATGGTGCTGATGATGACTACGAGGTGGGCCGGTTCAAGATGTTGTTGTTGTTCCTGGTACTACTGAGGGCCTTGGTTTAAACATGATCGGTCGAATCAAGCTGCAGTTTTGCCAAGTATTGAATATTCATGTACTCTTTGTTATAGTACCAGCTATTCATAGTGGCGAACTCTGATCTCTCGCATGTTCTGAGTACAGCCACCCGTCAGCCACCTTGTCTCTATCTTCAAAAGGGCCTTCCACCCTTGTAGCTTACCTTAATTGTGAAACGTGTTCATGAGAAGGCAAAGGAGGTAAAGGGACAGGGATTATCTGAGGTAGACTTTGAGAGAACCTTGGTCAAGAAATTATAACCTGTGAATGATCTACAGCTTCAGAGTACCGCGAATTATTTTTTGCTTTTTTTATCCCCAGATCTCCAGGAGCAGATACACGATCGCACATCTGCAAGCTATGAATTCAGAGTATACCACCTATCATCTTGTGATCGATATATACAAACAAAGATAATCAAAGAAGAGGGGCTCAATGAGGTTGCTTCAATTTTAATGAGCAAGAAGGGACGGTCGAGTCAATCGAATGGTGTGGCCGCGTCGCGCTCCAGTAGGAGGAACTGAGATAATCAACAGAACCATTTCGGATTATCCTTTCACCCGTCCAGCTACGGCTTCCCCCATAAGCCTTGCGGAAGCTCAACGTCCCGCAAATGCGGTCATCGAGATAACGAACTAATAATACACGAGCGAGCCGCAAGCCAATTAGTAAGCTTGCAGCAGCGATACCCAAGTACCCCATAAAGACAGGGCGCAGTCTTACCCAAATGGTATACCACACATAGAAACAAGGCCTCCGAACCAATTTAGATGTGTCCAGTAAGGCGAAGAAGACTAAATTCGGGGTTTTATCATCTACGTAAAAACACTCATTAGCGGGTCCTCCAAGAGTACTAAAAGCCGAGATACTTTGTCTTACAAAACTAGTTTAGACCGCGACTGAACACTTGGAAGTTTTTTGACTGCTGTAGGCGAGGAGGACACTCTTCCTTCGATAAAATTCAGATGGAGTTTCTTGAGATCTGCTGGATTGTAGTATCGGATACATCTCCTAGGCACTGACGCGCATATTTCTTGGCGGTAACAGATCGCGCGCCCGTTAGATGGGAGTTTGCGGAGCCAACAAACTGGAAAGCATGCTCCTCTGCGACGACATCCTCGAACATATTGCAACGTGCATTTCCTCGCATTGTCCGGAGATTATAGTGTTCGTCTACTTCCATGTCAGGTCTTTGATACAAGTTGTTCATAATTTGAGGGATGTTGGAAGGAGGTCAAGTTCTCAGGGTAGGCGTCCAAGGTCCCGATGACTCATCGATCATGCACGTCATTTGAATCATGCTTTTTGGGAAGGTAACGGTCACCCGACACAGTACCAAATTAATGAGTCTCTTAATGGTAGAAGAGGAACAATGAAATGACGCAGGATCGCCTCGATGGGGTCAATTTCCTGCTTTAGCAGGCTTCTAGTTCTCTAATCGTAACTACCGTTCCTATGCGGTACGGTGTACATTGACGATTGACGAAGCCTTTTTTCAATTAATCCCCAGGTAGGCCTTAAATTCGGTGGAGGCGGCCTTTGGCCCTGACTTCATTTGTTGCTGCCTCCACCCCGGACTGGAGGCTCTAGGAGCAAAACAGGCCTTCTGAACCATCTCTGGGATCGACGGGAGTGCATCTAGGCATAGTTGTGAGGATCTCACGTATCGTTGGTTAGGAACGAGTCTTCCGAATGAATAATCAATATTAAGAAAGCTATAGTCGACTCTAGATACAAGACGTAGCGCGAGGAAGCTAAAGAGAGAGAACTTCCTCGCGTTCAGGGGAACCCAGATAAGCTATGTGGGTCCACATCCTCCAATATCGTATACAGCTCATGTCAGTCTCTGACATTCCCAAAACCCCCTTTGAAGATCCTAGGATCGGCAACGCTAAATTATGAAAGAAATTCTTCCGCGGATTTGATTGCTCCGGGAAATTGAGCTTTCATTACTTGGAATAGATCCGAGCTGAGGGCGAATATGTTCTTCCGCACTTAGTCAACCCTCTCAAAGTAGATCTCCACGTACCAATCAAACAGCGTGGCCCTTCAGCCCGATTAGATCACGTACCTCTCCGCTATTTGAAGACAGGGTTTATGAAATGACGCTGACCGGGGAATGTAGGTGGTTTGACTGGTATGATTTGGAGATGTAGCAAGTCTCCTGCCTGCCACCCTGCAGGTAATATCAATAGGGCCTACCGTGGCCACATGTAAACCTGGAGGAAGAGCACTTCCTTGATCTTACATGATTCATTCCGGCTTTCCCATTCCTCTTCCGAAACCCGATGCTGCGCGAGATTTTGTTGCTTTTCTTCGTGTTTGGGGTCGCAGAAGAAATTTTGATGAGCGGCCTGGCGAGGTATTTACCAACAGCCGAGCGCAGATGGCCCACGCAAGCACCACCTCTATGCAAGAGCTCAATGGCGAAGACATGGCCGACCAGGTGTCGTACGGAAATCGAGGCGGGAGCGTTTCTGCGGATGAGGTGGATCATCACGAGTTGAATCACCTCACTGATCCTCTTGAGAGCGCCGCCTCGACCTCGACCTCCCACATACAGCCGGGGAGGCAGGGCGTTAAGGTCCGCCGTCTGGAAATCGGCACAGACGTCGATGACATATACTGCATATTTTGTCTCGCCGAGAATGGGAATCCTACCAACGAGAATGTAATTCTGCAGTGTCGACGCTGCCAAGCATTGTCACATTTGAGTTGTATGGAGGAGTGGTTGAAGCAATGCAGACCTGAGATGCACGAGTCATGCTGCGCCTGGTAAGTGCAATGAACGCGTCTATCAAAAGGCTGGTTACTAAAGAGATGCAGCCGAAGTGAAGAGCCTCAAGACGCCCTGTTACGCGGGTGGCCATTGCAGATTCGAATGAGCACTGATGCAGCCAGAAGCTGGAGTGTCACTGCAGTTACCCCATACGATACTCCGTCAGCGGATTCCTCCCCCTCTGTATACAGATCCACCCCAGTGCAAATTTGCAAGCGGGTGCAGTGCAACAAGAGAGACCTCAGATATTGCCCCGCAGATCGACTAGACTGACCGAAGAGAGACGCCCACGTTCACCACTCCGTCGATCACCGAGGTTTCGAAGGAATCAAACGGGTGGTTTTGAGAGGGAGAATTGATCTTGGATAAAAGAAAGGACCGGAAATCGACCAGGGGCTTCGAGTTGAAGCGGAGGGCACAAGACCAAATCAGTTCTATCAGTGTCAAGGGCGTCGATCTTTTGTGGCCCTTCGGTCAGTCTCGCATATCTGCTTTCGTCCTAGATGTTTTAAGCTCAGAAAAGGGCGGTTGATTTCTTCATCACTTGTTGTGACATAGCATGCACTGAAAACCGCCTGGCCGCATAAGGACATCTCGCAAGCACGCCAGAGTGGGACCGAATGTCAGGCAATGGGACCATCCGTAGACCCGTTTAGAAAAATCGTGCATCACACATAGCAGAACCACCCGCCATGAGTAAGAGAACGACTTCCTTGCCTGGCCTCTACTCCGCCCGTGATTCGCTGCAGTGAAGCCATCACCGGGTTCATTTTAGATCAAGGTAGACAAGTAGTATATGATTGATAAGGGCACCCAGCACGGTAAGACCTCCATTTGAGAAGCCTCTAATGTCAAAACCGTGACTTCAAGCTTTGTGGTCGCGTTGAATGCCCGACCTCAGAAAATCCCACGAGAGCCCACCAGGCAGCGGTCGTGCCAACAAATTCCATTGCGCGGTAGTGTATTGGTATCTGCTAGAGCCCGACCTTTTCGTTCTAGACAAAAAAGCTAAGCGAGTAGGTAAGCTCGAATACCACACCGCTAAAGCCCTATCATGGCGAGCTGCGCTTGAGAGCTACCCCAATGGAAGTCGGACTAGTTGACTTTTAGCTTCAGGGACGCGGTGAAAGCCCATAATTTGCTATGCTGCGGCAATGTTACCCCGTCATGTATCAAAACCTCTCATGAAGTCAAGTTTTTGATTGACCTTGCTGCTGATCCCACTGTTGAACGTCGCATCCCTGTCAACGCAGCGCTCTCAAGATTGGTTGCAAGTCTGATTGCACAATTAGCTTGAGTTGGGTAAAGAGCCAAGGTGCCATCCCTAGAGCACTATTCGGACCATTGGAGCTCCCGCTGGCCTCTTTTCTATTTGTCTGACACGGTTTCCCGCTCACAAACGGTTGGATTGTCAAGAGCGTGAGCTGGTGTAGCCCCAGCGCGAAGAGAATATGAAGAAGAATCAGCCGTTGGAAAAGCGCAGATGAGAACGATCCAATCGTCGTGGAAAACCCAACGCTCGTGCATCGATGCTCACTTGTGCGATCACTCATCGCGAAGAAGCCCAGCGGAGACGCGTTTGGGAAATGACGTCACGCGAAGTTAGCTGTGGCAAGTCCAGTCAGCGGCGCGTCGGACCATTCAAGAACAGCGACCCAAGTCTGCTTCCGTCAATGTAGGCCGCCTTGAACATTCATAAGGCGCTGGAAAGGTTGGCACTGTCTTTGTGTTTGAAGTTGCTTCATAAGTCGGCCCACCAGAAAGTCCACGCAGCCACATGGACACGATATCGTGATTTGATGCTGGTGCCGGAACGGAGCCGCATCATTGGAATTGGCTCCTCAGATCTCCATATATAGAGTCAAGTTTTCAATCAACTTGATCCTCTCGCAGGATGTATTATCGGGTATCACCCCTTCAAACCGACGATCAATGATACCGCAGACGCATCATAAGTGGCCATGCCGACGGCGAGATGGCCACCACAGGCCTATAAGTAGTACTCTTCACTAGTTCTGCCTCTGGATAAATGTGAAACCCACCTTGAACAGGCTTAGCTCACAGCGTGCCAAGAGCACGTCTCTTCAGCACCATCACAGATGACCGAGGCGGAAGACGCTGATGTAAAGTGGCCTTGTCTAATGACAATGGAGATCAGCCATCGGAATGCATAATGCGGACCCAACAGTAGGTCTTGTCATAAACTGTTCATCTCGGTAGGTGTTGACTTCGGTGAGGTGAGACAGGGAGCCACGCTAGCCGTCCACTGTTAGCCTCCAGAGCCTGTACTGCAGCAGGCCTCGCGTCTAATGCCGCTTAAAACCAAGCTTTTGATAAGAGATGACGGCATTACCAGTGGAGTGAGCAGAGATCAGGTAACAAATCTTTCGATGGACGTGAGAGCTCTGCTGGAATGGTAGTCAGCCATACGGATGTAAATGAGGAGGGGACGCGATAAAAAGCCACCTGTTGGGTAATGTGGGTAACGCGCTTCTTATAGTAGTTTCGTAGTGCGATTGATCTCCTGGGTCTCCAGAGCAGGCATCGAAGGGTATTTTGAGCTGACACACGCATGGAGTGGGTGTGGGAAGCACGAGGCAACCAGTCGCACTATTGGCTATATTAGTACCAAAAGAGGAAGAATAAGGATAGGTAGGCATGAGCGGGGAGACTCTTTATCAACCCCAAAAGTAGCTGATATATATGAGAACAGACGTGAGTGCAACCCTTGCCAGCCAAGAAGTCGTTCAACATGGCTGCATAACTAGACGCAGTCCTCGGAGCTCTGAAATGACCGATAATCCGTAGCTTGAGATATGAAGGTTAGTTTTCGTGACTGCGGGGTCTATGCCCATTGAGTGTACGAAGCTCGCTCTTGTTAGTTGAACGCTCTCCCAATATACGTAAAAGAGATCGATGGGTTAGAGCTGACACTGAGTTTGCTTGGCGAAACTGGCCAACCCATTTCGTGCTGAAGCCAATAAGGTTAACGAGGGGCTATTTCCATCATTCAATAACATGGAGCACGATGATATCAGCAAGGGTTGATAGGCAGATGAATGGTTATTCGTCCTGGGAGAGCCGGATCAGATGGAGTGTGGGCGGACGACGTTGTGACCATCGATATAGCCTTACAGTGGCCCTGGGCTTTCGTTTCATTTTAGTGGCACGCGCCATGTATTGCGTACACACTGGCTTACTGCCGGTGTATCGACAGGCTCTGTGAAGGGTCAATGATCTGCCACTAGAGACTTTTTTTGAGAAGCCCAATCACTCACCCACGTTTGATACCTTGAAGCTCTGAACTAACTAGGCGCGGGTTAATTTGTGGAAATGTAGCGCAAAGAGCCGGATGGAAAGCGCGCGAGATCAGCCGATGGGATACGTACCTGATGGCATCACATCCTCATCGCTGATAAAGTTGACGAGCTGCTTCTTCTTTACTGTATCTGTCGGCGAGGCGACGAAGGCGTAAGGCTAGAGACGCTTCAATATAAAGTGCGTCTCCTGTATTCGAGGTGGGATCGGCCTTGCTTTGGGTACATGATGGGTGGTCTGTTCGACAACTGGTCCCTTGCTATCGAGTCCAAGATCGAGAGGGTAGAAAGCTTCATGAGCCATCCAGCATCCGGGATAGCCCACGCCGGGACTTGGGGAGGGGGCCGTGAAGATCTCTGCCACAGAAAGGAAGTCAGCTCTATGTACATAGACTCAATCAAAGATCAGGGGATACGGATCACACTCAGCGTTCGCCGGTATTCGTGATGTATCAATCCATTCACCTTTCTGTAGGAGGTTCCTGTGATAGAAGTTCGTTTGATCAGCGACTGACCTCACGGAGTTGCTATTGGGCCTACCGTATAAAAAAGCTCTACCTCAATATATCAGGGGTAGAGAGCCTGTCATGGTTGTCATCGAATGTGTTCAGATCTGACTGTACACAGACCGTTCGAGAAGCTCTATTGTGAGATCGTTAGATAGGACATAGTGCCTTTTTCATGGGTCAAACCAATTCGACACCTCACCTTGGTAGAGATTTTGCGTGCCACGGTGGATCTATTGGAAGCCTAGCGGAAGCCGAGTGATATACGTTGTCAGTGTAAGCTTTAACTAAGGAAGGGTGGTACTCACGTATTGAATTCTTTGTATATCGGGCTTTGAGGAAGAGTGTTATCAGTTAGTGATGGATAGTCTTGAGCTGATGACTGGGTATACTTACAAGTAGTTGACGAAAGAAAAGATCAAAGTCAATCTTCGCAAATGATATGTGCGAGGAGAGATGCAAGAGGAACGTCAAGAAAGACGGATGGGTGCATATTTATACCTCCGAGGGCGGAGTTCCTCGTCTTTCGCTTAATTCTGCAGCGCTCCAGTCAAGACTCAAGAATGGCAGATTGTGAGGCTTGCTAGTTCGTTCTATCCAAGAGCGAACATAGCATTCCAGCGAGCAGTTTTCTGCCCTAAAGAAACATGTTTACTTACCAGCGGTGAGCAAACATGCGTAGCAATAATAGATCGAATGACAAATAGTTGGCAAGGAGCCAAGATTCAGATAGACTACGAGGTCTGGCGAGGGCCTCCAGCAGAGTAAAATTGCGGCTAACTGAGAGACCAGAGTTTATTCACCAGCGGATGCAGTTGAATCAACAGCGATGAGCAAACATGAGGCGTCCCAAGAATATGCGGAATGACAAATAGTTGTCAATGAGGAATCGTTGAGGTAGAGTTCTAGTCCCGGTAAGGCAAATTGGGGATGTAGACAATGAGGTCGTAAACTTTATTCACTCGCGAAATCAGTTGACTCAACGGGGATAAGCAAAGAGGAGCTCTATCAACAACATATAGAATGACAAACACTTGTTGAAGAGTCAAAGTTGAGGCGAGCACCAAAAAGTCCTCTTTTTGATTACTGACTTGACTACCGTCCTGGCTTTCTCTCACCCCTCGTCGAGCCCGATGAACTAGCGGACAAATTAATAACTGCAAACAACTAAGATATTTTGCTCGCTCCATTATCACTGCTACGATCTTTGTATGGGCGGACAACGAGATGTGAACACGACACATAATACACGCGCTGGAGGGAACGTGAAAGTTGCCCTTCCTCTTCAAACAGAATGTGTACCGTGAGCAGCCCAAATTGGCAAGACCATAACAATGCACAGTCGTTCAAGTTGAGCCAACACCGGGTACCTTGGATCCACACCGGTGCGGCCCGTGGGTCGAGGTGGGGCCACCATATCCACTCTGGTGCCTCAACGTTGAGTGAACGACAGTGAATGATCAGCGAGGAAAGCCAGAAGCCCCCAGAGAATGATGGTGACTGAGAGATTGCCCAATTTTGTGCGACTCCCGAAAACTCTCCACGGCGTCCTTGGAATCGCTTTCCATTACATTTCGGCCGTTCCAGCAAAAGGCACCGCTCCTCAAGTAGCGGGTGCAAAGTATACACTACTCTACGAAAGACACAAAAGTGCGTCACGCCAAAAGTTGAGAATTGGAGACAGTTATTCACTAAGTTGATATGCCATGGGCTTTTTGATAGTAATGCCATATTCAGAGTATATTGACAATCACTAAGAACTCAGAGCTCTCTGCAGCCTCTCCGCTGCCAATCTTGGTCACATAATATCAGCCCTTAGTAGAATATGTGGACACGTGGGACTCTGCACAAGTCCAGTAATGGATGTATGGAAGGAATACCCTTGAATAGCAATCGTGTAGGCTTGTATTCTCTCAATGTGCAGCAAAGACAAAACCTGTCAAGCCGTGTACCTCAGTACCTCACAATAAGCCGCCAGAACTTGGGAATAGTCAAGCGGAGGTGACATGAAAGCCGCACGCAATTCGACGGGCGTCTTCGAAGTAGACCAATGGTCCCGCCCACCGTCCTCCACAATAGCACTTTCGCACGCGCAGCATAATGCTGAGGACCTTCATTCTGACTCACTTCTCTGAGGTCACCGTACCACGAGTGTGAACCATGGGCGAGCCAGCTCTTTGCCCTCCGATTGCAACTGCGCCAATTTTGTGATTCGACCAGCACTTTCTGTGAGTCAGGAATACTACACACCCAGATGGAATGAACGGTCGTGGTGCTGTCTGCCGCGACATGATTGGCGATCCATACGCCAGCATCGTCCAGCTCATGGATCAAGACCGGTGAAGACATTGCATCGACCGCCAGAACCGTCCTCGGTGAGAAACCTGCACTGCTGGTATTTGCGAGAAAGCGTAGCTGAAGTCCATAAAAGCAGGCTCCTCCCCCGATCCATTTGTCTTTCTTCACACATCGCGGCCGCGGTGTGTCGCCTCTGACCTTCGGGCCTGAGGCTTCCGTGACGACGGCTGTTGCTGATCCAAGCCCAGTGACATAAGAATAGTGCTTCGCAGGGGGGCGCTGCGTTACCAAGTGAACTCCGCAGGGGGACGCTGTGATGACAATTGAGACCCGCAGGAGACCGCTGCGTCAACAAGTTCTCTGCAGGAGACCGCTGCATTACCAAGTTCTCCGCAGGAGACCGCTGCGTCAAATAAGTTCTCCGCAAGGAAAAATGCGTTACCAAGAGGATCCGCAGGGACATCTGCGACACCAAGAGCCTCCGCAGGAGACAGCTGCGAAATCAAGCGACTCCGCAGGAGACAGCTGCGAAATCAAGCGACTCCGCAGGAGACAGCTGCGAAATCAAGCGCCTCCGCAGGGACATCTGCGAAATCAAGGCCCCCTGGCAATGTGCAAGCACCTCTGCGTGGTGCTAGGGACCAGTATTCACCTCACCTGGGGACTGCAACTCCCATGGGGACTGAAGAAGCCAAGACTTGCACAGTAGATAGACTAAATAATGAGCCATGGCAGCCCACTGGGAAATGCAATCATCACATTATCAGTTCAGTCGATTCAAAGCTCTCTCGTAGGCCATACCTAGAGTCGTATTTAATAAAACCGCTTTACGCAATAGGCACCTCGAAATGCCCACTGATGAGCCAATTCAAAGCGGTCGTCTCGAACTGCACGAGACATATGTTAAAAGTAGGCAGTTTGTCTGAATGATTCCCTCACTCGCGAATCCAATGCCAGGACCCCGTCCAGGCAGGATTTTCGTGACGCTGACCAATAAGGTGACCTGAGCCGTCAAAGATCGTCCAGCTATCGATAGTGGCGCTGAGCACGACTTCTAGCTAATGCGATTCTAGCCGGTGTGATTCCTGATGGGAGTGATTCCTGATGGGAGTGATTCTTGATGGGAGTGATTCTTGATGGGAGTGATTCTTGATGGGAGTGGTTCTTGATGGGAGTGATTATTGATGGGAGTGATTCTTGATGGATGAGTGTTGACGGCTGCGTGCTGACGTTGACTCGTTGGGCTACAAACATGCGGTGAAGCGGTGAACGGCAATCATTACTCAGGTTCACAGTGGCTGATCTGCCCTCGACCCACTTCGCGCGTCCACTCGCTATTGTCCCATGGGCCGCCCCAGGTATACGTCCTCTCCAAGAATTCTCGTAGATCCAAGCTTGTTCCTTTGTGATTCCTTGACATCAAGTACCTTCACGGAATCGATACCTCACCATCTCTTGACGCCAACAATTCCCACCTCATAATGGCACAGTTTGATCCGTCGTCTGCCGACCGTGCTCGCACGGGAATTGCGAATTTTGAGAGAACAATTGAAGCTTTGGGCAACAGATCTGCCTCACCAGTCCCGACAGCATCCTCGCAAAAGACAGGCGGCTCAAACAAGTCCAGTCACAAACACTCGAACCGAAGAAAACCTAGTGACGGAGTACAAAAACGAGTGCGATTTGACCTGGTTTCGGAAGACACGTCTAGAAGCGTTGCACATTCCAACAGATCTGTACAGTCAAAATCTGGTACGAGTCGGTACGTGCCCTCATCCTCCCTGACTTTACAGCCCAGCCATGCTAGTCTACAACGCAGACTGGGCAGACGCAGAAGGTGTGTACTTCAAATCCGGAGCCCCCTCATATTTGTGTCTAAGACCGAGAACTGATTTGTATCTCTAAAATGCAGGCTACTCAGGCGAGACGCCAAATGGGACGACCAAAAAAGGAATGGCAGTAACAGAAAATGTACTGCCAAGGGCAATGAAGATTTCGATAGTGATATCCAAGACCTTAAAACAGAGATGGCAAACGTCGAAGAGGGACTGAAATCAATCAAAGTGTAAGCCGAATGACTGGATTTAACCGTGAGAGATGAAACCGTCAGTCAGGGCCGTGTAGGACTTAAGACTTGTTTGGCGGGATTGCGAGGAATTGCGAGGAAAATTTGGACGAAGACTCGCCTACGAATGCCTTTAAACGAGTATCCAAACGAATATTAAATATTGAAAAGTCCATAATATATAAGAAGACAAACACAATCAATTCTGCTCCGGGAAGCAAAATGCAAAATTGAAGATCATATCATAGAGAATAAAGACCTCTCCCTTCCGACACTACGTTCCTATATACTTAAATCTCAACCGGACTAGCTAGACCTTTTTGGTAGCTTTTCTGCTGGTTTTTTCTGTTTTTTTTTTCTTCTTCTCCATGTTTCTCAAAAAATTGATCCCAGTGACGACTTATCTCGATGCTGAAATCGACTTGCTCTTATCAATCAGCAATCAAAGCTCCTTCTCCACGCACTCAGAGGCAATCAGTCCTTGGGCCTCTTCTCCGTTGTTCTGTAGCATGGTCGCTTTATAGATTTCGTAAAGAACCTCGGCAACAACTTCTCGAGCCTCTTTTTCTGAAGGACTCAAGTTCCCCCAGCCTCCTTTGATTCCTTGTTTCCGCATAGAGTCCGCCTGACTAAACTTGACAGTGGGAGCCTGACCTCGGGTTTCCGCCATATTGCGGTTTTCAGATTCACTGGACGCAGGATTCGTAGGTCTTGGTTCTGGGCTGGTAGGAGAAACCACATCGTCCGGTTCTCGTCGAGGCTGACTGGGTTGAATCTGGTGCTTCCTCGGGTGTCCCGCCGCGACGGCGCAGGTGTACCGTTGGTACCGTAAGTCGGAGAAGAATCTCTGACACCAGGTGTCCGTAGGCGCGAAGTGGCTCTCCGTTCCCGAAGGCGGCCCAAGGAGGCGTTCAATGGACGTGGCGTAGTACCACGACTGCGTCCTCCGGACCCGGGCTGATTCTCAGCCCAGGGTGCATACTGATTCTCTTGTTCGTCCTAAACTTGTTTGATTGTTTCCTCAGCTGCCTCAAGCCCACGGCAAAATCGAACTCACTCGCACTTGGGAATCCACGAAAACCCCAATGTAACTTTGGACCTTTTCATGTCATCATCTCTCAAGTCCTTCTACAAAATTTCCAGCTACGAGCATGGACTACGTGTGGAGGCTCTGGAGCCTGTGTTTTCATAGAGGGCTCCATAAATGCCGGCGAGATTGGCGGTCGTACATCGGTATACCTTCTTCCCACTAGCAATGCGGTCTCGAATCGCCGAGATTCGGAAGTCTTTGTCGGTAGTATTGGCGAAGCGATCGTTGGTGTAGTTGGGCTCGTATCTGAATGTGAATCTGGCCGCGTGAGTTGGACCTTCTTGCACGATCACGACGGTGGATCCTCTCAGCGTGCCCCATCCATCGACAGTGGCATTGGGATCAAGAGGCTCGCTTTCCGTGGGGCGGTTTGCCTTCTTTTTCCACGTGTATCGATGATAGCCAGACATTTTAAAGCCTTCAACAAGGCCAGTGGTGTCTTGGCTTTGGGGCGATGACACTTCTGGAGGGAGATGATCACTTTGTACATCCGGTCGATTTCTCAGTGCAGATTATCGCTGGTCATTGTTCGCACAACTGGGACTGAAGTCTTGCATTTCAAGATCATCTGCCTCTACCGTTGGAATAGCCCTATCAGGCTGATGTGTGGAATTGTCATCCACAGGGGCGTCTTGGTGCATCGTGCCTAGATCTCCCCATCGGCATAAGATATCTGGTTCTCATTCGAGTTTGCTGGGGATATCGAGGTTTGTTCCAAGCCACTCTGTAACTTCCCGGCTAAGTAGGACCCATCTATTGCCATCTGTTCTACCTTGCCCACATTGGAAGGAAAGACCTTTGCCTTTGGGTCCGGCCTTTTAGAGATGCCTGTGGATGACATGACGAAAAGCTAGAGAAGGAATATGTCTCGATCGAAGTGGTATGTGTTCTACAGGAACTATTCATGCATTTTTGCCTTGCTGATATCCTCGCGTGCTTTAGACTTGATCAAGTATGCGAATCACAAATTGCGGATGCCGTCATTTTCAGGACGCTGATTGCCCTTCAATCGAGTCGCAATTTCTAAGGGCGTTGAGAGCCATGGAGACCTCTTGCCCAGTGGTCAATTTTCGAGATGCTCTGATACCATGTTCTTGAGACAGGCCAGCGCAATTGCCGGATGTTGGTGCGTAGTAAGGCCATGTGAGCGACTCAAAAACCGAACACGCTAACTGAAATGGCTCAAAAGACCAGACATGCATGTTTCGGCGGCTGATGCCGCATCTCATGCATGCTCGTCCTTGTTACGGGCTTAGTCGCCACTGAAACTGCGATTCTTCAACGAACATTAATTTGCTAATAAGCTTATCGGTTTAAAATGATGTACGTTCATCCACTTGGAACTTATTCATGAGGCCCAAGACGTCTATAGAATCTCTGTCATCGATCAAGCATTCATTGACAACCAACCCTCAACAAGAGCCTCCTCGTGCGGCAGCCCTTTCTAGCAGCGGGCAATACGGAGATAATTATAGCCAAAGAAAGTAGCCTGATGAACATATCCCTTGGGTGTCCTGATTTCATAGTCAAATAAATTGGCCGCTTGCGATCCAAGTGAACGTCAATCAGTATCTTCTGATTATCTTCAAAGCTCATAAGAACTTCCATATCTTTCCAATCTATTCAGTGCTCCAGGCGCCCACCAAACGAGGTTTCCCGTTTCCTGCCCAGCATAGCCCTCTCGTTTGGAAAATCAACCCTGGGCTAGAATGATTCGTTGGCCGCTCTTTTTTGCAGTCCAAATCCTGCAGATGATCGCTGGAGCGGTCAATAACTCCACTCATCGGCAGCATCCCCCCCATGAGCGCAGCACTGCCATTTATGCGGCAGTACTAGGTGGCAACGGCAAGATTGCCGACGGCTGGCCACGTATCGATCAATGGGCTGACTCTCTTGAAACCATGTTTGAGAACAACAAAGGGACCATATCTGTCAGCTGTGCCGAATGGGGGCTCCCTAATAACTCGGAAGACGAAATCCAGTTCATCAAGGATGCCATCTTCCAAGCGGAGAAATCAAGCGGCGTCGACGCGCGCTTTATCTTGTCGATCGTCATGCAGGAGAGCAAAGGATGCGTTCGTGTCCAGACCACAAATAATGGGGTTGCTAATCCTGGACTGATGCAAAGCCACGATGGACCGGGGTCCTGCAACAAAAATGGAGCAATTCAGAACCCTTGCCCCAGGAGCGAGATACTCCAGATGATCCTGGACGGCGTCGAAGGCACCCCAGCCGGCCCTGGTCTCATGGCACTGATAGCTCAAGAGGGCGGCGCAGCAGATGTGACTTCATATTACAAGGCTGCGCGTGCTTACAACTCCGGCGCGGTGGCTTCTAACGGGAATCTGGGCCAGGGCGGTGCCACTCACTGCTATGTTTCTGACGTCGCCAATCGCCTGATGGGTTGGACCGATGGACCCAGTTTGTGCGCTCCAGATGCCATTGGTCAAATATCTGCTGCTTTTTGGGATGGCGACAGTTCTGCTGGGCGCACTGACCGCAATGAGACGTCGAATACTACAACTGCGCGGATTTTTGCCCATACCCACGGCTCCTCTTCGTCTAGCCTAAGCGCACCCTCAATACCCACTATGCAGTCGTCTGTGACCTGGACCTCTGCGCGGGTCTCTCGCAGTTCAACTTCATTGGCTTGTAGACGCGAGGGCAATTAGGCTACAGAACATATGCAGGGGCATGTTGGACAGTACTTATGATGCCCTCCTAGCTGTGTTGATATCAAGGACCGAGATCATCTAGCTACCAGAGGAGATACAAGCTAAAGCGCTTCCAAAAGGATTCGGGTATACCGAAAGTAGAACGCTCATTTGAAGTCCTCTTTCTCTAAGCGGGCGAGAAGTCTCCCTTGTAGTTCCAGCTGAGCATGGAGTTTCTCTTCCCGCGCCCTTTGTTCAGCTTCTCGTGCCTTCTGTTCTGCGTCCCGCTTCTGTTCTCTTTGCTTCTGATCTTCTTCTCGTTGCGTGTCACGAGAAAATTGCTCTTCCAATTGGGCAAGCAGTTTCTCTTCCCGTGCCTTCTGCTCTGCCTCGCGTTTCTTTTCTCGTTCCTTCTGGTCCTTTTCTAGTTGCCTTTGTCGTATGTTTTGTTCTTCAAGCTGAGCAAGAAGTCTCTCTTCCCGCGCCTTCTGCTCTGCTTCCCGTTTCTCCTCCTTTGCCTTCTGTTCTGCTAGCTGTTGCTGCAGTGCTTGAACCATAATTCGCAGCTCAGGTTGCAGTCCACGGCCCTGTGAGGATGCGGCTCTACGATATCCTGGCCGTTCCTGCGATCCAATGATGGACAGCTGTGACTCGACTTCATCGACGTCGATTCCCGAGGTGTCGTCTTCTGGATCAGGCACTCTGCCAAGGACGCGCATCAATCGATCGGTATGAATGCGCAGGAACTCACGGTCCACATTTTTCACGAATCGATAGCATGTCCATCGATCTTCTGGGGTCCAGACGTTGGGTTGTGCAATTGGCCACCGGTAGAATGAGACTTTATCTTCCTCAAACTCAGGATAGTAGCCGTATATGCGAAAGCCATCGAGTTCATGAGATATCGAAAAGCCCAGAATCCGCCGATGCACCTCTTCTGTACAGCCAGCCGCCTGGCACAGCGAGACCACGGCTCGCAGCGCGATGCACATGCTGTGCATGTTTTGCCGGTCCGCGAGCTCCAGCGCTTGGTTTCCACATTTGATTTCAGCGGTCAGGTAAGAAAAGTACATGTCCTCGCGCGCTGTGTACGGCGATTTTTCGTCGGGTCTGATGCCGAGCTTGCGCCGCTGGCTCTCAGTGAACACTGACCACTTCAATCCACGTGCATGGTCAGGCTGCGGCTTTGGACCATAGATCGGCTCAGTCTTCAGCCATGGATCATTGTATCCATCTATGACGTCTCTCAGGCCCTGCGTGCCCCTGATGAACTGATTTTCCGCCGACGGCATGATCAGGGGATGCAGGTCTACTAGGAGACGCGCTTCAGACCGGTTCCGCAGCGCGTAATGGAATCTGTCAACATACTCGTCATCGAATAGGGTGCCCTGGGGAGTTGCGATCGGCTGATGAAGAAGACGCTTACAGAGCGCGATGTCGTCGGGCATCGGGCCAGCTGGGGACGGCTGCATGAAGCAACCCTTGGTCTCCAGTATGGTCACATAGTTCACAGCTCGGTAGGCGTATGACCGAGTGTCACGAGCCGAGCTGCTTTCGCTGTATTCCGAGGAGACAGACCGAGCGCGTCCCCGGTCGGTAGAGATCGAGCGCGATCGGGATCGCTTGGATGCTGGTTCACTCATTTCTTCGACGACAGCAGCCTCCGGCGCTGGTATCCACTGGTATATTTGGTCTTCAAGCGGGGTGGGCGTATGCGTGAGCGAGATTGGCGTCGTAGTTGGGTGTTCTGGAGGATTGGATTCCTATGCAGTTAGCTACTGGAACGTCGTCAACCCAGACACGCTACTCACTTTTCCAGGGTGATCTGGCGAGGAGGGAGAAAGCGGCTGTGATGATTTTCTACGGTCGTGCTTCCTCTGCAAAGGTTCTGGATTCGTGCTCAAGCTACCTCGCCGGGGTACTTTGGACGGCCGCTCCTCACCATCACTCTGAGAGTCGCGTAGATCGGGCGATGTTCCACGTTTCATGACGGTGTATTTGACCAATCAAGGGTATTCATCTTCCTGGTCAGCACCACGCTTGGACAGAGATCAAATGCGACGCGGTTCATCGATCAGAGGATGTCGGGTATCGAGTGGTGACGGAGGCCCTTGGCCAGCAGAACACGAGTCGGCGCCAAGACATCCAATCAATTCCTCCGCGGACCGTCATGGACCCACTATCCAGCGCAGCTCTCTCTGCCTTTATGTCTCAGGGCCAACTCGCACTAGTTTGGGCCATCGAAGAAATGGCGTTTCAAGCTGGACATTACACTTTTATGCTGGGAACTCGACTCCTTTTCTTGTGTGGTGTCCACATTGTACCAATCACCTCGCGAGCAAGGATTTATTTTGATCCCCACATCATGAGCAGCTATCAAGACAGAGCTGTCGGTGTATCAGCACAGGGCGCTCTGGGAAAGTCCGCCAGCTCCTATCCTGACGAGGGAAAGACACTTTGATCCTGGGCCTTACCATTAAAGCCGGTTCAACGAGGCCTACTGTAGCTAGCCAGTTTACTACCCTGGTCACGAAATCGAGTTGCTCAGATGGGCCGCCCCCCAAAGAGTGGAAACCGCGCGGTTTGCTTTTCGATTGAAATTACACATAAAATCTATGATAGGTCTTGATGATAGATAATTCCCCGTCTATGATAGGATGCGCCCAGTTAGCCCTCCGGTCCATGTCATTGAGCACGTCTTGACTTGATTCTGGATTCTGCACCGTGGCTCCGCCCAGCCCATCCGAAACACCCATTCCCGTTAGTGACAAGCTGAAAGAACCCAAGCGAAGAGAGCGAGGGCATCGCTCAGACATCAAGTTTTGGCCCTCCATCGGACGCTTCTGATTCGACCCTGCATAAATTTTCTGCTGATCCCGTGACAGATCCCGGGAGGTTACTGTCGAAGAAAGTCGATGCCGAAGAAAAGTCTTCGCGCAGACGAATATGATTATCAGGGCGCTTGTGTGACGTCGATCCAAGCCCAGAGGCATGGGAAGGCGGCAAATCTTGTGGCGAGGGGACCTGGTTTAACTCAGACCGCTCCTTCATGCCTGAGCGACCGTCTGAGCTTTCAATCTTTGCGTTCTGAGAGTTCGCATTGTTTGGTGGCCCTTGTTGGTTATGACTCTGTTGACAAATACACGGTAATGATTGCACGAGAGTGCAGAGCCGATTGAGCACAGAGAACTCCAGCTTTAGCTTGATGCTGTACACCACTGTCTTGAAACTGACTTGGATATAGTGCACTTTGTACTCTGTGATGAGGAGCAGGATATTCATGACGACCACGAGTACGTTCACCCAAATGAGATGAATCATGACTTTGCGTCCGTCGGGACCGCGCATCTGCGTGATTAATTTCAGCGACCGCATTGCTTCGCGCATATACAAACCGCAGATGATCAGGTCCTGGATGCAAAAGCCCGTCACTTGGATACGATCGTAGATCATGGCCGGCCGTACGAAGCGGGCGTCGCCGCTGCTCACGCCAAAGAATAGCACAGTCATAGGTACGTGAAAGATGCAAGAATTCGTAAAAGCCATCCACAAGACCCATCGTAGGCTCGCAATATCATGGACCACGATACGCAGGTGCCAATACAGCACGACCGCTTGGCCAGGGACCATGGCGTACTATCCGATAATAAACGGAATTGTGATTGGTAGGTTGGATGCTTGGGAGATATAGCGAGTCATTGCAGGAATAGCATGGACGAGAATTTCCCAAGCGGCAAACTGCATGCTCCACAAGTACGTTCCACGATAGGGCTTAAAAGAACTGAATATCAACACAACCGTCTCGAGAGCGTTGTATGCGCCGACCGACAACATGGATACAATCTCAATGATCGAGATGTTTTGCATAAGGAGGGCACCCACGTCTGGGGCAGGCTGGTCACAATAGTATCCATAGCAGCGAAGTATAAATAAATAAAGCAGAGTAGTGCGTGTGAAGATGAACTAAGTCCCAAGTTAGATTTACGTGTTGCTTGGGTCAATGCCTTAGCTTTATAACAAGATGGTGGTGTGAAGGTAATGGGCCCTGGGATGGGATTCTGCTTATATGGCCCTGACCAGAGCTAATCCGCTCAGTCCCAGTGATTTTGAAGACGTTCTGAACTGTCAATACTTTCGAAAAGAAAGTCAATTCACGTCCGCGCGTCCGTCATGGTGATCTTAACAGGGTTATCCTAGATGCTCTGGCTGGGACATAGACTCTCCGTGAGAGGGTGCGAAGTGATCCTTTCTGGCCCCTTGGAACCTCAAAATGCGGTCTCAACCACTAGTAAAATGACAGTGGAACAGGTTCAGCAAATTACATAAATGAGACGAGCCTCGCATGCAAGCTCCCGGGGAGAAGGCCCCGGGGAGAGCGGGCGGACTTTCGCTGGATAGGAGTTTAGCCTAGCTTTGGTGCGCAAGCATACATGGGTTATTGTACTTGCAGTTTGGCCGTTATGGCAATGAGTGTGAAATTTCAGGAGACCTTCTAGGGCTACATTGATCTGAACATATTTGAAAATCCACCAACCGCTGAGTATGGCCGAAAGGGGCTTGGCAGCTCCTTTAGCGTTCGATACAGTCTTCTAAATCATTCGGATCAGAGTAGGCTCCTTGAATCGACGGTTCCTTGGATAGTTGGAACCTGCATAAAAAGACAGCTCCTCTTGAATCCCTTTACTGGTTGACTGGACTCCCCGATGCTTGAGAGTGATCTATGTGGGATCGTCTGGTTGCAACATAGCAGGATGGAGCGACCATGAATAAAATCTCCAGTAATTTATTTGTCACATCAGTAGAATATCAAACTCTGCCCATGGGAACGGGTGGTTCGGGGCCGCTTTCCAGACTGTTCTACAAGATCAAGCATCCGATGCTAAACGATGGGAGCGCCAAGAAGCAGCGAAAGAGGTACCTGGGCTGCATACTACGAGGGAGACGTGGGGACAATGCTGAGGTTTTAGAGTTTTGTATTTGTGACAAAGGCTCTGATCTTAGGTCAACAGAACGCTTGTAATATTTTAGTTGTGACCGGAAGCGGCGATAAGACCCATTGTTCTTACTATTTGTACAGTATGAGAGACTGATATTTGCAGAGAAACCAAACATGCAATGACTCGGCCTTTCTCGAACAGTTCCCATCAGAAAGGCCAGGCAATGCGTTCCCATTCAGCTATAGTGGTGCAAATATTTAGGTTCGCGGGGTTCGAAGCGTGCGACCATTTCCTATGGTCTAGTTGACAGAACCTTTGTGCGGACTGGTCGATCACTGGCTCCACAATGAAAAAACCTTTTCCCCTGGTGTTTACCTGTCGGGGACGATGTATAATTACATATTTTAATTTGCGCTAGCAGAATATTGATGCCGGTGAAGATGCTTGGCAGTACTACAAAGACAGTTGTTTCGTCTCAGGTTATTCCCATTCGGACCTTTAAGAAGGCTATTTGCCAGAGGTCTAGCATAAGTGATCATACTTTCAGCGAAGTTTTTTCCGTTCCAAATAGAATTTCGTATCATGGCGGGATCCAAAATCTCGACGAGACGTCGAGCCCAAGTTCCTGGCCAAGCAAAGGCCGATATCGTTGTTCCACAACGGGCTTCACAAACCCCTGCACGATTGACGGCCGAGAGCATGACGAGCAACAAGGCCTGTTGCCTTTCATTCACCTTCGTTTATCTTATTTCTTCTCCTTGAGGGAAGATCTACCAATGTTTGATGCGTAGTCACTAATAGCAACCAACTCTAGGCTCACATGGTTGCAAAGGAAGACAGTATAAAAGACCGGAAGAAAATGTACAGAAGGTGCCTAGCAGTCATGAAAAACTTTGAAGAAGAGTTCCACCAGCCTCTTGCGGAAAAGGACGCAGAGAGCACCAAATGAATCGGGAAATACAACGTCTACACGCCGACAGGGCTCAGGATAGTTCAAAACTTCAGCAGGCAATGATGGAAAAAGGGGCGGTGTCATCCGAGGCACAGCGGCTGGAGAAAGAGCTTCGTGAAGTTCAGCAACATATGCAACACATAAATATCAATATGCATGGGCAAACCTTGTGGCATAAGATTCAGTCCGCCTTGCAACAGACACAGGGCGAGATCGCAGCGGCGAACTCTTGACTATGGAACATAATTAACAAGCCGCAGAACTGACAGTCGGTGCCCTATCTGCCAGGCTCTGAGATGATGAATGGCAGTTGGGCTAACCAAGGCCCACTGACCAACCCCGGCTACAATCTCCTTCCGGAATTTCCCGCATGAGTGCCTTCATTTTCTGAGTACTGAGTATGGCAGTGCTACTTTTCTTGCGATTGGCCAATGCGAACAATTCCATTCTTGCGTTTTCTTAGGACAAAATTACCGTAGAAGCAAAGCGTATTGTGTTGGACCGAATGGACATTGGTCTGAATGTGGTAAACGGTAGAACCCACAGCCCGAGTGGGGGCATGATCAGCGCTCCCTTCTTTTCTCCCCGTTTCTGCTGGTTTCCCGGGTATCTACTAACTTATCCCCGCGATAAGCACCCGAACATTCGACTCACAAGCAATTCAACTGGCCCATCACGATTATGCATCTGTTTGATAGAGATGGAGAAAGCATTCCGCGTGTGTTTTGTCGGAAGCCCTTTTCTTATTGTGACTTAAGTGGCCGCATCTCTTCGCATACAGTTTGGACTGCGGAGAAGCATAGCTCCTCTTTTCAACCGTATCCACGTAATATTGCTCCTCAATAGCTTCCTGTGATAAATCCTGATTTTGCTGAAACCATCCAAGCAGATCACCACTTTCGTTCGTGGTCCATGGAAGGCCACGATCCGGGACTAAATCTAAAATCAGTAGTTTGAAATTGCTTCGGACACAATTAGACCCACTCTTGCGTTTCCTCCTAGCAATTGGTCGTGAGGTATCCGGATTATCCGAAGTAGCCAAAGGCGTGGTACCGGATGTTCTAGGCGGTTTGGTGGCAGTATGTTGAGGTAGCGTGCGCTGTAGGTCCCGTAATGACACAGCCCTGTTGGATAGAGGTGCGAGCACAACATCGGTTTTTTGTATCACTGTGTCATATGAGTGAATATATCCATCTAGATCCATGAAACTTCTGATATGGGCTCCTCGCGCATGTAACCTACCTTGGGGTGCTAAGTGTTTCCAGGAGGCTATCTGCGCTATTGCGAGCTCAGTAGCGCTAATTTCTGCGTCAATATCACTGGGGTATGACTTTGGATCAGCTAGTCGGCATGGAATAGTCGTGCTCAAAAAGTCGTGATCAAATTTTGATAACTTCACTACTACATTACCTTCGGCAATATGAAGATGATAGCTTCCATCCTCTTGGAGAACTGGATCGTACGTGGGACGGCGAGCGATATCAGCCCAATGAACACTGCTCGTCTTCGGCCCCAAATCCTTCAAAACCTACGGCCGACGCTGAACATGTAACTAAGTTCCTCGGCCTTAAAAGAACTGACAAGTGGAGCTTCGAAGAGTCGTGCAATTGGGATATCGGCATACAGAACAACTTCATAGGAGCGCAACAGGTCAAAGATCGAGACTAGGTGCTGCTTGGAAGGCGGAAACCGACGCACGCAAATCTTATCTGCAAGGGTACTATTGGGTGACTCTGATGCTGTCTCATCTTGGACTGCCTCATTTTGTTGGCCATTGGACTCGTCCATCTTAAAATTTGCTTTAACTGCCTACCGGCCTGTGAACAATGAAGCGTTAAATTTATCTAACGATAGCAGTCATCAGTTTTCGCGGTAAGGGGAATCTTCGTGTTTGGATTACCTTGACCAAAGAACGAGGATGAAAAGTTTCCCAGGATTTAACTAATACAGGCTGATCTGGCATCTTCTGGCCTCTATTAAAGATCTACTTGTGCCGCAGATACTGTCTCAAGGGCGAAGACTCTCAAGGGTGAAGACGGTCCAGGCCGTATTGGACTTAGCTGAGGCGTCACAGCGGTTTCGCAGTCATGCGCCATGAGGGCAGCCTAACAGTGGGAGCGGCGATTAGGCCTCAGGAAAACTCGACAAGGCTCTAAGTTCGCTTTGAAAAAATCACTCTACATTCCATGCTCAGATACATATAGTTGTGGTAGACTGCATATCGCTTTGGTAATTGATTATAAACCTCATCCCTTAGGCTGGGAACAATTTCGTTCTGGTCTAGTGGTTTAAATTTATATTGGCAAGAGGTCAGTGTAATGAAATCATCATCATCATTCTTTGTACCAAAAACACCGGTCAAAATATTGTCCAAAGGTAATATGCCCGCATTTCCATTGCCACTGCATACAATCCATCCATTCAATGTTTATCGGGTTAATACAAGCCCCAGAAAATATCAAAATCACTACCCTCACGGAAATCAAGGAAGAAAGGATGTAAAATTGGAGATGTTCCGAGCCCCGAACCAATCAGCGTAGAGTCAAACTGCATAATGGAGTAGAAAGGGTATGATAGTTGGAAAAAAATGTAGGGAGTCCATCAAGAACCTAATGAGCTGTTCCCAGCTGGTTCAACAGTATCATCAACAGGCGAACGAGGATTTCCAGCGTAGCCAGTTAAGAAAGTTTCCAGGTCATCGCAAGATGTGGACGACGAGGAATCCGTCGAGACGATCATTTGTCTCGGAGTAGGACTCTCTGATGTCGCGGCGCGAGTCTGATTGACGTCTCCGGCCGATGAAGACGCTATGTGAGAACTAGACGACGCACCACATTCTGAGGACAGGCCACCCTTCCCGGAAGCGAATCCTTTCACTTCATGAGCAAGGCGACTTTGCTTAGCAACCAGGGCTTCAGCACGTTCTTTCTCGAGGCGAGCTATTTTCTCAGCTTCACGACAGTCAAGTTCCACCAAGTCAGAAATTTCTTGGTAGCCACAAACGATGGAGTCATTAGCATGAGAGCGAAGCAGAGTTTCATGACGCTCGAGGTGCAAAACCTTTTTCATGGCCTCTTGGCCCGCGAACAGGGCACGGCGACGCTCGTCAGTGTTTCGCTTTTCCTCCTCGACCAGACGTCGCCACTCGGCATCGGAGTGCACCTGTTTCGACATCGCAGAATTCACGCCACCCCTACCCTTGAACAGCCACCACAACAATCGGAATAATCGGATCGAATGCTCACTCTTTTGAGTCGAACACAACGATCACCACGGGCAACAGAATGACACGCCTTCTCGATTTGGGCACTCAATTATTTCTTGCGGATGGGCGACCGACAACGTAGAAGTAATAAAGAGGGGACTTGGAGCGCAAAGAAAGCGCGAAAGTAAAGTGAGATCCACTAATAATAGGCGTTGCGCTGTCTATGCCTCATGAGTACGAAAATCGAGAGAAATGAGGACAATGTTATGAGCCCAAGTGACAACATATTAGTAGTGGGTGCGAATGTGACGCCCGAGGGCCAGAGACTAAGAACCAACTAGCTTAGCCTTTCACCGCCTCTCCAAACATGAAGTACCAGAGTCGACCATGGATTTTACATGATGGCATGATGATCTAAACCTTGTCAAAACCCGCCCACGGGCCAGCTTGAGTCTTAGTCAGCACAGCGTAGGTGAGAAAACAAGTCGAAGCGTTGTGATATGAGGCTGGTGCAGCTCAGGAACTTCAACTGGGCTGGTGCCTGAGCTGCACCAGCCACCTATCCCAACGAAAGTAAATGCGAGTATGGATAAAGCGTTTATTCGCATTATACTATGAACTCCCGGAATTTCGGAACCCTACTTGTACGATATTGGCAAAGAAAAACAATATAGAAATCTCTGGTTCGTGGCAAGATGTACGTCATAGCAAGGGGTGGTGCCTAATCTAGCCGCAATAACTTTGCGCACTGCAAGTCCCTAGAAACCTGATTATGAATGCTGAGGTAATGCCCGTCTACCTATAACTACGCAATAAGCAAGACTACTGAACTTTTTCAGATATTTATCACTTCTATCTCACCATCAACGTTTACCAATCAACTACAATGACACTATGGCGGCTTCAGTCACGACTGCAGGTCCCAGTCTCTATCCTCCGTCGACAAGCTTTCAGTTTTCTTAGCCGCCGAGCACACGGCAAAAACCCCAAGTCAGAGGGCGAGGACCGCTCTGCGCAGCGGGACTCCGGCGGCACGGAAGGCTCACCTAAACACCCGATCCCCTCCAACCAGGCACACCCAACTCTTCAAGATGGCAAGGACTCGCCCATCGCCGATTTCGAGGGTAATTTGCGAGGTGATCTGCCGAAAGAAGTACAGGATCATAACAAAGAGGTTGAACGCCGAAATGATCTCCCACACAATCAATTATATGAAAGATGAATAGTGTCTTTTTTAAAATAGAACGACTGAAAATCATGGAAGCCAAAGTCTGCACATTTTGATTCTTGCTTGAGGGTCGGTGAATACCTCTTCTTGATTTCTTCTTTTTCTTTTTGTGTGTCAAAATACACACACAGTATTAACACCCGGCGGCTAAGCCGAAAGGGCAACTGTGACTGATCTACTGTACATGAATATACATATATATATATATATACCATGTCTCCTTGAAGCCCATACATAAGCACTTTCTGTAGATTTCTAATCTAGGAGAATAGTAACACTGTGGCGAGAGAGAAAAACTGTGAATATTGCAAAGTAAAAGGATGTAGAGCTGTGTGCTTCCCAACTGTGGGAAGGACGCCATCTAAATACATGGAAGGCTGAGATTAAACTAATTCCGGCTGCCATAGAAAAGACGGTGGTAGAACATGATTCCAAATCATTCCGAATCAACAAAGCAAACATCAATTATTGGCTATGGCATTGCATGTCAGCCTCGGAAGCAAGTTTGATTGTGCCGGTGATGATCGGCATTGCCATTGCCTAGCAAGGCCTAGCCGCAGCTTCTACCATTACTTGCTACCGGCTATGCAACACTTTCAACATATCTCATCTCAGCTGTCAGTTTCGTGGTGAGTCCTTGTTGGTTAGTAATTTTGTTAGTAAACTGGATTGAAGGTGCTTCTCCAAATTTTCACCATGTTGTTCTCGACAGTTGAAGCGCGTCTACCGTCTCTGGCACCATGTGGTTGGTGTAGTTTAGTTAGGGGAAGGGTGCCATTGTGTTGGCCCACAAGGTCATGTTACTCGGCCCGTGGCGATAGCAAACTGTATTGAGGCTCGCACTGCTTCCAAGTTCGGTGTGCAGCTCTGAACATCGGAAGGCGATTTCCGCCTCCGAAGAAGGACATGTTCCCTCGATTGGTATGGGTACATGGTACATGATAGCATTTTCGTCCGATGTGCGGTCCCATTCCGACATCGAAAGAGGAAGTGCTCTACGGTCTCTCTTGATCGGCCATATGCACACTGATCTGTCTGCGCGACGTTGATTCGATAATGACGCCCATTGAGTCTAGCCATGCCAGTTCGGAGTTGAGCCAGCACGTTCGCCTCTTTTCACGATAATGGATCATACAGCAAACGAGTGTGTTTGCCTGGGAGTGTAGCATCCAATCGTTTGGAGTGTTTTCCGACTTTCTCTAACAATCTTTGCTAGAGCTTCTTGTGATCGTGCGGTATTGGGCGTCATTGACTTCACTCTGGGATCTGCGCCTATTGGTAACGTGGTAATGTCCTCTTGCGTAGCGGATCTGGCCTGCTCTTTATCCAGGCCCAGCAGTGTGTGGTTTTCGCTAACAGGGACTCAAATGATGTCAATCCAGGTTTGCTTTCTCCGTAGTCTTCAATCACGTACTGTGACTTTATTGGGCCTGATGTTCTACCAGTTGATCGAGAAATGAGGATTATTCCAGCTCCAGGCTCCATTGACCTCTCGTTCTTGGTATATAACGTCGTCCCAAGGGCTGGAAGCGGTGACGCAGCAAGCCTTCCCATAATTGAGCACGGGAGGCTAAAGCCTCCTGAGCGCAGAGGTCAGCTCCCGAATGGAGCCTCACGTTGATGTCCGTCACCGAGCTAGACCAGGAGGACAGGGTCTTCAAGTTGACCGAGTCCGGAGGCTCAGTAGGCTTCAAGAAGGCAGCTGCATCACTCAAGGACTGGGGTTCCAACCCTCAAATATGGACGGGCTGCTTTCTTACCTACCTGGCCATCATGGGATATCTCGTCGGCGAGAAACATCCCAAGGCAGTCCCCAACCTACTCATGTTCATCAGGCAGATCCTGGACTACGCCCAAACTTACGAGTGGTCGGAAGCAGTGCTTCCACTTGCCCTTAACTTCCACCAATATATTCTAGATAAGGGAGATCTGTCGATGGAAAACACCCTTATCACAGCTCTATTTCGTGAAAAGTATCTCCCTCACAATCTCACCCTACCTGCTAAGTCAACGACAAATCCTTCAGCCCGATCCCGCCAAACAAGGTCTACCAGGTCTTCCAATAACGAGACAGTCGTTTGCGATAAGTTCAACACGTCAGGATGTCTTTGGGAAGGCTGCAAGAGACGTCATGAGTGCACACTATGCGGTCTCAGCGAGCATGGTGCCTCTTCTTGCCGTAAGAAACCATAACAAATGAATACCGCGGCTAGGAAATATACTGCAGAGGCTGCTAGGACTGCCTCCAGCCTTAAAGCACCAAACCTAATACCGCACGGCCAACCGCCCAGACCAAATACTTTTGTCCAATATCCTGTCTTCAACCCAGAGCTCCCAAAGTTACAGTTCTCTCCGTCACCACTTTATGCAAAAGGCTGGAGCAACCTCCTACGCCACTATCCAGGCGATATCGGGCGTACTATCACTGGTATCTTGACCTATGGAGCCCAAATCGGCTATAGGGGCAAGAAACAATTTTCTTATTCCCCCAACCATAACATATACGAGCCGGGTATGACCACAGCCAAACTAGCAGAGGACCTCAATCGCGGACGCATTCGATTGGCCTCTGGACCCTCCTTTATTTCGCCGCTCGGGTTAGTTCCCAAGCACGATGGGGGATGGCGCCGCATCCATGATCTATCCTGACCCCTGCACAAGGCCTTAACCAGGGTATACCAGACTCCTGGTCAGCCATTGAATACATATCTATCGAAAATAACTACCAGCAGGTCGTACAAGCTGGCCCAAATTGTACAATTATCAAGAGGGACATTAAGGACGCTTTCCGAATAGTCCCTGTTGCCGAGGATAACCAGCATCTCCTTGCCTTCCAGTGGAGCGATTCCACTTATGTCGAAAGCTGTCTCCCCTTTGGTCTCGCAACGGCCCATTTCTCTTCAATCTCTTCGCCGAGGCTCTCCATTGGATACTCCAATGTCTCCTACCTGCATTCCATATCAATCATTATTTAGATGACTTTATCGCAATTGCTCAGTCTCCCTCAGGGTCCGACCCTACGGGTCCCTTTGATGAGGTTTACAACAGAATCACCGACTACCTGCATATCCCTCGCAATACCGAAAAGGACCAGCAAGGAACCCGTGTTACAGTCCTAGGTATCCAGATCGACTCCATTACAATGGAAACTCGTCTGCCACCGGAAAAGTTGTGCCGCGCCACATTGGACGCCGCAGCTGCCCTGAACGCAACGAGTCTCTCCCTCAAGCAAACAGAACGTCTCACAGGCTCATTAGCCTTCTGTTCAAGAGTTGTCCGGCTTGGAAGAACAAGGCTACAGTCTCTATACACTTTCCAAGCCGCTTTCCCACGTGGGAAAAGCGCGCGCCGCCGTATCTCGTACGAGGTACGTGACGATTTGGAATGGTGGAGGGACTCCTTGTCTCTTTTCAACGGCGTACTCTTAATTGACCCCTGCCGCCGCGCTGTCACACATCTCCACACAGATGCCTCCAGTATAGGCCAGGGGCTCTTTTTCTTCTCATCCAAGCCTACATCAGACTGCTGGCTGGCCCATTGTCACCAGCTTCACCCAAGCAATGCTGCCTCACTGGCCCTTGCCCAAGACGCACATGCGCACATCAATACCAACGAAGTAGACGCCATTCTGCAAGGCTTCCTACTCTTCAGCCACCATTGGCTTCATTATACTCTCTTTATCCACACAGATAGCTCCACAGCGCACACAGGACTAAGGAAAGGCTTTCTTCATGGCCCGCCTAACGCACCCCTGAAGAGCCTACTTATCCTAGCGGCGGCGAGAGACATCCAAATCATACCACTTGGCTCCCCTCCGAGGAAAATATATTAGCAGATGCACTCTCCCGTAATAGATTTCAAGATATTGCTAACATCTGTCCACACTGGCAGGACCTCTCGGTATTGAACCGCCCGCGTGGTTCTCTTCACGCGCTTCTCAGCTCAATGCAGGCCACCTAAAACTGCTCTGGAACGGACTCAGCGCTAACACGCGTTCCACCTACCTCTCAGTTCAACGTAGTTACGAAAAGCACTGCGCGCTACAAACCCTGTCAGCATGGCCAGCATCAAGACAATCGCTGATCTCGTGGCTCACCTCACGACTCCTTGGCAACGCTAGTCAAAGGGCCGTCAAGCCTGACACCGCGCTCGCCGACCTAGCCGCTCTCCGAGCCTACCATATCGATAACTTCCTCGACGACAAACTCTTTGATAACAAGCACTTTCGACGCCTCATAGACGGTGCGAGAAGACTCAACCCTATCTCTAAAGCTCGGGTTAGGAAGCCGGTCTCGCGTGACACCATTACGAAATTATCTGCAGGACTCGCCATACTCCCGTCACAGCCCTTGGAGATGACTGCAAACCTTCTGGACGACTTAAACTTCGCAACTGCCTGCCGAGTAGCATTTGCTGGGTTTCTCCGCCTCGGAGAATTCACTTACAAAACTGAAGACCTTAAGCAACGTTCTATCTTCTTAGCCACAAAGCTAACGCGCTCTGATATCCGATTCTCATCCTCGCTAGACCACGCGCAACTCACACTCAAGCGCACTAAGACAGACCGCCATCACGAAGGAGTACAAATTATACTTGCAAAGACTGGAGACAGAGCGTGCCCAGTTGACGCACTTCAGAAGCTGCTGATCCTTGACCCCCGAGGCCCTGACGCCCCATTGTTCTCCTTCCACAGAAGACCATCTAGTCGCAACAACTTTCTCTCTACCTTATCTACTAAACTGAAGGCGCTCGGTATACAGGCAGAGGGCTATTCGGGCCACAGCTTTCGGAAGGGCGCAGCTCAACATGCGCACGATAGTGGGATACCCGACGACCAGATTCAGGTGCTAGGGAGGTGGACCTCGGAGGCATTCAGAGTATACTTTACGACGAATGCATCAGTTCTGTACAAGCTCAACCGCCAGTTCCAGACAGGATCGCCGGCCCCGCTATCCCTGCTACTTCCACCGCCGTCCCCTCCACCATCCTAGTTTAGGCCGGGTCATTTGGGCCCTATCTGACGCTTCTGGTCTACGACCGCAGCGCCAGGTGACCCGTTACGGCCAAACCATAATCTCTATCCTTTCATCTTGACTACGTGAGGTCACCAATAAAACTAAATGGTTAGCCGTCTATGCTCCCTCTGTGCACCGCCCAGAGGGTGCTTCCGGGTAGAATGACATTCCTGTTAGAATGAAAATTCTTCACCACACATCAGTTTTACCATGAATTTTACCTCTAAAAACATGTCGCAAACGGAAAATAATGCTGAGATCCGGATCTAACAGGCAACTACGCATATCTAGACCCTAAATTTGAAGCCAAAACTCACCGAAATCGCGAAGCAATACAACGTTAATTATTAACGTCTACGTCGCCGCTATCTAGGTGTACCATCAGGAACAGCCCCTAGGCCAGAACGACGTTTCCTATCAATAATTCAAGAGAAAACTCTGATGGATTGGCTACCATTCTTGCTATTCCGATTAAAAATTAGGCCTACAACGAAGATGGTTGTACGTACAGCGAAGATATTGGAGAAAATAGTCTTTGGTTTGACTATCTAGAACCTTATATTGAACAGATTCCATATCAAAATATCTACAATTTTGATGAAATTGGCTTCCAATCTGGGCAATTGGAAAAGAAAATGTACTCTCAGCAGCACCAAAAAAGTATGCTCGAAAAGGAACCCCAGATCGAACACCAACAACTACAATTCTTGAGTGTATTTCAGCAGATGGAAGAGTTATTCCGCCTTATATTATCTTTGCATGTAACGGCCGGCTTCTTGAAGACTATTTCCAGCTAAAATCCCTGGTGATTGGGCCTTTGATACGCCAAAAAATGGGTTTGTTACTCGAGACATCGCAATTGAATGGCTTCAAGATTTCCATCATTATACAGTTGAGGCTGCTAATGGATATCCACGACTACTTCTTTTTTGATGGAGCCGATTCCCATCTTACCTCAGAGTTTCTTACTCTGTGTGAAAAAATTCGATATTATTCCTTTTTGTTTTATCTCCCATTCGACCCATGTTGCTCAGCCATTAGATTAGAACCCATTTTTGGTTTATAAACACCATCTTAAGGTTGAATACTCAGAGAATCTATCATGGCTGGGTGATATCGACCTCGCCGCATCTATGCATACTTTACCGAAAATTCGGGAAAAAACGTTCAATTCTAGTACAATTCAGCATTCTTTTCGCGGAACAGGCGTTATTCCTTTCAGTCCTATGAAATACTTAGATTGATGGATTTATGACCAATGATCAATTCTGGGATGAGAGTATTCCAATTCTACAGGTGTGGGATGGATCACCTCTACAAGAACCAGGTTTACCAAGCAGCCCAATTCCTTGTACACCTCCAAAAACTGTGAGGTGTGCTACTAAATTTGCGGCCAAAAGTGATAAAAAACTGTTTGATCGGCTTGATAACCAATCAAAAGAGGTCTATCGAGTCCTACAGCAAGGATATCTTGAGAGTATCAATACTTTACAACAGCTCCGACAGACCTTTGAATCGGAGGTTATATCACGCAAAAATACTAAAAGAAAGTCAAAAAGGGCCGTTTTAACGAAACGTGTAGGAAGGGTATATGCGAGAGTCGCCCATGTAAATATTGCAGCTCGCCATGCCAAAAAAAAGCTGCTGCCGATCGAAAAAGGGCGAAGGATAGGTTGTTAGCCGAAGCCGACATGTTATCAAGCGACGCTGTGGAAGGCCCATATTGGCATTTCTTTAAAAAAAAAACCTCTTTATGTATTTTAGTAGTGAAATTCGACATTCCGCGTATAAAATTGACATATTTGATGCGTTATTGCTGTTACAATTGATACTAAAGTGAGACTTGGGTGAAGAATTTTCATTCTAACAGGAATTTCTTTCTACCCGGAAGCCCCTCTGGGCGGTGCACAGAGGGGGCGTGCACGGCTACCAAGAAACAACTTAGTTAATAGATGAGGAGTCCACCTCTGACATGGATGTTTACTCAACCTACAAATACTTATTTCAACGGTATTTATTTGAATCGAACTGAATCAGGCAAAGGTTCGATTCGATTAGATTTGTGCACTGTCAACCTGAAACTGCCTTTATTCGCTTTATTAAACATTGAGCTCGCGTTTATATCACTGAGTCAAAAGAGTGCGTACAGCTTCACTTTGTGGGAAAAATACAAGTTTCTGGGGATAGTGCTCATGGTGACATGATCGTAGCTTCGGTACTTATCGTAAGGAATTCTCAGGTCACATGATCACCCGGTAGAGTAAAACGACTCTTAAAGTCTTTTTCTTTTCCCTCCCTCCGCCACAGCTCTTGATTACCCAATACACTGCGTTATTTATCTTATTCTATCATCTGCTACGAAGTAATATATTTCGATACCCCAGACTACTACAGCGATGTCGGAGATGGTGGGAAACTTCCCTCTGTTCTTCGAGCTTCTCAGAGATTATGTTGGCAGTCCTTCTCGTTCGGATCCTATTCATGATACTTCTAACAATCCCAATAGCTAGACTTGAGTGATCTAGCCTTATTGGCTTGCACATGTCGCGAATGGAATGCTTTGATAATCCCATATCTGTATGACACAGTACAATTTCATAACCCCGGCCGTATTGAGGGAAATGACCCACTGCAGCTGAAATTGGATCTCTTCGGAGACCCACGATGCACCAATCTCAAGCACACGCAGCGGTTGTTGGTTACAGGATCCTGGTACGATATCTACCACGAGATTGAATCGAACCTAGGCTCCCAGAGCATGCTTTCACCAGCTGCAAGAATGCTTAGCAATATCATTGCTTCCTGTGTCATCCGAATGCCGAATCTGAAGGACTTCAAGTACCAATTCCTTGCTTGTGCTTTTCTACCCCTCACAAGCCCCTTGATTACTGCCCACTGTTAACATCGCTGACTGCATCAAACAGTTGGGATCTAGCCGTATCCCCTACTCAACATCTCGTCACCACCGTAATATTCACGCCAACTCTAGAGAGAGTGCAACTACGCCTAGGCACTGACAGCACGCCTTCACCTTATTTTCACCCGCCGCTGGCATTCTGGCCTCCAATCAACGTCAGAACTTTGACTCTGATCCAGATTGACGACGAGTCGGTCTTGCAGTCGATAGGAGCGGTTCTCCGAACCGCCACTCGCCTGAGAGAGTTGACCATGTGGGCTGATGAAGATAGCATGCTACGCTTTAGTGAAGTCTCCAGCACATGGTGTGACCAGGTCCCATTTCAATTGACATCTCTGGATCTCCGAGGATTTGTGGATTTGGGGCGACCATCATGTGCGCTGTGGAGTTTGCTTTCACCAGTCAAGTTGAGGACATTGACCTTGAATATCGGCCCGGATTTTGATATTGCTGACTTATCAGGGTTCTGGGATGATTCAGTCGTGGCCAATCTTCGACCCAAACAACTAACTACGAACCTGGTGATGAATGGGCTGAAGGATTTTATAAAATCATTTAGTGGTCTGGAGGCCTTTGTTATCACTTCGCCGACTATCGCGTGTGTGGCGGAGCGTCTCGATCTTCTGCTAGAAGCTTTGGGAAAACTACACTCAGCGACGCTCAAGGTGCTCTCCATCGACCCGCGAAGAGCCTTGGCAAAACATCTCCTGGACGATTCATTGTTGAAACAATCTGTGAACCGGTTTACCAATATTGAAGAATTGCGATTCGGAATGGTGAAAGCTGTGCCAGTAAGAATAGGCCCGTGATGCTCATCCTGGAAATTGCTGACGACCACACTCCAGGAACATACCATCCAAGCAATGCTGGGATTTCCCCAAATCCGGATACTATATGTGGACTTGATCGAAAATTCTACAGAGGAGAGGTTTATCGACCTGGAACGATACCTGCTGCATTTGCTGCAAAAAGGGATGGCCAAGAACCTCAAGTACTTTATGTTTGATGACGGTCCCCTGTTCAAAGTTCTCCGAAAGCCGCTTCGGGTGAGCAAAGAGGCCTTGCCAATAGGGTTCATTCACAATACTTTCCTATTTGGAGAAGGGGTCTTTGGGTGGGCTGGAAGGACAAGGTAAACATACTCAAACGGTGGCCACATATAGCCTGCCAGATAGAATACACGTTGGAACGAAACGAGAACACTGCTTAGACTTTTGATGCAGTCGAAAGTCAGATCATCTTCGGGTATCGAGATATAATGCTTCAACCACCGGCTAAATGCCGTTTGACCCTAAGCTGTAGGTCTGGTTTGAATATGGATACCGGCATAATCCAACCATATTTGAAATCCTTATTCGAATTCAAATCAGGAAATCACCTTTGTTGTAATTCAAAGGAGGATTAATTAATCATCTCTCAGAGAGAACAAGTGAGGCTATATACATGAGAGATCAGGTACCAACTTGATGACCAACCTGATGCTACTACATGTTCTAGTGGAGGAGCTGTGCCCATGCCTAAGGCTACGCAAACTCTGCCGATCTCTGTGTACGTGATATACTGCCTCACTATGTAAACATGGTACTGGCAGCACGGAATAGCTCCATGAACGACGCATATCTCTCCATTACTGAATTATAGTCCATTTCAGGCTTTCTACCCACGCGTAGGTGTCCTCTACAGTCTATGTTGGTTGTGGTGTTTCGGCTGGAACGGCCCTTACGGCTGATGGCCATATTGCCATCTTGCCATCGAGCATTTCCCCCTTCAAAATTTACAACTAGCAAGGTCTGTTTTAATCTGGTGGCCTTGAACTACATTGGCAGATTTATTATCGAGGGTGGTCCTGAAGCTCAACAGCGAATTAAAATAATGATTCAGACCTTCGTCACTTTGATGACGTGAATTATTCCAAAAACGGTATTACCCAGCAAGGGATGCATGTCGAAGCTTCAGAAGGATTTTCAAGAGTGGTCAGTCTAAAAAGTTTCCAATCACGAACGTTAAAATAGTTTCCAGGAGCTTAGCAAACAAAGAGAAGAAACTGTTTCTCTTTTGAAAATGAAGGTATTACAGCGTACAGAAATAATGAAGAGGGTTGCTATTTATCAAGGCGCATATGCGCGAGGCTTCATTGACGACCACCGCTCCCAAAGCGCCGGCTCCTAAAGTATAGGCAAAATGTCCCAAGCCATGGCTCACTTCCTCGCCTTCTGTTTTGCGATATTTGTGGATCATCTTTGCTACTTCCACCCCTGCTATGGCACCCTCGACTAGGTGACGGTGATGGCGATCATCTTTGTGGTGACGGTAATGATGGTCATTGTGATGGTTGCGACCCTGGTATTTGTCCCTACCGTGGCACCTATGGCCAGGAACAAGATCATGACGGTAGTAGTGAGGTTCTTCGCGAGTAGCTTCTTTGGGTCCTGGTTCCCGCTTTGAGGGGTAATAAGAGGCGCTAGGGTGATCAAAGTTCACCCTAGATGAATACCTTTGTGAGTGGCAATTCGCCATTCTTAGCAATGAAAGGGAAATTGTGCAAGAATTACAGGAATATCATATACGAAAGACTCCTTACGGTCGCATAGTGATCATTTCGGCAAGGTGATATCATCCGGTTATCCGAGCTTTTCCTGTTCTGTCTACCATATGAAGCAGGAACTTTTCATTACTGGCTGCAAAAGCCTCAACTGGGCGGAAAGGAGCTAGTCACGCAGCGGAAAGTGGGGCCGGATTCTCATTTGTGACGAGCCACGGCAATTAGCTCGGAGAAAAGTGCCAGCCAATATATTGATCCCCCACGGGGAACGGGATTTCGCAACTTTCATGATGTTGTTCCTCGTCTAAATGCTTCGCTGATGAGCATTGCCGCCCACTTCTGGGTGGCCACGAACCGTTGACTGATGGTGTGCGCTTTCGCTTTGCTAATTAGCATAGGTTGGTACCAGGTAATACTCCGAAGAAACTTGTAGGATGACTACCGCTTGGTAGATCCTGCGCATAGCAGTAAGGAAGGTTGCCCAGCTTGAACCAGCCAAGCTTCGTAGCGTTTGGAGAGACGCCTGCCATTGCGATCGCCTTTTCGCGGTGATGGCGGAGTTTCACCGTAGGGTCTAGCCAGTAGTCCAGACAGCGCTCGGCCGTTCTTGTCGCTTCAATGTAGGACCCTCTATAGATAGCGGTGTGTATTGCGTGTCGTTCTCAGGTGTTCATGAAGTGCACGAGTGCTTGCTGATTTAGGTCAAAGCTGAGGCATACGTTCCTGCCAATTCATCAGCCTTTCGACATGCCTATCTGAGTTTCTTGGTGGTTTCACGCTCGCTGTCTGCCTTCGCCATGAAACAGACATCATCCACCCAGCAATTTCTGGTCACCCGGTTTCCGCAGTTTTTAATGAGATCTGCGTTGTAGATGAGACAAAAGATGGGCGAGATGGGCGATCCTTGGGGAATTGTTTACTACATGGACGACTTATGGTCTGCCTACACAATTATGTACGAAATTTCGTGATAATAATCCCATAACGTGTTGCAATAATTAATCAATCAAGTTAGATGGTGTGGTCACCTCGTTCTCGTGTGGAACCCTGGCTAGTAATTCTCGTCTGGTTTTGCTTCTAAGGCTGATATAGAAGCGAAGTTGCGCATGGACACACAATGAGCAAGCAGGGACGAATTGATCATATTCAAGATTGTGGCTTGTGTAAAATTTGCATAGGCGAGGGCTTTCCACTTGTTTTGAATTTTGCGGGGCTATAAGGTAGCTCGATTCTTCGTGGGCGGATTGGAGTCAGTCAATGACTTTATAGCAAGACGATACCTCAGTCAAACAATCTATCACTGATTAGTATACCGTATTACAAGAGATTTTGTTAGACGCATAGTGCTGACTGCTAGCTGAACACGAACAAGCTCTAAAGTAGGAGTACAGCTGCGTGAAATGTACAATGCCCCCAAAAAGTTGAACCGATAGTTCTAGACTCGTATAGAAGATGTTTGTGTTTGCACCTTCCCATCGATATATGCAACTTACTAATTGGCCTCGTCAAAATCCGTCCAAACCCCAGAGCGAAAACCCGACCCACACCCGCATTTGGCACGGCTTAGTTGCTATGATCCAAGAGCTAATCACGGGGCGGAACTCCAACTAATTGAAAGGTCTGCAGGGTTTGGTTCTTTATTTCCTTCGATCCACTGGGCCCACGCTTCGTAATGAGGTAGAAGAGTCGCTAAATTTCAGATACTTGAAGATTTAACTGCGCATTGTAGCATTAAACCAACATGAATCGCTGCGGAAATTAACGTCGTTGAGCAGTCCCAAGCATCACTCTCGGGGCAGTCCTTAGTATAACAGCCAGTAACAAGAGACGGTTTCATGTTATGCTGTGGTGTGCTGCTAGATTCTAATTTGGCAGTGCAAGCTACATGGTCCTTCGAAGGGGGACCACAAATCACAGCACAATTACTGAAATTCATGTTGACAAACATCATTTGGGACAACAACAGAGACAATATGGCGCTGGTTTTCGATGAGAACCTCTCCTCGCAAAAGCTGGCCGACATCCTGCCGATCGGCGTCGCGATTCTCAACAACCAAGACGAATTGGTTTCTGCTAATCGCCGCTTACGGGAGCTGATAAGATATTCCAGTATCAAATTTCCTCAGTGCTGGCTGCAATCAATCCACCCAGAAGATTATAATCGGGTGGCCACTGGGTACTATGAAGCCATAGCATCCAAACGGGCCCTGCACATCGAACACCACACGAGCGAGCCTGACTGCCTGTGGCGTGTAGCAACCTTGAATCCACTGGATGGCTCCGATCTACGGCGCTCCAGTCTAGACAACGATGGTGGGTTTATTTATACAGTTGCGGATATAACCACCGAGGAGCAAGCCGAGCTGTCGCAGAGACAGATCGCACAGGAGGTACAAAAACGCAGGGAGCAACAGGAGCGCTTTATTGACATGATCAGTCACGAAATTCGAAACCCTCTTTCTGCTGTCCTGCATTGCACCGAGGACATTCTCGAAGCGATGCGTGGTAAGAAAAAGGAGGATATTCTACTATCGCAAATCACAGAGGCAGCAGAGACCATCAGTCTCTGTATTGCCCACAAAGAACCAATAGTCAATGACGCCCTGACAATTTCCAAGCTCGATGCATCAATGCTTTCGCTGTCGCCGAGACGAGTTCAACCAAAATGTTACCTCATATCGCCACTGGCCATTTTTCGGCCCGAGCTCCGGAAACAAAACATTCAATTCGAGTACAAATTCGATTATTCCTACGGTGAATGTATGATTGAATGGGTCATGGTCGATCTTGATCGGATGGGCCAGGTCCTCGTTAATATTCTTTCCAACGCAATCAAATTCACATCCAAGTCGGAGAACGAGCGAATGATCCAAGTCTCCATGGGAGCTTCAATGGACAGGCCATCATCCTGCCCCCAAATGTGGTATTCTTTCGTTTAGACGACACCACATTATGCCTAGACGCGACCGGGACCCCCGAGTGGGGAAAGGGTCAAATGGCGTACATCATGGTCGCCGTCAAAGACACAGGCATTGGCATCACCGAACTTGCGCAGAAACAGCTGTTCGAACGCTTCAATCAAGCTACACCGAGGACAGAGAGCACCTATGGTAGTTCTGGCCTTGGTCTCAGTGTCAGCAGAAAGCTCTGCCACCTACACGGCGGGGAGATTGGCGTGAGCTCCAAGGAAGGCCAAGGAAGTACTTTCGGCTTTTTTTCAAAGTGCACCGGTGTGACGAGTCAGGTGACGACGATCACGGCAGATATGACGACACCTGAATGGACAAGTTATGTAGCGACATCCAAGCACTGGGAAATGAAATGACCGGAGTTAATCAAAGGACTGAAGAACCCGAGATCTCAGAAAACCCCATTATGGCTCATATCGCGGGTGTAAACACAGATAGCAATGACGACCAGAGAACGAGGCATACATCCGAGTTGGCACGCCAAGTTTCAGATAAAAGCATTGTGAACAAACATCAAAGCCAATCTGCTGATTGTGGTGATGAAACAACACGTCGGCACATTCTCTTGGTCGAAGACAATATCATCAACAGGCGAATCATCTCACGCAAACTGAGTTCCTTCGGATTCCACATTTCAGAAGCGAGCAACGGCCAAGAAGCGCTTGATGTCGCCCAGCACGACATATTTGACTGCATTCTCATGGACCAAGAGATGCCTGTGATGGATGGTAACTTGGCGACGAAGGCAATACGCGATTTTGAAAAGGAGACCGGGACACATGTTCCTATGCTGGGTGTGACCGCGAACGTGAGAGCAGTGCAAGAAACCGAAATGCTACGCGCTGGAATGGACTATATCATTCACAAGCCATACGGGACGGACGAGCTTATCGAGAGGATATAATTCTTGATCGCGACCAAGCTAAGACGATGACATCTGCTAATTTGTCCGGCATTGGCAATGCTTGGTACTCTCTTGGGGGGAACGGTCATTGGGCCATACGTGCCTTGTCGATGGCATTCAAGTAAAGTTCAGTTCGTTCGCGCTTTTTTCTTTCTTTCTTTTTCCATTTCATTTTACTTCCCTTTTTTTTTGTTTTGGCTCTACCAACAAAGTTTTTTCGCAGCATCTGGCAGCGCTGACAATTGGGGTTCTCTCCGGTGCATTTCGACTTTAATTTTGACAATCTCTGCATGTTGTGATACTCGGTTTCTAAACCGCGGAAAGGAGAACGTAGGTTGGAAGTCATCAATTTAGGCGTTATGTCGGGAATTTGAGTACTGTAGTATTTTCACTTCATGTCCTGGAAAACGCAATAAATGAATTAAACCAAAACGCATGTTGTGTTGACCGGCAAAGCATCTTGTTTTTGCCTTTGATGACACTGGATGACATGATGCATAAAACACCCAGGCCCTCGCCAGTGTCCATAGTTAAGTAGTTATTTGTGGGTTGGTATCCACGAAGAGAACCCCAAACCAAGCCGAGTTTGGCGAGGTCTACGTATCATAGTCACATGGTCAGCTTGTATGCTTTACAGCTTTTGCTTCCCAGCCTACTCTCTATCACTATCATCAAACCCGCGATATTATTTGGTATTTCAAACAACCGATTCACAAGTGTAAAAAAAAATGGCCATATCTCTACACGTTTCCGTTGTCTTCTCCTACAGAAAGATCAGAAACCAGAGCTTTTATCCAATGTCCCATTTGGCGGTGACGTGGGCTTGGAGAATGAAAAGAACTTTCACAAAAATACGAGGGTAGTGCTGACGTATATGCTTTAAGTCAGATAGGAAGATGCCGAAGCGCTCCAAGTGCAAGTGCTTGATACTAGCAAAAGGGTACTGCGAGAGGAGCACCAGAGCACACTTCCTAGCACGAGCAACCTAGCATCAATTTACAACACTCAAGGTCGGTGGTCGGACGCCGAGGCACTTGGAGTGCAGGTGCTCGCGACTCGCAAGACGTGACTTGGAGAGGAGCACCCTGGCACACTCACTAGCATGAACGGCCTGACATTAACGTACTAGCAACAAGGTCGATGGCAGAATTTTGAAACACTCCAGGTGCGAAGCTGAAGGCTCGCAAGACGGCGCTAGGAGAGCAGCCTCCTGAAACGCTCACCAGCATGAGCACTCTAGTATTAATGTGTCTTTGTCAAGGCCGATGTCGGATGCTGAAAATCTCCAGGTGCAGGTTCTTGAGCGTAGCAATAGCGTATTTGAAGAGACCCATTCTAATACGCTCACCAATATAAATGACCTGGCATCAACATAGACAACATAGAACGAAGGCGCAAGATTTGTTTTGCAAGGGTTGCAATGCCGAGAACCACGGACAAATAAACTCGTAGGTGCAAAGCCACTTTGTCCCCGGCGTGATTTTGAGACCATGGATCATTGAGGTCCAGACCACTTGTGGTTTCAATAGGCACCGCTTTGACACCGAAGACGTCCTAATCAATCGCAATCAGCCTATGAAAGTTTCGTCGGGAGAAAGAAAGCCCCACCTTGTTGAAGCGTCTGATGAAAGCAAAAAGCTCTCCGTTCGTGTAACCACCAATCAACGGATCGGGTATCTCTATGTTCGCTTTATGCCAGCCAACGTCTCTCGTGACTTCAGTATTGCTGCCACTAGGGTACTCTGTCTGGATAGCGCCTCGGGTCTCTGATACCTCGTACGCTAGTTCGTGGCTGTCTGCATTAAGATCCTTCCCCAAGACATCTACTAGGCCTTCAAACGATGCATAAGCCTGGTCTCGCAAGGTGGCTAGCATCGTTGAAGACCCGTTGTTATGATCTTTAACGCTTGGTAGTCTCTCAATATGCTCGCATGTCCCATCAGCATGGGACGCTGGGTAGCCACTACAACCACACAGCGCACATGTCTTGTCATGTAATACCTACATCATAGTCGCAGCAGCATCGTCTCGGAACTGGTCGTCTGATATGGATTGAAAGCGATTGTCCATCCCATGTAGGGCAAGAAGTTTATCTAATTCATGTGCAACACCACCTAGCGCATAGGACTTCTCTTTTAGGCTTTGCTTCACAGTTGGATATGTGGTGTAATCAACTTGATTCCCTGGCGTTACGTGGTCGTGGTCTTCGTTGTACATTACATTTCGAGTGGTGGCTATATTGTCATGAGCAATGATTCTATCCATGTGGTTTTGTGTCCAATCAAGATGAGATGCAGCATGTTCATCCCCACTCGAATCTGGCTGATGTGGAAGATCTGTGTCTTGTTTTACCTGGGCGAGTTTTTGCTTGTTCACTTCCCGGTTCGGTTTTTTGGCTACTTCTTCAGTGTGTTCGCTCGCTGAGGGAGCTTTTCCAAAACATTAATGACATAGCTGGCGTTCTTGGACATATTGAAACATATCCTGCAGCTGCCACTTTGTTGTTGAACGAGACAGATGTGACTAAACGGCTCACTATCAGAATAAACTAAGCTTTATCCTCTTGGTCAGGCTACCGAAAATTGGACGACCTTTTAAATGGCTGTAAACGTACAGTAAACGATATCAGGCATAATATATATTCCCTGACGGCGACAGTTCTGATTTGTCCCGTTTTTCTAACTGCATGATGGCGCCTCGGTGGCGATGACGTCATTCGACCCGTATTAACTACCGCATATTTAACAGGATTCCTATGCAATGACAGCTAGCTACCTTTTCTTTCTGTTTTCGGGTAATACTTGCTTTCTCTCGATCTCTCCTGTTGACAGTATATAAAATCGTTTTCGTTACCCGCTAACCGTTTCGTTTTCCTGCACATTCCTGCATCCTTTACTTTACGAAACCACAGCCATAACAGTCTAAGCATTATCACATCCGAATCCCGTCTTTGCAAAAATGGCTTCTTCTCTTGAGCAGCTCAAGGCCACTGGCTCCATCGTAGTCTGCGACTCTGGTAAGTGGACGATCTCAGGATACAAATTTTGAGGAAATTTCAATAACTAAAAAATCATCAGGTGACTTTGCTAGTACGTGCGCTTGCTAATAGTCCCGTTCTTCTGTCGCTAGTCACTATCATTGCAGCTAACTTGTACCCTGTACAGCTATCGACAAATATAAGCCACAGGACGCCACAACAAACCCCTCTTTGATCCTTGCTGCGTCCAAAAAAGCCGAATATGCTAGTCTTGTTGACGCTGCCATCGAGTACGGCAAGAAGCAGGGAAATTGCATCGATGTGCAAGTCGATTCAACTCTAGACCGTCTCCTTGTTGGATTTGGCAAAGAGATTCTCAATGTTATACCCGGCAAAGTCTCCACTGAGGTAGACGCTCGCTTCTCCTTTGACACTGAGGCTTCCGTCAATAAGGCTCTGCACATAATCAAGGTAAATGTCCTCAATGATGATATACCAAAATTGGACAACAGGGAAGCCAGCTAACACTACTTGCTACAGCTTTATCAGGAGATTGGTATTCCCAAAGAACGTGTCCTGATTAAAGTAGCCTCTACGTGGGAGGGCATTCAGGCCGTTCGCATCCTTCAGTCGAAGCACGGAATCAACTGCAATTTGACTCTCATGTTCTCGCTCGTGCAGGCTGTTGCTGCTGCCGAGGCCGGTGCCTTCCTGGTTTCCCCTTTCGTTGGCCGCATCCTGGACTGGTACAAGGCCACCCACGAGTGCGACTACACCGCGGAAGACGATCCCGGTGTGAAGTCTGTACAGAGCATCTACAACTACTACAAAAAGCATGACTATAAGACAATTGTTATGGGAGCATCCTTCCGAAATACCGGCGAAATCATCGAGCTAGCCGGCTGTGACTACTTGACTATTTCGCCTAGCCTCTTAGAAGATCTATATAACTCCACCGACCCAGTACCGAAAAAGCTAGACTATACTGCCGCGACTGATCTCGACATCCCAAAGATCAGCTATCTCAATGATGAGGCTCTCTTTCGTTTTGATCTCAATCAGGACGCAATGGCTGTCGAAAAGTTGCGCGAGAGTATTTCCAAGTTTGCGGCAGATGCCGACAGTTTAAAAGAATCGCTGAAGCAGAAAATTCAAGCGTAGAGTGAGCGTTCATTGGGGCTAGGATTGATTGCTTCTTGTTCTCCATTTTTCATATTGCTTATGCCCATGAAAATCAGATAAAAGCTCCCTACTCCACACCAAAATTGATTAAGCGTCTGGGTATCAGATGTAACGCAATTTATCACGGGGCTAGATCGTCTGCTCCAGTACAATAGTGCGTTCCTAAAGATGTTGAGAGGCATAAATCACCCCACCCCACCCCTTGGGTTCGACTTTTGCCGTGAAATGACTCATCGTTGTCTACCTCTTTTATCATTAGAATTCAAATATTCATCTCCTTCCTTGGTCTGGCTGAACAACCCTGTACTTTACAGCCATTTCCTCCTTGGTCGGCTTTTCAATTTTCGTGCTGTATTTCCAATTTAATCCGCAGCCCTCCCTCCCTTTCAAGGATGTCTAGTCATAATTTCTAACCGCCTTGCAGCAATGCAATGCCATAACCCTATGATTGTAATGGAAGGCATTCACCAATCCTCGAAGGTGAGATAATATAGCTAAAACCACCATAATGTGAAATATTTGATGAGAGCTTATCCAGATATCGAAGTGGCCAGGATATAGACGCTCTGGTATTCGCAGCTGAGAATTTGCACTTTAGCCTCTGGTTCCTAGAACACGTTTTCTTGACTCACAGCATATATGCAGGCTCCTACAATATAGAGCGAACCCTGCAGAACAACCCAAAAAAGTCCGATCTGCTTATTCATCTGCCGGATGCCGAATTTCATCACCCCATGAACGACAGGGAAAAGTGCTGATAATCCAAGGGAGATAAACATTCTCGCCCGAAAAGGTCGCCATGTGGGGTGCCGGAACTGAGGAGTTGCTGAAATCGCGGCACAAAGCAGGCCCAGGGAAGTTATCTTTGTAGAAATGTATAAGTTGTCACCTTCAAGTAGTGGAACAGTGAGGAAAACGAGAACAGACCATTGTCAAATAAACCATTTGCAAATTGGGGTGGCAGTAAAACCCGTAGAAAATACTCGGAACAAAACTGCCGACAATCAGCAATACAATGCCAATATAATCCACTTGGTTCGCAATGCGCGCAATGTGCGGGGAATGATTCTGAATGATGTGAAAGGCTGCCGATATGCCCAGGCATAGAACAGCCCCCAAAAAGAAACAGCCAAAAACCCAGGCATCTGCTTTTGAGACGCTTGTATATCTGCGCGAGAGCGTTTTATAGAATGAGATACCAAAGGCCGAAAGGATTACCGCAGGGATGAGGTGGGAATAGATGTTGACGGATTCATTGTGTAGATATCTGAGGCTCGCGAATGATTTGCGAACAGACTTGGAAGGAGTTCGATAACCTGAAAGGATGTATTGGTTATCACGTTGCCAAGAAGGTAGTTGATCCCATGGTAATGACATTTCGCAAGGTGTCGTGGTTTCCGTGTTCAACTTCTTGGGAAGGGAGTCAGTCACCACTGTCAATACGAAAGGTGAATTAGCCAATATGCTATATATCTTGATTCACTTCGGGGAGTTATGGTGGGGGGGGGGGGGAGGCAATGAAATCTAAACAGACACAGCAGAACCTAGCCATCTATCCTGACACTCCTCCATTTGCCACCGATGTCATGAAATCGATGCGGACCTTTATGTTTGCTTACAAAGGCAACGGCTATCAAATGAGACTAAAGTATCGAAATGGTAACGTTATTTGAAATACAAGATCTCCCCCGATATCATTCGATACGAAGAATATTGTATTTTTCAACCTTGCCAAAAACTGCATGCTGATTATTGAGATCTTGAATTCGAATTGCCTTCAGCTGAATCCAAGCCTTGCCACTTGTGTCGTGATGACTCTGCGGCGACGCGTCTCAAAACCATCCGCAAGTGGGAGAAGGCTAAGATGCACCAGCCACTGGGATATTTAACAGAGAACTAAGTTTTGGGAGATTCGTTGTGCGGTGAATGTTGCCTGCCCAGGTAGCAATGCTTATGTAGCATCAACGGTTGTGGTGGTCTGGATGGCCAACGAGAAATTCCATTCGCAGCACTCGGAAGATACATTCAGGCCACAGCCGAACATAGCTTGCCGCATGTCCTCACAGAATTTTTGAACATTTAAAACGTCGGTTTGATTGGATGGTGTTTACCATTTAAATCACCGCGTCATGTCTCATCCAGTATCCTGCCACAACTTGGGATCCCTCCACTTGAAGCGAGCATGGCGGGATATCCTCAAACGATTGTTATTGGTTACCAGAGATCCTCGCGTGGCTTTCTCACATCTGTCAAAGCTCTCACCAAGGTTTCGGAAATGTCGATTCCGAGGAAAGCAGTACGCACTAGTACGGAGATGGACCAATGAATTCCTTGAACCGTACTTGAGATGTGTTTTTCTAAATACAAGATTTGCAAAATAAGGGGTTGAATGTGCTGATTCAGCAGTTGATGCCGAAGGAATGAAAATGATGTGGTGTTGAATCAAATGCATGGACGCTAGTAAAATAGACCTCCACTTTTCCGACAGGAAAGAAGTTCCGCGACCCATGTCCTCTGATTGGCAGGCTATCTCGACCGACCGAAGCCCACGGAGAATGGCCCGGGTGCCGTGTCCCCACGTCGCGAGTTGGTTTGAACTGGGAAAGCTAAAGACTCCGCACGTGGAAACGTCGGTACCCGGAGAAACCGGCCGACCATTCTTGACAGAGTATTCCTGGGCTTTCTACCAGTTTTGAATCATTTGCGTCATAGATCACCGTTCATTTTCAGTTAATATTCTATCTTGAGCTCCAGGGTTCGGCAAAGTTATCAATACGCCCCTACTCTTGCAATCCTTGATCAGATGACATTATTGGTCACCCAACAAGATGGAGCCAGATGGTTACAACAGAAAATATAACTAACTCACTGTTACTGAACCACTAAGGATGAATAAACAATTGGGCAAATGCTGCTGAAGCTGTAGGGTAGTGGTCTAAATCGTGTTACGCAACAGTGATGCTCTGTTTTCTTCTAGTCAACTAAGCAAGTGGTCATCTAAGCTGCTCGAATAATACCGAGCAAGGTTCGTTTTTCTTTGAAAGCATTGTCGTGCACTAATTCAAACGCGACTCCAACTTCTTGTTTCCAATCGAAGTTCTCCGTCTCTGGCGCTGTTGATAACTTGATAGCTATAAAAGCGATAGCAAGAAGAACAATGACTCTGACTAGTGATAAACTCGAGCTTCCCTCACAACTTCCAAAGTTTCCTTGACTGGGCTCGGAACCATCCGAGGCAAACAGGCGATATAGTAAAAAAGGAAACAGAGTACAGAGAATGTTGTATCGAAGGTAGTCTTAAACTTGGAGAGTATAAACTCCAGTATAGCGCCGACAAGATCTTCAGTAGAAATGGAAATTGGCATAATCTCATCCTAGAACCTATTCTGATAGAAAAGTTGGCAAACCTTGTTTTGATCGGGAGCTGTCATTGAAGTCTAGAGGCGGGCCTGAAGATGCGGCAGGCACTAATGGAGAAAGGTATAGAATTCTCCATTGAACAGCTTCTCAAGAACGCGGACGCGTCGGAAATGGTCGCAGACCTTGTGCTCTCCACGGAGAGCTCCACGGATCTCCTGCGTCAAATCCCATGATGTAGACCCTCAGACAATGGGCGCTGAGCCAGCCGAAGCTTCGGGCAAGTGATTTCCGAAATGCAGTGTGAAGATGAAAGAGTAGAGGCGCATATAGATACGTGGCTCCGGTAGGCTTCGTCTCCTTGATATGAGGCTGGTGCAGATCAGGAACTGAACCGCACCATCGGAATTAATTCCCGAGATATCTATGTAGAATTAACTTAATTTCCAATCAACGTAATCTTCTCGTTTTATATGTAGCCTAAAGCTCTCTCTCAAAGAACAATGAATCTTCCTTTGAATTACAACATATTACATCAACTGCAACACTTGCCAGTCTAGGCTTTATTGAGTTACCATCCCTCCTATCTTGATCATGCCTGTGCTGTGCGTTCATATAGTTTTTCTTTCCGCACAGAAGCATTTGCTTGCTGCGACTATCAAAAATTCTCAAGAGGACGAAAGATATGACCATGCATTAGAGCCCACCATGGACAGCAGCAAATCTTCGATATTGGCGTCGGAATTTGAGATGACCCCCGACATAATTGTGTCAGTGTCGAGCACTACTGAGGCGCCTGACATTCTACTCATAGGAGACTGAGCCTCCTCTGGATCTTGAGGTCGTGTGCTGTCGTGTGCATCGCCGTGCCTAGAAAGGTTGGGCGAGTCTGTTGACTTTAAATATTCCTGATCATCAGAGACTTGCGTTTCTTGCTGAGGTGTCATTGCATTCTCTTCGGGTGAATCTCGAAGCCATGGGAAGTTCGGATCACGGGAAGTTTGAAATGACCCTAAGGTCGAGGGGATGCTCCTCAGGTCAAGGTTTTTAGCAGGGGCTATGCGGCGAATACAGCTGTCGAAGAACTGAAAAGCCCGTCGAGCGGCCTCCGAAGTCCTTCCCAGACAATGCAGCCAAGAAAGACCTTTTACTGCGCTAGTCCAAACCAAATCCTGCGATTCAACAGACACTGCACGTTCATCTGACGTCGTCGGCACTGGGCCAATCGAAATATCGAGGAGTAAAATTACAATTGCCTGGGTGAGAAGATGCAATAGATCCCACCACTGCACGACTTCGTAACACCAAGTCAGGTCCGGTTGATCTGGTAGTAGTGCCATGACAGCCAGGGACGCACGGAGACAGTTGAGGGCGGTCATATTGGCACATCGGGAACGAGAAGGCTGTGAGCCGCTTCTTTCAATTGCATGGCTGTTGAGACAGGGTCGATTAAGCACGATGCGGGCACTGTAGTAATTCAAGGCGAGGGAAATTTGGAAGGGCGAGCTGATTCTCAGTTGCGGATTACCTTGACTATCTTGGAAACTGAACGAAGGATGTAAATTCGATATCCAGCAATCCACCTTTTTGCTATAAAAAGCTATGCGGCTTTCGACCCGCGCTCGGCCTGCCCGGGAACTGTCGATCGCATATACTTCATTAGTGATGGCATGGACGATCAAAGACAGGTCTACTATATAGAAAGAATAGAGGGATGGGCTAGGGGTCAGTGACTGCAAAAGTCTCCTCTGAGAATCCATTTGCTCCATTCCCAACTCTATAGTCCATCGGGTTTCGTAGATTGATTGGCGGATATCCGATTCGTAAGATCCCAGAACTAGCCCGAGAAGTGGTGGGGGTGTGGAGCAAAAAGCACTTCCGAGGCAGGAAACTCTCCCGGTCATGACAGAAAGAACATTCTCTAGACGGAAAATCGACCACCACAGTAGCTTGCGAGCTTCGTCTGATTTCAAATCATGTTGGCTGGACTTTTGCTGAAGATTGAGCCCTAGCGCGATACCCGAGCGTACCGCAATGCCAATGATTTTCCATGATCTAAGATATTGTTAGAAACCGGTAATAGATAAGGGACCCGACAAAATGAAGGGCGACCTTTGAGGAGCCCATGTCATACCTGTTTATCTGTGATACGACCATGAAGTAAAATGCTAACAGAGCTTCGGCCTGTACTTGCTGCAGATCATCATGATCATAGAGAACGCTCTCTGAAAGACTCAGAGATTTAGCCCGTGCCAAAAAAAGATTTTCCTCGGCGATATGCTGTAGATTCTGTTCAGAAAGTCGACAAATAGCGCAACCGATGGCAAAAATCATATTGAAAATGCCCAGCCATTTTCTGCCAGGGTTTATAAGGATCCCGGAGTAACAGCGGTCGTACTGGGCAATAAAGAGGTCCCGTCGAATGAACGGGAAAGAAATGTCAACCTTCGTCAAATAGATTTGAAGTAACTGATCTGCTAGTGATTTTGGTGGCAAGATAAAAGCATTGGATACATTCAAATTTGGGATAGTTTGATAATCGAGGTTGTAGTTCATTGATGCAATTGAATCGTCAATTGGAAGCTGGTGCCATAGGGTCTTATTTGGAGAGGCTTCTCTGTCACTCTGCTTCGTAGCTTCGCAGTCCAAGCGCTGCATCCACGTAACTTCAGAATTCTTCCCCATATGCCCAGTCGCCCTGCTTTTTTCAGTCCGATTAAGGTCCTCCTTCACAACATCAATTGCGTCCAAAGAACCGATCGAGGACGAGGACGAGGACGAGACACTAGAACGCCTGTTTTGATGCTCTTTAGAGTTTGCATGACTTAGGTTCTATATTCTTTTACATTAGCTTCCTTGTAGTTTAACATTGCCAATTCCAGAAGCCCCGCATACTTCAAGTACTTTCGCAACCTGCTCAGCGGTTGGTCCCTCAAGTTCTAGGGAAATATTTCGAAGCAGTTCCTCATAGCTCTCAACCTTCATCCTCATCAATTCTAGATCTTTTTGCTGTCGAACAGCTTTGACATCCGAATAAAAGCAGTTGTTTAAGCCTTGGGCATGACAAAGGGAGCAAGTAGGCCGGTTGCCATCACATTTGATTTTCCGTTGTCTACAAGAGTTGCAAGCCCGACTGGTCCGTCGTCCTCCACTTTCCCGCACTTCGCGTCGTAAGCGTGGAATAGGAAGTTTATTCGACATTGTCCCACTGCAAATGGATAAGGCCGATGTCGAAAATCTCGTACATTGAAGTGGATTTTGTTGTGATCGTAGGATCAGAGTTGCGTCAAAAGAGAGCGACGCAATGGCTTAGGTTTTGTATTTGAAGGCGCCACTTTTCTTTGCCCTGTTACGTCATGGTAACTGATGTGGACTGCAGTTCTATTTGCCGAGCCAACAGATTAACCATTTAAAAAGTACCCCACTGGCCGTAATCCACACCGCTTATCTGGCATCCTGAAAAATGAATGACATCATATGCCGCAAATCTGAAGAGGCGATTTTCCCCGGAATCATCGTGTCAGAGTGGTTCTCTCGCGACCAACAAAATCTCTTGATGTGGATGTTTCCGATTACTATGCAGCACGTTGTACTAGTACCAGACATATGACCTTCCGCTAGCGAGGCGATTTATACGAACCACGCCCAGGGAGGTCAATCGACTGGTTATACCTGTTGTTGTTCAAAGGAAGATTGATTGTTCTTTCGGAGAAAATACATGAAGCTATATATACAACGAGAAGATCAAGTTGATTGGAAATCAACTTGACGCTATATATAGATATCTCGGGAATTAATTTCGATGGTGCGTCTTTCTTCCTGATCTGCACCAGCCTCATACCAAAACAAATCTACACGCCGTGGGAGCATGCAACCATTTGCTATCTTGAGTCGTCCGCTCCCGCAAATGGGTAGCCGGTAGAAAGCTATCATGAGACTTGGGTCGAGACGCTGAGACGTGGAACAAAAATGGTAGTCGACGAGGTCCACATTTTCGTTGGCACCTAAGGGAAGACGGCCTAAGACCATCCATGAAAGCTTGAACCAGAATCTTACGAAGGTTCCATTTCAGACGGCTTTCCTTCTTTTCACGTTTATCAAGGTCTGCGGGGGGGGGAACGGGGTGCTCGCCCCATACGTGATTAAGGGGGCGTTCCCGTAGAGGCTGAATATCATAATGTGTAACGATATCCTAACCTACCCTACCCTATTATCGCATAGAATTGCTCACTACAAGGCCAAATTCGCTTCCACTCGTAGCCCTGGATGTCTTTCAGCTGTATTCCCGCGAAGGTAAGGCAGACTAATGCCATACTTGCTCTTACTCCAAACGGCTGATATAGGTACTCCTCGCTTTGGAAGGAAGCTTGAAGAACGCTCAAGCCAGGCAATGAATATCCTCCAAGCATGAAAAAGATCTATCGGATTTGTGACTCCAGGTCGTCTAGAGATATTGTGTATAGATAATGAGCATCGGTCAAAGTATTGTGTATAGTAGCTAGCTACGATAAGAGTCCGTTGTATTGTAAGACGAATACGCTTTCCTAGTCAGCAGAGTACCGATAGATAATACACTATATAGCCGTATCGTCTTGAGGAAGTATTATATTAATAAAGAGATAATTCAAAACTAATAGAAGCTAGTGAAATATCGAAAATAGGTCTTCGCACCCGGTAATCTAGGGACTAAGATTCAGTCTTTATAACAGGTAGACTGCGGCATATCCAATCCAATGGATATTAAATTATATCCATATCCAAATAGCCTTGGATATTGGATAACTGTAGATATCCAAATCCAATATGCGGATATAGGTCGATGTCCATGGATATCCACGGATATCCACAAAATATCCACACTAGCATAAAACTCGTTTAATTACCTAGTTTTGGATTCCCTACCCGAGTTTATACAGCTGACAAACCCATCTCTTACATTGAAAGAAACACATGTTTCGTCCTAACCATACAATTTCACTGAATTATTCTATTATACGATGAAATATTGAGAAATAATACTGTATCTATTTATGAATTTGGTTGAATTGCTATATTCCTTTCTAAAAATTGAAAATCTTTGTTTTTTGGTAGGGGTAGATAGGATTTGGGGATTTCATGGCAGGTTATAGGGAATGATATATATTTCTGTGGGTCTCCCTTGTATACTCCTGCACCATATCTTTGTGATCACTAGATTATTTGAACAAATACCCAATTCTGTGTTTTTTCTTTTCAAATTTTTAGTAGAATGAAATGATAGGGTCTCAGTTATATATCTGTTAAATTTGAAATAGTAGTTATATAGAAATCTATTGAGAAACAACGGTCGCAAATTGTAGATTTACGGACTCTGCCATTGTTCTGTGATTCTGGAAGCTACGGCGGTCGGCAGATATTTGGTGGATAATCCATGGATGTCCATGGATATCCGCAAAATGTCCGCACTAGTATGCGGGAATAGCCAATCATCACGTCTAGATCAAACGATCTATCACAAATATCCATCCATATTGCGATGTCGTGTTCTGTTTGCCAGACCCCTGAAAATCTGTTCTGTTCTATTCTGTAAGTAGTCTTCTCTTTTACTTCTATGCTATGATCTACTGCAAGGTAATTCACAATCAATTGAAATATGGCTTACTCACAGATATCTCAATCCCAGGACTCCTGTATTGATTCAGATATAGGTCTGAATTTCACCTCCGACCCTTCCTATCCAGATAATATTTCCGACTTTATCGGCAGCCAAACCCCATTGACATCTTTTTCGCAAACCCAAACTCCAGTTGCACCAACATCTCTTATCCGTCTTGGTCCTTATCTACAAAAGCACTGGATCCCATATCCTTCTGACTCTAGCTACGGCAATATGGAAGAAACTCGAAAGAAGTTTGTAGACTGGTGGCTTACTACTGAGTTCGGATCGCAACCTCAGACAAGAAAAGAAATTCACTGGGAAGGAAAAGCAACTTCCGATGTCTGGGATAGCTTCCAACAAGTTGCACACGAGAAAAGTGGGAAGCCTAGGGTAATGTGTAAATCATGTCTCTGTACCATCGGTCATCCACGCTTCCGTCGAGCAGGGTCATCACCTATGAATGCGCATCTAAAGACAAGTACTTGTCCCCGAAAACCGACCCCAAAGAAAGGTATTGATCAACTTGTAAAGGAAATGGTATGTTACTCCTATTTTGTATCTATATTAATACTAACACTGCTATTGTATAGCCTAGTGGCCCAGCAAAACAATCCTTTTCCCAAGATCAACTCTCGAAGGCTATACTTAGCTTTATCACTACTGCCCATCTACCCTTTCGTTTAATTGAACATCCCCAGTTCCGCAATTTAGTCGACATTATTCAACAAGCTTCAACCAAGATTACTGTTCCATCTGCACGGACAATTCGACGTTGCCTAGACTTGGTTGTCTCCGAGAGTCAGAAACAGACCCTTGCAAAGCTACCTAATGGAAGCCGTTTGTCAATTGCACTCGATTGCTGGACATCACCATTCCAGCAGGCATTTATGGCTGTTACCGGATATTTTCTTGATCAAAAATGGAACTACTGTGAGGTTCTGCTTGGATTCGAACATCTTCATGGATCCCACACCGGAGAGAATCTCAGTAAAACTGTCACTCAGCTACTTGCCGATCATGGGATCTCCGACCGGGTACTGTCAGTCACAACTGACAATGCAACAAATAACAATACATTGATGACTGGTGTCCAAGATACTCTCCAAGCACAGTGCAGCCGACGGTCTGATCCTTTAATCTTCCGGGTCCCATGTATTGTACATGTGATCCAGCTTAGCTTAACAGAGCTTCTTGGAAAGCTTAAGGCAGCCCCGTCCAATAAACAGATTGATTTGGAGTGGTCGGATGAAAGAACACAATCCTTTCAGAGCAAACGATCCAGCAATCATGTTCAGATCACCGAGACTCTAAGAAAGGTACGTCTTTTCAGCGGAAAGATTAGCTATGCTTGTTTTTCGGCCGAATCTTTATCTACCAGATCGTTTTCTAACCTGTGAAAGATTCGAGGTCTTGCGGTTTTTATTAATGCAAGTCCTCGGCGTCGGGAGGCATTTATGGCCTTACAGACTACAGACACTCCTTTGATTCCTATCCAAGATGTTCAAACCCGGTGGAATTCAACCTTCCTGATGCTTAACCGTGCTAAGCGACTACAACGATTCTACGATCAGTACTGTATAGACCATCAGTATCTTCATTTCAAGCTTGATCAGGAAGAATGGCGACAGGTGGACTATCTTCTTCTCCTCACAAAACCCTTTTTCGACTTTACAACTGTACTGTCACAGACTAAAGATATCACTGTACACAATATCTTTAGTATTTACAACAAACTCTTCTCCCATCTCGATACAGCAGAGTCAAAGCTGAAAAATAAAGGTGTTATCTGGAAAAGGCATATGCTCCAGGCTCTACAGACCGCCAAAACCAAACTGTCAAAGTACTACACTGCTACCGATTACGAGCCATACGGGGATATCTACGCATTTGCTACAATTCTTTGCCCATCCAAAAAACTCCGGTACTTCTCTTCCTCTGATTGGCAAGGGGATATTGACTATGTTAAACACTACCATGAAGTTTTAAAACAAGAGTTCGACCGGTATAAGGCTAGACTCTATGAGGGTCTTGAGAGTACTGCTTTGGAGGATCCATCCGGAGAGTCTGCTGATGATAGTGACTACGATTTGGATGCTATCTGTGCCTCTCAGAATCAAATACCTGAAGAAACAATACTGCCCCAGGATGATGAGATTGCCAGATATCTTGCCCGCGGTATCGAGAGGCAAAAACCTCGAGTATATTGGAAAGAGCATGAGAGTGATTTTCCTATCCTGGCAAATATGGCACGCGATATCCTGTCGATTCCTGCTAGCGGTGCTGGTGTTGAGCGATTGTTTAATTGTGCCCGCGATATCTGCCATTATCGCCGTGGTCAGCTGAAACCAAGTACAGTCCGAGCGCTTATGCTTCATCAGTTTGCTACCAATTTCGATCTTAAGCAGGAGGAGCTGGATGCTATCAAAGAATATCTCTCCGACAGTGAGGCTGCACTGATGGATCAAGCCCGTAAACCATCGCCTCCGCTTGAAATATTGGAACCAATTAGTGACAATAAGGAGGATGAAGATCCTGGGGTAGAGGATATACAGCAGTGTATACAGGGTGCTGGGGAAGATGATTTGGATAATACTGAGCAACATAGGCGGGGAAAGGGAAGACAATCAAGAAAGCGGTCATCTGATGATCTTGGTGAGCAAGAAGACGATGGCGCCCCAGATGTATCAATAGAATCCTCCCAGATGCGACCGGGGCGAGCTCGGAAGCAGCCAAGACTGCCAGACGGGTTTGAGCTTCTTTAGTACTGTGATTTAGTCTAAGAATTGAGAAGTAATAATAAGAAAGAAACTATTCCTGCCGAGCAAAGAACAAAGAAGAATTATTATCAAAGAATTATACTATACAGATGTGAATAAAGAATTACATAGCTAGTACAGCAAAAATACTGAGAGAAGCATAAAAATAATGCATACTGAGGAAGGTCACAAGGCTTGGCATATTTGTATTGTTTTATATCCAATGGATATCCACAAAATATCTATGGATATCTAAGTTATACCCATATCCAACAGCTTGTGGATCTTGGACATCAAAATATATCCATATCCACAAATTTGCGGATATGGATATGGATCTCCACAATATCCATGGATCGTGCCGCAGTCTACTTTAGTATATGCATGCACGTGATCCTGACCACCGTGATATTCAACAGGGAAAACCCGCAAAATACGGGTTTGGGTTTGGGTTTCAACACCCCTCCCCATACCCAAAAAAATGCGGATGGATTTAGGTTGATACCCAAAACTGCAGTTCTGCCGCAGTTTAGCCGTGGCAGTCTATGAGAAAGCCCTGAGTCCAAACCATCACAAGACCGAACGAGCTTCAAAGAAATTGAAAAGAATTTGAAGCATTACATGTACAAGCTAATATTTAACAAGTACTCCTGTTAAATCTCTAGGAACAATATACAAAGCCTAGTACCTTTTAGTATTTTTTAGAGAAAGTAAATTTGAAAGCGAGGATATAGGCGATTCGTAAGATAGAATCTATGACTATGTATGACCCGCTGGCCCTCAGTTCCTCTGTAGATTTAAGGCTATTCTTTCCCAGTACTCAACCGCAAGACACGTTGAAGCCTGTGTAACTGCCGTGGACGGGATTGTCCAAGATGCCAAGGGCTGAATCCGCTGAATTGACACAATCGAATGGCTCTTGGCCGTAGCAACGATATGTCGACGATTGATTGGCGACCTCAGCGGACTCCCAGTATTCCGTACGAGAGTGCCTATACCCCAAGGTCGTCGAAGGAAGTTGCGGAATGCTATCATTGGAATGTGTCACACGGTAAAAAGAGCCGGCCGCAGTATCAGAGGCTCCGGAGAGGCTATCGAGATAGTTGGCGAATGCTTGATTTCCGGTTCTTGGCTGGCCATATGTGTACGCCCCCGTGACGCGATAGGGACCATTCATTAGCGTGGCAAATGCAAGAGCTGCAATTCCAGCACCTAGGGAGTGTCCACTAATTGTCGTATTATAGCCTGGGTTGGCAGCCAAGGCATCCGTCACGCCATTTGTAACAGCTAATGCTAGTGAATTCCACGCATTCAGAATGCCCTGATGAACTAAGCAATTGCTAGTGCAGTTCACGTTGGGCGACTTATAAGCTACCAGCACCAAATCAAGATCAGTCAAGTAATCCTCGAGGCTTGCGGAGCCTGGGATGCCGAGAACAATTTCTTTTCTGTTGGAGATCTTCCATAACGCAGCTTGGGTATCTGTTGAGTTAATATTGAAGTATTGAACCAGCTGAGCTCCATTTTCTGGGTGAGAGCAGGTGCCGTTCGCAAGGTCACCAGTTAGAAATGGAAAACCTGCGTAGTACACAAGATTCTGGTAGGTTTCATCGTCCACTGAACAGCTTCAATTTAGTTTATTGTGCGCTTGGCGGAGCAGCTTATTACATACCGGGAGTTCTCTCGTCGCTCCTTGTCACCAAGGGGCTACAAAGAACGAAGCCTGCGCAGAGCGCGAAGGTGATGAAAAATCGCATTTCAGGGGCTTCGGGGTGCAACAGCTTGACAGCTTGATTCAGTCGATTCCGGGAACCGTCGAAAGTACATTCTTATATTATGTATAGCCTCGACGCACTATATTACGAAGAAAGCGCGAGTCTAGTTTATGACAAGGCGTTCCGTAGGGGTGGCACAGACGAGAGCCGTCGACTATCGCACGGGCCCATTATAGCTGCGCCCTTTTGCATCGCCTTTTGTCCGCGTGAGCTGACGATGGAGCATATGATATTTTCTGCCCGAAAGCGAAACATGATTGGATTTCTCTCTTGAGACTATTCTCTCTTTGTTTGGCCTTACTGGTTCTGACTTGTGAGGGAGGCTGGCTCTTCCTCCGTCAACTGGGAAGGGGGTTCTGGCTTACGCGTATCTCCACTCTTTAAGCACGGTCCCCCTGTCTCACATAATTATTGCCAATTTCGTATCACGTCTGCAGTCGGTGACGACGAGATTGCGCCAGAGAGGCTGAAAGCCAATGGCGTAATCTCGGTGATTGAGGATCGTTGGCGCGCGATGATTTGAGCGAGCGAACGAAGAAAAATTACTGGGAGCGGATAGCCATTATCCGCCATTCGCAAAAGATACTGCTGGTTGGCAGCCTTGTCCGAGATGGAAGGCTTCTCATTGGCTCAACCCCATAACGTGGCAGCGGGTATCCGGACCGGATCGGCCTTTTACGACACAGGAATTGATTCCTGGCAACGTTACAGCCTAGTCATTGCCAACACCAGTCTACACTAAAATTGTAGCTATTCTTTACCGTAGTGGTGGATCATTCTTCAGCTTCTGCCAGAAAAATCCTTTTTAGACTTATTCCCACTATTTGGTGCAATTCATTAAAACTTGAGAGCATGAAAAAGCATACATCTATATGCAGGAATGCAGACCGAGTGTGAGGATGTTAGATAGCAGGCAGGCAAAGCTATCGGCACGCCATGTAACTAATCTATACTGTACGTAGACGGACAAAATGATTCCTAGCCCCTTGGACCTCCTGGCACGGCAGCCGTTGCTAGATCGGGGGTCTGCTAGTGGCTTGGCGTTAGGGCTATTACCCTATCTCGTGATACTTACGCCAATGTAGATGGCCGTGCAGGCGTCCAGTCCTCATACCGAGTTGATCAACCTTTCAGCTGACTGGTGAATCCAATATCTGGTCTTGATTATGTTTATTTCATTTGTTTTCTTTTTTTCTGCTTCATGTAACTTAGTTGTCAGCTATGCAGATTTCACAACCTCACACGCGGGCTTTGCCCGTTGATTATTAGTTAACCACTCCAGCAATTGAACACAAATTGTGATAAAATAAAACATGTATTGATTGTTGAACAACAATAGATGAACATTTAAAGAGTATGAGCAAATTGTAGCCCTGTTGAAATAGAAAACACAATAACCGTGGATTGTCCAAAAACAAACAGCTCCTACACTATACTCGGGGCGTTATATTCGGGGGGCACAGTGTGTGGGTCTGGCAGTATGCATTCTTTAAACAGATGGGCAATGTGGCCAATTATCTGTTTTCACCAGTGTCCAACGGTTGCTTTTAGCGGGCCCCACATATTACTGCCTAGACTTGACTCATAGGTCACTTTTTTATAGGATCTACAGCATCCCCTGGTGTTTTTGTCCCAGGACCTGCGTTCTGCCACTGGTAACGCGCGCTAGCGCACGCTGAGGCCCTGAAACGAAGAGGGAAGTGGGAAAATAGTAGAACAAAAACACAGATGAGAAAGTGCCAGTGCTAAAATAGTGGAGAGCTTTCGAATTCGCTAATATGTAGATATTATGCAGGACCTCTGGGTTTTTAGGACAGGTATTGCGGAGGCTGGATACCGGGCAGTAATTGGACATGAATTACAACTTACAAGCGGAAAGATCCATATTTGAATAAGGAAGCAATTAGGTATTGTGAAAACAGGTCCATCTGCATGTTACAGACGAATTCGAAACTGCCTTAACCTATTTACTCTCTTTGATTCATACAGCCCCTCATCTAGCGACACTAATATCTGGGGCTAACCAAAGAAAAGCTAGTTGAGTCATTTTCTTACCATAGTAATACCATTCATTCCCTGATTATCCTTACAAAATTTGCATTCCTTTACAGTAACAAGTGAGTACATACTCTAAAATAATTTGCTCTCCTTTTCAGATCATAATTATCAAAATATACAGTCTCATTGCACATGCGGCACAAGGACGCTGTTTATGCAGTAAATTGATTGCTTGGGTGATGTTTTTGTAACTACTTTATAAGATCTTCTATCTCGATCTATGACTTTGTCAATCATCCTTTATGAAAAGACTTTATTTGTCCTTGAAAATATTTTAATTTTAAATGTTATTAAGATATACCTGCGACAGAGTTCCGCAACATGAGAAATGGATTAGTATTTCCCAACCCAGTTCCAAGTGTCCTTAGACAGGCGAATTCCATTTCTATGGGTGATACCATAAAAAGATTGATGATTTCAGTACCGATACCCAGGTTCCCTTCCGCCAATTAAGCCCAACACAAACTCCTTCATAAACGGTTCTACCTGAGGAAATGTAGAATATAGATTCATATGATTGCTCTCCCCAGGCTCCAACGCAACTGAAATACCCTCAGCGATTAGATATTTCACAATTGTTGGATTACAAGACAGAATCGCCTGACTCATAGCTTCCCGTCCGACCGTCACGCGGCAACGCCCGGAGTCATGGATTGGCATATACAGATTAACGATGCCTTGGTCAAGAAGGTAACGAAGTAAATGGATCTGACTTCCGTATGTAGCAGCTGCGAAGGCATGGAGTTAGACAACGGGGCAGGCGCAACGGAAAAAATTATGGAGTTCTTAGGTCAGCCTGCGCAGTAACTAGTAAAATGACAGAAGATCCAATTTCTTTTCTTTTGAAACCCATCGGTCCTTGAATGAAACTTATTTAGCCAAATCGAGAGATTCTGTTTCTTCCAAGTTTGCAGAAATAATTCTCAGGAGTTCCTTGCAACAAAATAGTCGATTTTCCCGTCGAGATCTGTGCTACAAAGCTGAGCTGTTAAAAGAAGAGGTGGGCGACGGCGGAGATGAGCCTTGCGACAACCTGGAGATGTGCGAGATCTTGAAACGACAGCCAGGAACTACTTTTTCGAAGGCTCTTTTTTTACTCTCACAGTACGCGGATTGTGGTTAAGTTATTGCTATAACTTTATTCCATAGCCCGTGCTCGGTTTGCGACCGTGTTTCAGTGCCGATGGGACTAAGTGGGATCGCTGTCGCCAAAGAGTTGTTTTGACACAACTCCATCAAATGCTGCTTGGCTGAACAAGAAAAAAACTCCAGCGCTCTTGATCCGGGGTCGCCATAACGAACATGTTGCTGTGGACCAGACTGAGGTCGCAAGAATTAGGGGCGATACACCAAAACGCTGTCGCAGACTCCACTTGGTCTCTTTTGGTCCAGCCCCACAATCGAAGTGAAACATATCGGCAACTAATGTGCCCCACGATACTGTGTTCGCAACTAGGAACTAGGAATCAGGACGGTTTAGTATTTCGCGTTAAGATTAGTCTTGCACCTTAGCCTTACATAAAAGATATTAGGCTCTAGATGAACAATACAAAAATACTTCGACGACTCTGCTCGTTCAAACAGGCGAACTTTTACATATAACAAAGAAAATGCATTTTTCGGCCGGTCTCGTTTTCACCAGTATCTATGCAGGCATCGCACATGGCGGTGTTCTCCAGATAGAAGACTTTTCTGGCGAATGCGTCGTGTGGCCTAGTGATAACCATGCATGCACAGGATACTCTGCATCTTTTGGCCAGCTCGATGGAAATGATTGTTCAAGTAAGCGACAAATACATATCCGGCCCTGACAGCGTTGACGAATTAATAGGGCTGAGCGAGGTAATTGATGGCACCCACAAAGCATTTTCTGTACTCAACGTGGGAGCCTGCGATACCGCATGGAATCGCGTGAACCAGAATGGTCTTGTCACGTTCTTCAATCAGGCTGGGGACGAGGCCGAATGCACTTTGAACGATTGTCTTAGTGTTGGCAGCTGGTGTAGTGCGACTGACATTGAGGTCACTTCCACAAGCGTTTCTCTGTCATACTCTACAAAAGCCACTAGCCCTGCTAATAGCCCTGCCACCAGCTCTGTCACCAGCTCTGTCACCAGCTCTGCTACGAGTTTTTGTTAGATTTCCTCGGCCTCACTCGTCTATGTTTGTTCCGCGGATTGAAAATCCGATGCACATTCGGAACTCCAATAGCTGGAAATTCGTTACTATCTAACAGAGTAGCCCATTTGCCGTGTCTCATGTTTGGATTTCTCATTTGTTCTGTTCTTGACCTTCTTTGTATTGAGTCTATTAGTTTCGTATTGTATCGAATGAAATTTTGCTTGGCGATTTCAGATTAAGGATTATTCATAAATACTAGTTCTATGACCAACGATGCATGGCTTGGTCAGACGTAATCAGGAAGTAAAATGGATTCTGGTCAATATCAAAGTGCAATTTGGCTACTGTATTCGTCGATTCTGAGCGCCATGTATGCCATCGTATAGTTTTGCTTGTGAACAAATTGATCCTTTTTGTTGATACGAAAGGTCTGAATACGACGAAGCCTAACATTCCACATTACTACTTAATAAGAGGCAACCGTACTCGTAATCAGACTACAGTTTCATCTTGATAGTAAAGCAACACCAAAATATCATATTTTATCTAACTTAGATCGGTATTTGACTTACATTCAAGCAGTCTATCTTTCAACTTCCTCTTTCTAAGAAAGCAGATATGTATTGGAATCAATTGATAGATACATTTTTGAAAAGATGGATATAGACTCTGTTATCCTTCATTGATTCATTCAACAATTGGCATTCGTCACAAGAAAGCCAGTAATCCCACTGCGACCGCGCCCATGAAGTATTCCACTTGAAATAGGTCTGATCCCTCTTCTTCAGCACCACACGTAGTTGATCATCGCCCGTGAAACATCCACTTTCATCTCTACAAAGATTGCATAGAGTGTAGATATTGATTCGTCTCTTTGCTGGGAGGAAAAATGACAAAGTGGCGGCTAGACGCGATAATGGATCGTATGGACATATGATGATATTGTATCGCTGATAGTCACTTTCCAGACAGGAGACACATGACCAAGTAATAGTACCCTTCATTTTTGGGATAAGGCTCTGGAGAAGCTTTCAATGGGATGATTCACTTGATAATACTCATCCGCCTTAGGAGTCGAGTAGTCGAAGTAGCCAGCGGTCAGTTATAGCAGTATGTGGGAAAAGAAAGTGCCTGCACTAGAAATCATTCGAAGAATTCTTGTCGATAATGCCGATCGTTTTAAAGGGATTTCCGCTTACTCAATTGCAAAAAGCAGATAGTTAGTGGATCGCCAATCATGTCGCGCCAGACAGCACCACGACCGTTCATTCTATCTGGGTGTGTAGTATTTCTGACTCACAGAAAGTGCTGGTCGAATCACAAAATTGGCGCAGTTGCAATCGAAGGGCAAAGAGCTGGCTCGCCCATGGTTCACAATAGTGTTACGGTGACCCCAGAGAAGTGAGTCAGAATGAAGGTCCTCAGCATTATGCTGCGCGTGCGAAACTGCCATGGTGGAGGACGGTGGGCGGGCCATCGGTCTATTTTGAAAAGGCCCGTCGAATTGCGTGCGGCTTCCATGCCAGCTCCGCTTGACTATGCCCAAGTTCTGGCGGCTTATTGTGAAGTACTGAGGTACAGGGCTTGACAGGTTTTGTCTTTGCTGCACATTGAGAGAAGGCATGCCTACATGATTGCTATTCAGGGGTATTCCTTCATACATCCATTACTGGACTTGTGCAGAGTTCCATGTGTCTACGTATTCTATTTAAGGGCTGATATTATGTGACCAAGATTGGCAGCGGAGAGGCTGCAGAGAGCTCTGAGTTCTTGGTGATTGTCAATATACTCTGATTATGGCATTACTATCATAAAGCCATGGCATATCAACTTAGTGAATAAGTGTCTCCAATTCTCATATTTTTGAAGGACGCACTTTTGTGGTTTTCGTAGAGTAGTGCATGCCCGGCACCCGCTACTTGAGGAGCGGTCCTTTTTGCTGGAACGGCCGAAATGTAATGGAAAGCGATTCCTTGGACGCCGTAGAGATTTTTCGGGGGTCGCACAAAATTGAGCAATCTCTCATTCACCATCATTTTCTGAGGGCTTCCAGCTTCCTCGCTGATCATTCACTGTCGTTCACTCAACGTTGAGGCACCAGAGTGGATATGGTGACCCCACCTCGACCCACGGGCCGCACCGGTGTGGATCCAAGGTACCCGGTGTTGGCTCAACTTGACGACCATGCACTGTTATGGTCTTGCCAATTTGGGCTGCCCAAGGTTCGCATTCTGCTTGAGGGGGGATGGCAACTTCTACATTTCCTCCTGGGCGTGTATCCTGTGTTGTGTTCACACCTCGTCCGCTCATACAAAGGTGGTAGAAGCGGGGCGAGCAAATGCATTTTGTTTGCAGGTATTTATTTTTCCGCTAGTTAATGGGTCAGAGAAAGCCAGGACAGTAGTCAAGTCAGTAATCAAAAGGAGGCCTTTTCAGCGCTCGCCTCAACTTTCACTTTTCAACAGGTATCTGCCATTCCAAATATTGTTGATCAAGCACCTGTTTTCTCATCGCCGTTGAGTCAACTGATTCGCGAGTGAATAAAGTTTACGACCTCGTTTTCTACATCCCCAATCAGCCTTACCCGGACTAGAAATCTACCTCAACGATTCCTCCTTGACAACTATTTGTCATTTCGCATATTCCTGGGACGTTTCATGTTTGCTCATCGCTGTTGATTCAACTGAATCCGCTGGTGAATAAACTCCGGTTTCTCTATTAGCCACTGCTCCACTTTCTTGGTGGCATTACCTGGCCGCACTCTACCTGAATCTTAATCCTTGCCAAGTTTTTGTCATTCGGTCTTTGCTGCTCCTGTTTGCTCACCACTGGTGAGTAGCCATGTTGCTTGAGCGCAGAAAACTGCTTGCTGGTATGCCGTTTTTCCTCTTGCCTAGAAATAATCAGAAAGTCTCACAATTTGCCACTCTTGATCCAAGCGAAAGACGAGGCACTCCGCCCTGGAGGGTATAAATATGCTCCCACCCGTCTTGCTTGACTTTCCTCTTGCATCTCTCCTCGCACATATCATTTGCGAAGATTGACTTTGATCATCTCCTTTTGTCTATGCTTGTAAGTATACCCAGTCATCAGCTTAAGACTATCTATCTCTCACTGATAACACTCTTCCTCAAAGCCCGATATACAAAGACTTCAATACGTGAGTACCACCCTTCCTTAGTTAAAGCTTACTTTAACACCGTTTATTCCTCGGTTCCGCTAGACTTCCAATCTGTCCACCGGGGCAGCAAAATCTCTACCAAGGTGAGGTGTCAAATTGCTTTGATCTATGGAAGCTGTACTATGTCCTATCTAACGATCTCATAGTAGAGCTTCTCGAACGGTCTGTGTACAGTTCAGATCTGAACCCATTCTATGACAACCATGACAGGCTCTTACCCCCGATATATTACGGTGGAGCCTATTTATATAGTAGGCCCAATAACAACTCCATGAGGTCAATAGCTGATCAAACGTACTTATATCACAGGAACCTCCTACAGAATGGTGAATGAATTGATACATCACGAATACCGGCGAACGCTGAGTGTGATCCGTGTCCCCCGACCTTTGATTGAGTCTATGTACATAGAGCTGACTTCCTTCCTGTGGCAGACATCTTCACGGCCCCCTCCCCCAAGTCCCGGCATGGGCTATCCCAGATGCTGGATGGCTCATGGAGCTTCCTACCCTCTCGAGATTTGACTCGATAGCAATGGACCAGTCGTCCGATAGAGCACCATCATGTACCCAAGACCAAAGCCGATTTCACCTCGAATACAAGAGACGATCTCCAAATTGAAGCGTCTCTAGCATTGCGCTTTCGTCGCCTCGCCGACAGATACCGTAAAGAAGAAGCAGCTCGTCAACTTTATCAGCGATGAGGATGTGCCGCCATCAGGTACGTATCTCATCTCAGAAGATATCGCTCGTTTCCACCCAGCTCTTTGCGCTGCCTTCTCTATATTTACCCCCGCTTAGGTAGCTCGGACCTTCAAGGTATAGAATGTGGGTGAGTTATGGCACTTCTCAAACAATTCGAATGACAGATCATTGATCCGTCATAGAGGCTTTTGATACACCGGCAGTAAGCCAGTGTATACGCAATACATGGCGCGTGACGCTAAAACCAAAGAAATGCCCAGAGCCGCTGTAAGCTATATCGATGGCTTCAAGGTCGCCCACCCACACCCCATCTGACATGGCTCTCCCAGGACGCACGACCATTCATCAGGCTTCGCTCAGCCCTTGCTGATTGTGTCGTGGTCCAAGTAATTGAATGGTGAAACTGCCAGCCCCCATCCACCCTATTGACTCCAACACGGCGTATTGGCTAACCTCGCGATATTGCTCCTCGATGAAGCAAAATCATGGTCAGTTCTATCCCAATCATATTTTCCATGCATATTGGGAGGGCGTTCAGCTGACAAAAGCAAACTTCGTACACTCAATGGGCATAGACCCCGCAACCACGAAAACCAACCTTCATATCTCAAGCTACGGATTATCGATCATTTCAGAGCTCCGAGGACTGCGTCTAGTTATGCAGCCATGTTGAACGACTTTCTGGCTGGCAAGGGTTGCACTCACGTCTGTGTTCATATATATCGACTACTTTTGGCATTGACAAGAGTATTCCCGCCCATGCTGATCTATCCTTATTCCTGCTCTCTGGGTGCTAATATTGCCTGTAGTGCGACTGGTTACCGACGCGCTCCCCACACACCCACTGCATGCGCGTATCAGCTGAACATCCCCTTCGACACCTGCTCTGAACACTAAGCCCCCATCGCACTACGAGTCTACTATAAGAAGCGCATTACCCACATTACCCAACAGGTGGCTTTTTATCGCGTCCGCTCCCCGCATTTACATTCGTATGGCTGAATATCGTTCCAGCAGACCTCTCACATCGATCGAAAGATTTATTACCTGACCCCCGCTCATTGGTAATGCCGTCATCTCTAATCAACAGCTTGGTGTTGAGCAAGCATTCGACACGAGGGCGGCCGGAGCACAGGCTCTGGAGGTTAACAGTGGACGGCTAACGTGGCCTCCTGTCTCACCTCACCCAAGTCGACACCTACCGAAATGAACAGTTTATGACAAGACCTGCTGTTGGATCCGCATTATGCATTCCGATGGCGGATCTCCATTGTCATTAGACAAGGCCACTTTGCATCAGCGTCTTCCGCCTTGGTCATCTGTAAAGGTGCTGAAGGGACGTGCTCTTGTCACGCTGTGAGCTAAGCCTGTTCAACGTGGGCCTCACATTTATCTAGAGGCAGAGCTATTCAAGAGTACTACTTATAGGCCTATGGTGGCCATCTCGCTGTCGGCATGGCCACTTATGATGCGTCTGCGGTACGATTGATTGTCGGTTGGAAGGGGTGATACCCGATCATACATACTCCGAGAGGATCAAGTTGATTGAAACTTGACTCTACATATGGAGATCTGAGGAGCCAATTCCAATGATGCGGCTCTGTTCCAGCACCGGCATCAAATCGCGACATCGTGTGCACGTGGCTGTGCGGGCTTTCTGATGGGCCGAATTACGAAGCAACTTCAAACATGAAGAGAGTGCCAACCTTTCCAGTGCCTTGTGAATGTTCAGGACGGCATACGCCGACGGAAGCAGACTTGGGTCGCTGTTTTTAAATGGTCCGACGCGTCGCTGACTACTTGCCGCAGCTAACTTCGCGTGACGTCATTTCCCAAACACTTCTCCGCTGGGCTTCTTCGCGATGAGTTCATCTCACAAGTGAGCATCGATACACGAGCGTTGAATTTCCACGAAAATTGGATCGTTCTACTTTGCGCTTTTCCAACGGCTGATTCTTCTTTATATTCTCTTCTCGCTGGGGCTACACCAGCTCACGCTCTTGACAATCCAACCGTCTGTGAGCGGGAAACCGTGTCGGACAAATAGAAAGGAGGCCAGCAGGGAGCTCCAATGGTCCGAATAGTGCTCTATGGATGGCAAATTAGGCTTTACACACCCAAGCTAATTGTGCAATCAGACTTGCAACCAATCTTGAGAGCGCTGCGTTGACAGGGATGCGACGTTCAACAGTGAGATAAGCAGCAAGGTCAACCGAAAATTTGACTTCATGAGGGGGCTTCCATACATTACAGGGGCATATTACGGCAGCATAGCCTTGTGGGCGCTCACCGCGTCCCCGAAGCTAAAGGCCAACTAGTCCGACTTGAATCGGAGTAGCTCCCAATCACAGCTTCGCCCTGATAGGGCTTTGGTGGTGTGGTATTTGAATGAAGCTACTCGCTCATCGTCGAGGGACAAGAGGGATTAGGCTCTACCAGATACACATCCACTATCGCGAATCATAATCGTTGGCACGAACACTGCCGAGTAGGCTCAAGTGGGATATTCCGAGGTTGCTTCCATGAATGGTATTGACCGCGACCTCAAAGCTTGAAGTCACGGATTTG